CCTTAATAATTTCTTTCAAACAGGTATATGGAAAACCGACATTTTACACGTCTTCAATATAAGAATTCAGGAGAAGAAATAAATCTTCCTAACATTCAATTAATACATCAATACGTCAATCACAATGACTAATTATTTAATAGGCGGTCGGACATGAAAACTCCGCCTTCAAGTAATTAATTACTGTAATTAAACAGAATCTACGATGTATGTACAATTAATTAGTATACTGTGTTTCAAGACATTATTATTCTTGTCAAATATACATTCATTTGTTCGTAACGACATGTCTATATAAATAGCATGTATATAACAAAGGTCAAAACTACAATAATACGATGCAAAAAAATTGATTGAATTATCGTAGGTAATCATTTCATGAAATTGATCATATATCTACGATTAGACCATGTATTTGGTAAATTTTTACCTTAGGTTTATACTACATTCTCACTTCCTTCACTTCTTCTAAAACTATAAACGGATTATAATACAGTTCTCACAATATATTATGCTTATTCTTATATCAGGAAAAATCAGTATTGAAATTTTAATTTATATCTAACATTTTACACTCTGTAACAGGTAGTTCGTTTTTAAAATCCCTAAGATTTACAATTCGACACTCATATTTTGTAACGTATGGTCCAAGATCCCAGGGCCGCCAGACGTCACGTATTTTCTGACGGATGAAATGTGGACGATTGGGTAGTGTTAGTATGTACTATGATCGTATGCCTACCTGCTAGCTTGGTCAAACGGCCAATTTCCAGGTATCAGGTAATCAAGGTACACAAAAACATTACTTACTTCACGTAAATTCTCATGGCTGATTTTTATATATGTTTTCGAGTGTATAGTTAAAAATAAATTGTCAATACTCCCAGACACTTTCCGTCGGCCATATTGCTTAACAGACGCTTTAAGGGTCTCAAAATAATTAGTCAACTTCACGTAAATTCTGACGCTCCATTTTTATATATGTTCATCCGACAACTATTTTAAAAGCTTTGACAAGAAGACAGACCGATCCAAGGGGCCAATCATCCCCTAAACTAAATTTTAATATCTCTATGAGTGAGAGAGCATTATCTACGCGCATGAGACTGAGTGAGACCGACTGCGCTGTTAAAGCCATGAAAATTACTTGAAAAATTATTATTATTCAAAAGGGCAAGCAAAAGCCGTTTAATATTTTGAAGAAAAATGAAGAGTACCAACAAAGCATTTCACCGTTTTGGTACGTTGGATTTTGTTGGTGATGTAGATGAAGAAGAACGTGTATTCAACATAATACAAAAATTTATCTGTGATGTTTACAATTTTCCTGGAATAATTGATGTAGATGCTGCCAGACTACAGTTGTTTATCATTTACATACATGGTATCTGATATAAATGAAGAATTCAATCGAAAGAATTTAAGAAACTTCGATGCCAGTAACTTACCACCTTGTAAAAGTGAGCTTTGACAACAGTTTCGACGGGCTAGCTTTGGAGCAATGCAAGTATGAAGATGATAAATATTTTCAACCCCGAAAACAATGGCTGGACACTACAAGATGGTAAATATGATTTTCATCGGTTCGATGGAGATCAATTACCGGGTTTTGTCAGTGAGTCGCTGGAAGAACAATCAGGTAAATTATTTTCGTTTCTCATATTATTTGTATCTTTTTAGTTTTTTCAGACCTTCATTGTTTAACTTGTTTTTTACAGAGGAAGAAAATAAGGATAATGCTGATGATGACGATCACGATTTAGATATTCAATTTCAAGATTGATATTTGATGATGATGATAATGAAGATTAAAAGCCACTGTTAAGAAATATTGAAGAATTAATATTTTTCCACTTTATTTCCAAATTTCCAATAAATAATTAATTAAAAAAATTGCTGCTATTTAAATATAAGTGGTATTTTTAAAAAATATTTTTTAGTTCTAATTAATAAATTGAAAAAAAAAAAAAAATGTCGGCTAACTTTAGTATTATTTATTATGTGTCAAATTTTTTTCTTATTTTTGTTGCTATAATTTACTTGTCAACAAAAGTTCTAAAAATTATAAAATATCTGTTCAAGTAATTTTCATGGCTTTAACAGCGCAGTCGGTCTCACTCAGTCTCATGCGCGTAGATAATGCTCTCTCACTCATAGAGATATTAAAATTTAGTTTAGGGGATGATTGGCCCCTTGGATCGGTCTGTCTTCTTGTCAAAGCTTTTAAAATAGTTGTCGGATGAACATATATAAAAATGGAGCGTCAGAATTTACGTGAAGTTGACTAATTATTTTGAGACCCTTAAAGCGTCTGTTAAGCAATATGGCCGACGGAAAGTGTCTGGGAGTATTGACAATATATTTTTAACTATACACTCGAAAACATATATAAAAATCAGCCATGAGAATTTACGTGAAGTAAGTAATGTTTTTGTGTACCTTGATTACCTGATACCTGGAAATTGGCCGTTTGACCAAGCTAGCAGGTAGGCATACGATCATAGTACATACTAACACTACCCAATCGTCCACATTTCATCCGTCAGAAAATACGTGACGTCTGGCGGCCCTGGGATCTTGCTCATATAATATAATCTAATAAATAGACAATGTCTTGTTTATGACCACTCTTCACAACATTTTCGTTTATTTTATAGAACAAAATGAAACGCCTGCCCGTTTCATCTCATGTTAAGGGACTTTACCTTGGACACAGTGTTTGTGAGTGCGAGTGCGTTACCAGCCTTTTAAGAATAATTGAATGCTCTTTTCTTAAAGGAGCTTAAGTCGAGTTGGTTCGGTTGTTTGTTGGTTGCTGTAGCAAAGCAAAGCAAAGCAAAGCAAAGCAAAGCAAAGCAAAGCAAAGCAAAGCAAAGCAAAGCAAAGCAAAGCAAAGCAAAGCAAAGCAAAGCAAAGCAAAGCAAAGCAAAGCAAAGCAAAGCAAAGCAAAGCAAAGCAAAGCAAAGCAAAGCAAAGCAAAGCAAAGCAAAGCAAAGCAAAGCAAAGCAAAGCAGAGCGGAGCGGAGCGGAGCATAGCAGAGCAGAGCAGAGCAGAGCCGAGCAGAGCTGAGCAGAGCAGAGCATAGCAGAGCAGAGCAGAGCAGAGCAGAGCAAAGCAAAGCAGAGCAAAGCAGAGCAGAGCAAAGCAGAGCAGAGCAAAGCAGAGCAAAGCAGAGCAAAGCAAAGCAAAGCAAAGCAGAGCAGAGCAGAGCAGAGCAGAGCAGAGCAAAGCTGTTATTATTTTTTTTCTTCTCTATAATTCTCTTTAATTATTTTAATTATATAGCAGAATTCAAAGACTCTAAGTCTAGGAGTTCAATTAAACGTACCATTTTTTATTTATTTATTATTGTATTATCTGGACTATAAAAGAGACTAAGACCCCCGAGTTTGTTTCGACATTTCTTTTCAGGGCAGTCAGTTAGGAAATGTCGACTTCATCTAGTTTAGGAAGACATTTTAAAAGTGATTTATATAGTCCTACTTGCAAGAATAAACTATTTCATTTCATTTCATTTCATTGAATTTTCAGGAAAATTAAACGTAAAAAAATTTATAAGACTTGAGGGTTTATTTTTCGTATGGCCAAATAATTCTTAAATATAAAAGCGATAATCGTGTATAAGTAATAATGCACTTTTTCGACGCTATGGTGGAGCGAATTCAAAATAAATTTAGTAGATATATTGGTATTTACTTGGCTGAATTCACAAGGATTGCATTATTTATAATTTGTTATATATATTAAGGTTTAGGTTTTATGCTTTCTTGTTTTGTTTATATGTAATATTAGGTCCTTACATATGAAATTGGCGTTTTGTATGGGAGGAACAAAAAGTCCAATATTTTTAAATATAATATATTTAATTAATCAAAGTATGAAGCATTGTTTTCAATGCACTTTTGCCATCTCATAGGTAGTTCATTGATCCCTTTACTAAAAAAAACAGTAGGACGGGAATCAATAAAATCTGTGAAGGCGATTTGGACTGCCCCATCAGAGAATTTTTTTCCCTTGCAAGAAGTTGTCCAAATTTCGAAAAAAATGGTAATCTGATGGAGCAAGGTCCGGACAGTACGGAGGATGTCTTAGACATTCCAATTGAAGCTCTTCTAATTTGGTAGCCGTCTGTTGTGTAGTGTGTGGTCCAGCGTTGTCGTGAAGTAGCAGTGGCGTGAAGCGATTAGGACCTAATATTATGTTCTTAGTTTAAATTTTGTAATTATAAGTTTTCTATTGTATTAGTATTATATTTACTGTAAGAATAGAAAATAGAGAAATTAATAAATAAACTATTGCGAATAATAATTAAACTGAACTGAACATAATATGTATTTCTTTAAGCAACAAAACTACAGAAAGTTCATTAAACTTTAACTAAAATGGTTTTACATTTTATAAAAAATGCATAGTAGTAAAAGCTATATATGTATATTATATTACTGAATCGTGATATTTTGTCTCGCTAGTTATCAAATAGTTTTTGTTTGTATATAAATTACTGCATAATATTTGACTCCTGGGATATTCTTTTAATAACGACATCTACTGATAATTTAGTGACTCGAGGTAACCTCTTTACTACTGATCTCATCTTTTTGAATCAGTTTCTTCCATGTGAGTTCAGAGGGCAGGGTTTGAATTTATATTTATATTCTTTCTCTTTGAAGAGTAAATACATTTAAGGAGAATAATTGTCTGTCAGGCTATCGGACATAGCTCTTCTAGGGTTTCTGTATAGAATATAGATACAAGTTATAAGAATTCCGAACGAAGCCTGTGTCATCAGCCTGTACATCCGGTGTAATAATTATTGACAGCTGTCCTAAAAATTAAAGCGTCAACTGGTAACACTGTACAGAAATCATCAATCAAGCAGTTTGTTTTTAGTCGTTGTGCGGGAGCTATGTGCGAATTTCAATAATTTATTCGATGTTTACGTAGGAACATAATGTAATATTTTTAGAGATCTGATATTAAAAATAAATAAAGATTAAACATGAGCGATGAAAAACAGCCCCTCCTCACAGGGCCTAGTATTTTAGTTGATAACCCAGAGAATCAAGTCGTAGAATTAGTGACCAGTCCCACGGGACCAACTAAAGATGAAAAAAATAAAAAGGAATACAATCCAGCTTCAGAGCGGTATTTAGAACATCCGACCTCTAATTTCGATACTCTGATCCATCTACTGAAAGGTAATATTGGAACGGGGATATTGGCGATGCCCGATGCGTTTAAAAATGCTGGACTTTTTTTGGGTATGTACATAAAATATATAGTCATAGTAAACTAATCCATTCCATCCATAATACACATATTTAGTATACATATTATTTTAGGTGTTTTTGGTACTTTATGCATGGGAGCTATTTGCACCCATTGCATGCATATGTTGGTACTTTGTTCCCATGAACTCTGTGTGCGTAACCAAAGACCAGCAATGAGTTTTGCTGAAGTTGTAGAAGATGCATTTGCTATGGGACCTGTACCTTTGAGAAAATACGCAAAAAATATTAGGTGAGTCTAAATATATTTCAATATAGGATTACTATACTTTGAAGAAATTAAAACTATATTATTAAAATAATATACAAAATAAAATTATCTGCCTTAATTTAATGCTATATATTTTTAAGCTAGTTTTGTAGAATATCAAATACTCTTAATCTGAAATCATCCACATTTTATAAAAAAGATGTAGATTTACTAAGACTAGTTACAACACCTATTAATTTTAAAGATAGCAACTTATCAGTTATATTTAACTAAATTCTGTCAACAATTTTATGCAAAAGATTATTATGCACTTTATCTGTATTATGTTAAAGACTATATATAATATTATTCAAAAATTAATATTAAATGCACTTGTTATATTTAGCTGCAAATAAGTAATGATAACAAGGCCTTAGCAGATCTATGTCAAATAAATTGCATGAGATTTTCTTTTTTCAGGAACATTGTCAATGTGTTTCTTGTAATAACTCAATTGGGATTTTGCTGTGTGTACTTTCTGTTTGTGGCAACTAACCTTCAAGACACTATGCACTTTTTCCATATAAATATGGGTGTCCACAGCTACTTAGCCTTATTATTTCCGCCGATGCTAGCGTTGGGTATGGTGAAGAATCTAAAATACTTGACACCGGTTTCTCTAATAGCTGCTATTATGACCGCTTGGGGCTTGGTGATTACCTTCTACTATATATTGCAAGATTTACCCCACACTAGTACTGTGAGGGCATTTGCGAGTTGGCATCAATTACCACTCTACTTTGGAACGGCCATTTATGCATTTGAGGGAATCGGGGTGGTGAGTGCTTTTCAATCTCTTGAAATTCTTTCCTTCCATTATAACTTTCCTTTTTCTTGGCACTTGAGGTCCTATTTACGATGATGCAAAGTTGTCAATGCAGAAACACTGATTTTTATACAAAATTTTTAATATTTCTTCCCTTATAAGACCTTATACTTTTTTGATAGTCATTATGAATATGTAGTTTCAGGAAATAAAGTTTCATGCATTTTTTTTTGTTTTAATGACTGACAGTTTAGTACTAAGGCAATTGTGAGGGTATGAAACTATTTTAAACATTGTTTTTAAATTTTTAAGTTACATTATTTCCTTACTATAATATTTCATTATGATTAATAGTTAAACAAACATACACCATGATATACTTACCCCTTAATTCGCTCATAGAGAACAGACTGGCGATCATCAATTAATTAATTTTAAATATAATGATTTCCCCTTAATCCAATTGAAGTCAATATCACTCAGTTTAGTTACTTATATGCAAAAACATACTAACCAATTCTGATGAGACTTTTAAATATTGCGGAAAAAAACATGTTATAGAGTCCTATCACAAAATTTAAAAAAAAACGCGTTAAGTGTTTCAAATTATTCATTTTGTAGTGACCTTACACGTATGCCAAGAACTTCTACATTGCGAACCTAATAAGTAACCATGCCAAAATCTATCGTATACTACCCTCCTAAAACTTTAAAATACAATTTCCAACGCTTTTACAACGTACACAACTATACTGAAAATAACTATAATTTTTCTCTCAAGTGTCAATAATTTCTTAGTTTAGTAAAGCATAAATGTAATAATATTTAATCGAGTATATTAATTAAACGTTGACAACTTAAAAACTGGTTCTACTATTTAACGTATTCACAAATCGTGAGAACTTAGAAGTATGCTTCCTATGTTACGTCCTACGTTCACGTAAAAATATCGCTAGATATTATATTCGCAATGGCCAGCAGGCTGTTATTTAAATAACTAATCAAGGGATCAAAACAAAACATTTGTTTAGGGGTCAATGACCTTGATGTTAATATTACATTCTAACATGAGTAATGCGATCGTTATATTAACTTCGTAATATACTCGTTTTTCTATGAATAATGTTGAGTGAAATATTATGCCTTTGTAGTCCTCTTTACATGTTTTTTTTTCATTTGTAATCAATACCATGTTACTTATGATATCGAATATCATACTAACATCGTGACGCATGCATTTCACGTATTGATTTTCTGTGGTAACGACGCAAATAAACCTAATCGGGTACGAAATTATTCCAGTACCAATAAAAAACAAACAACTTAACTAATAAGTATCTCATAAATATATTAATTAACTCGTTGTAAATTTCCGAAACGTCATAAAAGATAAAGATGTTTCACATAATGTATGCCTAGGTTATATAATAAACGTCGTCATTCCTATAAGTGTACGTTTTTCTATAAAGAAATACTAAAAAAATAATGATTTAAAATTGGCGGGCCTTTAAAAAATTATGAATAAAACAGTTGCAACAATGTCTCAGCGCCATGAACTATTGCAGGTTAAACTTTAATACCAATTTAAAATTATGTGATTATATAAATTTACGCAGGTAGAATAAAAAAAATACGCCAATACATAATTTTAATCGACAATCACGCTTGATAACAAAATTTACATTATATATTAAACGTGTTATAATGTTGTGGGAAAATAACTGTTTAAACATTAATGCCAACGATTTTTTTACATATCCTTAATTATTAATTTAAATAAACATTTATCATGTGGGAACTCGAGCTGGTTCTACATAAAATCCGACCGATACTGTACGGTTCCTGGGTCATAAGGGTCCTTTAAATAATAGAGGATTTTAAATTTACTCCATATTAACCACTCGCGTACAACACTAGAAATAAACGAAATAATGAAATGTTAATTAACGAATGAATGCAATGTAACAGTTGAAGAGAGTGCCTACGTCTGGCTATACTCTCGGGGCGTAACTTGACGATTTAGGAAATCGCCATGCTTAGAAAACTAAGAAAGCCTGAGTGCACCATATGTACACTGTACAGCCTAAAGACGTTTAATTGTCCAAATTGTAAATGACGCGTCTCAACGCGTTTCGGTTGAGAGGTGCTGTGCACCAATTACAATCAAACGCGCGGTCTTTTCGTCTCGTTACATTTACTCGCCCAGAACTAATAAAACAAAAAAAAATTGTTTATTATGGAACATAAGATATAGGTATCACTTATTCTACGTCATTAAATTTGAATCGCTAGTCATACATACTCATCGGCAAATAACAGAGGGTGTAGGCCGAGAGAAAAAGCAGGCGTAAAAACTCTCGGTACTCTTTTAAAATAGCAAATTAGACTTTTAACTGTAATAATTCTTATATGGCCATACAATAAAAGTTGCTCAGTATATAAATCACTATTAACGTAATTATTTCCTTAGTATATTAATACCTATTTGTGTCAATAGTCTGTAGACTATACATACATTACCCTACCTACCCTGTAGCCTGTGCATTTACTTCGTAGTCTAATATAATATTTAGAAGTTATTCGAAAGGTGTTTTATGTGTCTATAGGTATTACCTCTAGAGAACAACATGAAAACACCGCAGGACTTCGGCGGGTGGACAGGTGTTTTGAACACTGGTATGGTGATTGTAGCAGCTCTGTATACAGCGATAGGCTTCTTCGGATATCTCAAGTATGGGAATCATGTCCTTGGGAGTATTACTCTCAATTTACCGAATGAACCGTAAGTTGTTTGATTTTAATAACACAGATTCCTTTCCCTAAGAAAATAATTCTGTGCTGTAGTCTAGACTACAGCAGTCCTCCGCCCCATCTCCCCCCTTTTCTCGCGATAAACTCCTATGACTAATTTTATTCAATAAAGACATGCAATCACTTTTTTTTCCTCTAGAACCTTAATATATTTCTCATTGATAAGGCATCGTTCGTAAGAAATGTTCTCGTTTGACCGTTTTTCTTCGACTTTGCAAATAAGGTTTTTTACTTATCGGTTTGATGATTGACACTCAAATAACAGGCTTTCTATTGGGAGCCACGAAAGAATTTACAAAATCGGTTTAGTAGATCCAGAGATTACCCTCTACAACTTCACAAACATTACTTATTTATAATATTAGTATCACTAATATTGTAAAGCTTAGACTTTTAAATACTATCTGAAAGAATTTTATTTTAATCTTTAATCTTATATGTTAGCAGTTAGACCCTACAAGTGTATCTGTGTATTTAATAAACCCGTGCTAAACAAAGCTATCAACTGTTTATTCAACGTGTATTCAATAAAGTTTTTTATCTATGTTACCCCACTGATAACAGTCGTATAAAACCAGACGTTTCTAATAAAAACGTGTTTTAAGTTGAACGTCCGAATGGAGAATGAGGAAGCCGGAAAGATATAACTGGCTTTAACTTTACGATAATTTTAAACGCGTCAATTTTCCATAAATCACACGAATTCCATTCGCACTATAAAGAAACGTTCGATGAGTTCCAACTTCGACGTTTGATTGATTGATACATTCTTGGAAGATTGATTAGTACTAAGTGTATGACAAAAACGTATTTATTTCGTACTCCTACAGCTAACTTAAACTATACATAATAGAGAAACTATTACATGCCTATATCTTTATATAGCCAAAGAGGGAATACAAAGTACATAAATTAATGTATATGTACCTAATTCTGGTCTGTTGTATGTCAGGGTATGTTTGCGAGGTGTGCATTGGTTATACAGAATGTATACATGTTGCCCACTGAAGTATATCAACAGTATTGCCGAACCAATTCTTAAAAGGCAACGCACTTGCGAGCCCTTTGGTAATGTGCGTGTGGCTCATAAGTCATAACATCAGATGAGCCTCCTGCCCGTTTGTTATATGTATATAAATGGCTTCTTCCTTTATATTAAATATATATTATAATGATCAATGAATCTTAGAATATATACTTTGTTATATTTTTTGTAGATATAGGTGAAACTGTGCCTTGTTTATGTTTGAAAACTTTTGGCTTTTGTGTACAATGTAAGTTTTTGGATATTGTTTAGTGTGTAGCTGTAGGAATACTGTTAAGCAAATAAATAAATAAAAGTCATAGTAACGCGCTGCCGAATCTTATTCTTACACAAGTAAAACAGCGATCGAATCGTAATCCGTTAGACAACAGCCAAACATTACTTAGATTAAACTGTATTAATCCTAATATAACTTACTCCAATAATATAGGCTATCTAATATAGGCCATATTCAAAATAAAATTATCGTTATTGCATATGTCATGTATGTATATCAGCCATGTGTTACTATCAATGTTGTGTGTTTGTTTTTTGTAGATTAGCGCAAAGCGTACGAGCTATGATGGCGATGGCTATATTCCTATCATACGGCCTTCAGTTCTACGTGCCGATGAATATAGTGTGGCCTTTTGTCAAATCGAAACTCACATCGGAAAAGGCTCTCGCGTATGGCGAAGCGATAACAAGATTCATATTGATTTCGTTGACTTGTAAGTATATTCGTATGCCAATTTATCTTTTAATTACATTTTCTTGACCAGTGGTGGCTTAGTGGATTCAGCGTGCGACTCTTTCTCTGATTTCGCAGGTTCGAACCCTTTCTATATACACATTTAACACTCGCTCGTACGGTGAAAGAAAATATCGTGAGGAAACCGGCATGCATTAGACCCCAAAAATATTACAGAAAGTGTCAGGCACAGAAGGCTGTCTCTGACCCAGACCTAAAAGATTAAAGCGCTATTTTTTTTATATATTTTTATAGTGATATATAAGTGATAAACATAAAATAATATTTACGATGTGGACCTATTATGATTTTTTGGTGGCTCATTATGTTAATTCAAACAAAAAGACGGACAAAAAACAAAACGCGTCGTTTCATAGCTGTTACCTAAGAATATTGAACTTGAAAAAAAAATTTAAATTGTCGTAGATTTTCAGTTTGAAATTTTGACAAATTATATTACGTGAAATTGTGGTTAAAAATATACTGTACCTAATGAACAAAATGCTGTAACCTACTTTTGTGCATTGACCGCAAGTCCTTGTGGTTTATTACTAGATGATGACTTAGTAGATAACATTTTAGACTACGAATTTATAATAGTTACTAATTTAAAATATGTTAAATTTACTGTCTGAGACAGTTTTATTTAATGAAGTTAGTAATATAAAGTAAATAAATACAACATACAATAACTACGAATACAACTAGCGGACCCGACAGACGTCCTGCATGATATTTCAAGCGATTAGTATATTAAACAAAGTATGATGGTACCGACTGCAGCGCCATCTGCTGGGCTGATTTGTGAATCTAAACCATCCGGGCGTCACCCAAACGCATACAAAAAAAAATCATTCAAATCGGTCCAGCCGATATTATATATGTACCTACATATTAGCTTATACAGTTTTTTCTTGTTAGTTATAAGTATAGTCTATTACATATTTTCCTTTTTTAAATAAACTCCGATCGAAGCATTTTTTTTAAACGATATTCATTTTTCTTACATCCTCTTTGATGATATTTGCAGCACGCATTCTGTCAATGTTATGTCAAACGCCATAAGATTACATCAAAAAAAGTTTGAATTGTAAGGTGGTTAAGTATTCTTAAATTATCTAAATATCTGCGCAATCTTCTTATTTTTTTAACCTTCTCCTGGCAAAAAAATAATTAGCGAAATCGGTCCAGCCGTTCACGCGTGATGCCGTTACCAAGGGAAATAGGGATTCATTTTTATATATATAGATTAATAATCCCGTGAGGTTTGATACCTTCACGGGTTTTCTGATAGCAGAGTGTATGCATATGTAACAATATTCATTTCTCTTTATTGGTAGTCCTTTTTTTTGTGCCTCACATAATTTTTTGACATATGACAGTCATTTTTCGCGTTTAGTCTCTGAATGCTGCAAATATGCCGGCTTCCTCAGGACGTTTACCTGTAAGTAATGATGCATAGAAACTGTTGGACACCCGCAATTTGAACACCCAAGGTCAGACGAAACTAAGGAATATACTTAAAGAGATTAGGCATTGAATGTAATAAAAATTCATGACACAATATATGCATGCTTAGACGGAATGTCAACAATTTAATTTAGATGATAATGGAAAATTCTTGGGCGAGAAATTCACATTAATAGCAAATAACGACGTCGAACACAAACGAGTGTTCTAAATAAATTTCTTAAAGGTTATCAGTATAAATATTGACATTATTTCCGTGTCGTTAATTTTTGTTTACTAGATTTGATTAGTTTTTAACCGATCTATATGGAGTTTTTCAATTCGTCGGAATTTCGTATTTATTTCATATACATTTATTTACAAAATTTACGCAATTATCAGAAGTGTTAATTTTAGGACCGCTTTATCTTTATTTAAATCCATTCTAAGAAAATTTTCTTTTTAACGATTTTGGTTTTTTTTTTTCATAAAACTGGATGTAACGCCGATCGATCTATGATCTTATGCCCTTAAAATCACAATACATTCTAAAGATTGGCTTGTGATTAGTTTTAAAGGCAAAAGAAGCCTTTTAAAAATCACGGTCAGAAGCGGTTCAAAGACCGTAACGAAAGCTTCCAATAACGGTTCACCACAAAAACATCGACTTTCATTCTAATCGTCATATTATTGACCCCTTCAATTAGGAAATTTACGTCCCGATAACATACGCATGGAAAGAGCCGCTTGTGATATATGAAGTATGGACCAGACGGCATGAATCATTATGACTTTATCCAATACAATAAAAATAAAGTACCCATTAAATGGAGGCTAATTGCTTTGCAGTTTTTGTATAAGCGAGACCCGCAACTTTGTTTAAATAACATAATGTTACAAATGTGTTAGTAACATTCTAAATTTTTGAAAGGTATCCGTCTAATAATCTAAAGGGTGTGATCAGAGAATCTGTACAATAATACACGCTGAGCCAGTGTCAAGTATGATCTCGTACTATGTCAAAAACGTATTGTTTATTAAGCAATAAGTCTCGACTCTGACCTTACCCTAAGTGAGGGCAGACATACATTAGAGATATAGACATGTAGAGTACTCGAAGACAACTCTGTTTTGTATTGAAAATCTGCTCTGCTATTTTTTAATATAGGGAACTGCAATTGCGCACCGATGAAAGGGCGTGGATCTGCTCTCTGCTCAGACTATCTCATTTTAAAATATTACTAGGTATTGAGGTAGGAGCAGTGCTACATAGAGAGGGTTCGGGAGTCCCAGACGCCGACCCTCAACGCAAATAAAGGCCTGAAAGACGACGACTACTCCACTGTGACCTTCTCACCGAATTGGGCAACTCAGAAGTGGGCTCGCACAGCAGACGCTCATGACGGAGACACGGATTAAGGGAAACCGTTCCATAGCGAACAGATGGGGCTGTTGGGTAGGGGTCCATTGCACCATATGGACTGAACACCACACTCCCCGCGTCACTTTTAAAATCGTTGCCCCGGCGCGGGAGAGAGTAAATTTATTTCCCAACAATAAAAAAAGAAGCAGTGCTACATTACTAATTAATGTTTTAGTTCGACAGTAATCGTCTCCATATACATAGGAAACAAATTAGACTCTTTTGACAGTTGAGTCATGCAAAATCATCATATTAACCACGCCGGTTCTTCTCGTTGTACACAGACTCTAATTTATATTTCTTTATTTCAGTTATAGCAGCTGCGTTGATACCGAATTTAAGCGGTATTATATCTCTCGTAGGAGCATTTAGCAGTTCAGCCCTTGCTCTTATATTCCCGCCAATAATCGATATTATCACGTTCTGGCCCGACCGACTCGGAAAATATGACTGGAAAATGTGGAAGGATGTCGCCATTATCATTTTCGGTATAACCGGATTTGTGTTCGGTACATACGCGAGTATAGGAAATATTTTATCGCTTCCGTAATGTGGCGTATACCAAAGTTTAACCATGACAATAAATTCTTTGAGAATTATATTTATTATTAGACTATAGGCATTGACAAATCGATTAGGCTTTACCTTAGATAAGCGCTTGAAGTATTATTGAAAATTTAGAGATTTATGTTCCTGAAGTTTGACATAATTTTGGAGGACATCGCTGCATTTATGCGTACATTTATTTTGATATACAGTTTTGTATCTGTGTATTACGATTTTGATATAATTGTAAGATATGTGTACAATGTGTGTTGTGTATAGGGGACATGTATTAATCTAGTACAATTTTTTGTTAGAAAAATTTAGGACTAAAAAAATGCCTTTTCTTGACTTTGATCTTTAAAACATTAAACAGTAAATTCTCGGTATTTAAAAAACCAGTAGTATTCTAATACAGTATGACAGTCAATTTAAAAGAAACTCTTTGTTCCATAATCCAATAGTAACACCATAGACAAATATTGGACATACCAAATTTTGCAGTTGGTATTTTAAATATAGAATCCGGATGTAAGTTAAAGATAACTACTTGGTTTTTCAAATACAAACTTAATTTTGAAATATTTTTCATTTTATCATAAAAGAGGTTATCTGGTTCCAGTTCAAATAAGGATTAATATATCGCCCGCCTCTAGTGCAATATGATTTGTTTAAAACACGGCAACGTTACGTGAACTTTTGTGATTAATAATAAGAGTTTAATCTATTTAATGTTGCTTTTAATATAATTGTTTGTGATATTATTTGTTATTTGTACAATATCATATGGGTTGCTTAACAATTGCCAATATATTTTTTTATAATTTTATGTGTGTTTGTTTTATATAACGATTTACTGATTTAATTTTGTACAAATATTTTTTGCATAAAATATGCGATTTAATGCGTACACGTCATTTTATGTATGGCAGCTTATTAGAATTTTATGTAGCGTATCGTACGTAACGATTTTAGTAATGCTTTTTATTAGAACTGTCAATAGTTGAAATTTAAAATCTTATTAAAATGTAATTTAAATGAACAAATATAAGCTAAAATTTGTTGTGTACTACGTACAATATTTTATTACTTATTAGTAAGAAATTTAATAATGGATTTAAAATTTAATTGTACGAGTATTTAATTAATAAAGCTTTACTGTGACGTTGGTTTTTATCCTAATCCACCCTATACTATCTTATATCTTACTGGTTACATTGCAATGATAAATCAACATATTCTCTGTCTGTAAAATAGTTAATTAATGTGAGAACGTCTAAAATCTTCTAAATCATACTCCATCCACTTTAATAAATATGTAAGATATGCATATGGACTATATACTATAATCTATGTAAGGTATTACGTTAGATTCTATGGCCTTGTAGTACACCATAGTTAATAGATACACCTTAGTTTATCGTTTTAATGAAACGGAAAATCAATAATGTAAGTAAATACAGATTACTAAGGTGTGACATTTAACAAAAGGTATTTGCCATTTTTAAAAACAATACTTATTTACTGGATTTGATGTACTTATCTTTTAATTAGAATGAAAAATTATTTAAAAAAACTCAAAATTTTTACCCTAATTATTTTGTATAGCAATAAGTTTTTCGTTTCTGAACGAAATTGTCGCAATAGTAACTCTGGCAACATTGTAGATAAAATGTCATTCCTAAACAACAATTAAAAAATGTCGGAATCGTGTCAAGACGGTAATTGTCATGGAAATTACGAATATGGGCCCGACGAATCACCAACGAAGCTTATCGTCAATTACATTCCCGAAGTCATGACCCAGGATATGATGTTTTCATTATTTTCCACCATGGGTAAATTAGAAAGTTGTAAATTGATAGCGAACAGAGGGTATGGTTTCGTCGAGTACGCTCGGCCTGATGATGCTGTGAAGGCACGAAAGGCCTTTAACGGTCTGTTAATGCAGAATAAGACACTCAAAGTGTCTCACGCCCTGCTCAATCCAGAGTTGAAACCTCCCACCAAGCCGGAAGCAGATTGGAACCTCTACGTGTGTAACCTGCCAAACGAACTAACCTTACAGGATTTACATGGACTGTTCGCACAATTTGGTAAAATAGTCAATTCCCGTATAGCTTCAGGCATAGCTTTTGTATTATATGAACACCAATATGAAGCAGAGAGGGCCATCCAAAACATCAATGGATCTATACCTCCTGGCTTCTTGGAAGCTCTTACTGTTAAGTATGCTAATAAAAGTAATCCAAATAAACATAAAAACAATAATAATAATTTTTCTAAGAATCCACTTGTGAAACCTTATCATTGGATAAATCATATGGGTGCTATTGGTGACCATAATTCCCCTAGTACATGGTCTATTTATATTTATAATATTGCTCCAGAAGTGGAAGAACTGACTTTGTGGCAGCTTTTTGGTCCATATGGTGCTATTTTATCAGTTAAGATAATTAAGGATCATCAAACTAATAAAAGTAAGGGATTCGGTTTTGTTACAATGAGAAACTATGATCAAGCGGCGATGGCTATACAAGCTTTGAATGGCTATGTTATTCATGGTCAGCCCCTATCTGTAAGTTTTAAAACACAAAAAAGATAATGGCGCAAAATAATTAAAACCAATTTTACAATATCAGTACAGTAATGAATAGACAAATTGACTTTTTTGACTTTGATTGGCATAGAATAACAATTTAATATAAAATATTACTTAGGTATAAAAGGAATTTTAATATTTCCACAGCATATATCAAATGTGCAGCCTGTCATCTCTTGTTGAAAATATTATTTTGACCTATCAAGATTGTTAAGTTTGTTTCTTATTATGAATATTAATTTATTCAGTTGGCTCGTTAAATATTTCAAGTTTACTAGAGTTTTAAGATTTGTATTTGCGATGATTGTTGTTTGGGAGTTCAACATCAGTTGTGAGCTATATGCTTGACTCTTTATTTCTTTATCTATTTTATTATTATTATTTAAGTGTAATAAAATACAAGAATGTGCTTTATAAGATCTAATGTAACTAAATAATGTAAGCCACTGTGAGATGTTTAATCAGCTACTAGGATTAGTTGTACACTTTTTATAACATGATGTCTATTTAGGTAGTAAAACAAAATCTAGATTATATCATATTTATACATTTAGTATAAACTTGCTGAATTAAAGTTCATTTTCACAATTTTTATGGATTGTTTTATATTTAATCATAACCAATGTATTAATATTGAACGTTAAATTATGAATTCTATATTATTTTATTTTTACTAAATAATCTTTGTTTTAAAGTATTTAATCAAATTATTGTTTTATAAATTTTTTGACTGTACCAATTTCTGTTTTTTTTTATATCTTTATTGGCCTTAAAAAAATTTAATCCTAACAAATATTTAGTATGACCTATTTGCTACATTCTGGTAATCATCAACTACATATTATATAATATATTTGTTCTTAAAAATGAACAGGACAGTTTCTCTAATTCATGGAGTGCTATATAAAATAACAAGAAATAAAAACATTTATTTCACAAAATAATCTAATGTGTTTGTATTAATGAGATTAGATAATTTGTGATTGGAGACTTTAAATTGGTGCACTAATTTATCCTCATTATGTGTCTGTTTAATTTTTTTTCCGTGTACACTTAGCTATATGATTTATTATAAATTGTTAGTTACTACACCCCAAGTAACATAGTAGCATTTCTTAAAAATATATACATGTATGTTTTCTAAGAGACCAGCAAAACGTCAGAAACAGCTGTTTAATGTACAATTTCAAATCGTGCCGCCAATATTATGGGACACTACTAAAGTTATTTTCTATAAAATAATAGTTTTATAAAATATGTTTGAAATGTTTATTTAAGACTCGGAACACCTAATTTTATCGGAAGAAAACTTTTAAACTCGGTAAGTACCAACTTCCGGTTAGCACTGCGCATGCGTCACTGTCTGACATTTATGAATCAATATAACTAAACTTTGTTACGTTTTCATACTCGTATAAAAATTTTGGTCAGTGTTACTTCTTTATACATATAAGTTCTCGTAAATAATATTGAATCCCTGTAAGAGGCCGTGGCGGAGAGTGAAGGACCTGCGGTGGGGGCAGCTAACGGCCTCGCCGTGAATAGTAAGGTGAGTCCTTAACGGGAACCTTTGTGGTATAAACGAGTTAAAAATAAATATGTTTCCTGGTACGCTAATAATGCTACAAAAATGTAATCAATAGAAAAACTAGTTTTGGTGTGTCTTTGAAAATAATAACATTTTTTCCGAAGAATTTAAAGTATGTTTTTCTACCTACACTACAATCATTCATATTTCTTCGTATATCATACAAATTTTCCTTGGTATGAAACTTTATAACCTAATTTTGTATTTTAGATCAACAAGGCAACAATAAATTGTTGTAACCTATTAAAATCGATTTATTGCTTTGATCTACTTAAGTACCTAAGCTAAAGTTCAAAGTTACTGCATTGCAGTTCGGTAAAGATTATGCGATACATAATTTTAATTCATTCAATAATATTATCTTGTTTTGAGTATGTATATACCGATATTCGTAATAGTACAAATGTCATTTTAAAAAAGCGACTTAAATGAGATAAAAAATTAAACATAATATGACGTATATATATATTAGTTAATTTTTTTATTAACTTACAAGGGCATGAAGATCCTATGAATACAATTTATTATATGAGCACATTTCGTTGCTAAGCCGAATCATTTGACCCCTAATTCCTAAATCATCCAGCTGCCCACGCCTGAAAGACCCGCGTGAACATATCCAACCCAGTCGCCTCCATAATTTTTTTGACGTATAGTATGTTATTAAAATTTTAATCAGATCGGTATTACTTATACAGAAAACAGTAAATTGCTTATATAGACATAATAATAAGACTGATTTATCCAGGTCTATCCCAGTCCGGGGGCGGCGCGCGGCGTTTGGGCGCTGCCGCAGCCGCCCCCATGCACTATGGCTGCTGAGGAATCTCTACCTCCATGCTCACCAATATCTCCTGACGCACCGTCCACGCAGCCACGGATAACGACAAACCTAAACCATCACTCAGATTACGAACAACTTATATTCGAGGGAGTACGTTCAGGGTAAATATCTGCATATTTCAAAAGCATTTTGGACATAGCTAAGACGTGATAATGAATTACTTATTACGTAGAATCGTAATTATATTATTTAACTTTAATCTGATTTATTTAACATTGAACTGTTGACTTTAAAATCAATTCTCCAGATATTCACTATGTAGAAAATAATTCTAAATAAAAATAACAGAAGTTGTGTTAAGAGAGTTAAGAGAACTTAACTCTTCTCAAATCCTTAATGAAGTGGCCTACTTACAGATAATTGTAAAATGGTTTTAGTGAGGTATCTGAAATCGAGCGTCTGGTAGAAAAACTTGGCGTGGAAATTCTAAGTGCTCGAGATCAACATGGCTACACCCCAGCTCACTGGGCCGCCTTGGATGGTAGCGTTGCTGTCATGAGGTACTTGGTGGAACGTGGAGCACCTGTAGACCTCTCTTGCTTAGGGACTCAGGTATAAAGTAAATAGTATCAGGAGGGTGAGAATGTTAAACGAAAGGCAAAACGATGACGTTTCGTTTTATTGTGATTATTCAAATGAAAGACAGATCGTGGCAAGTCTTTGGCTAGATTTGCTGATGACCAATCGCAATGCGTCTCTGTCGTTTAATATCCTCGACTCCCAAAGAAGCTTACTGTCTACCCATGTTTCCTTACTTTATCCTACTTAGGACCTCCCGCCTAAAACCCTAAAGTACATTAAATAATCTAAGAATGTGACTTAGCTACAGAGGGATACTAGAAACTTTTGTACGCTTCTCCTCTGCGGATACTAGGAGTATTCATAAATGATACAAAAATATGTTTTAGGGCCCTCGACCAATTCACTGGGCTTGTAGAAAAGGGCATGCATCAGTGGTGCAAGTTCTATTGCAATCAGGCGTCGCGGTGAACGCAGCTGATTTCAAAGGTAAACAAAAAATATTTATTATAAATATTTGAAATCGATTTCCACGAGAAGTTACCTAATAAATTTGAATAGTTATGAAGATCCTTAAATCACCAAACAATGATTAAACCGCATTTGACTTGACTTTTTTAACTGTAATATTCTAAATTGATTAGCGGATAGCCTGGATCGCTAATTAGCTATAAGACCGCTTGTAACACTCAGCGGCTCCAATATTTCTTGTATTATTTTTGTAAGTCCAATTTTTCTTCTATACATTTTCCAGTCCACTCTTATTTAAATAAATAATGCATTTTTAAGGTTTAACGCCATTAATGACAGCCTGTATGTATGGAAAAACCGCGACTGCCGCATATCTACTTGGCATGGGAGCAGCAACGAGACTATCAGATATAAATGGTGACACAGCTCTCCATTGGGCGGCGTATAAGGGTCACGCAGATTTAGTCCGTCTATTAATCTACTCAGGGGTGCCTTTACATTGCACTGACAATTTTGGCTCAACACCCTTGCATCTCGCGTGTCTTTCAGGCAATTTGACGTGCGTCCGATTGCTTTGTGAAAAGGTATGTATACAGAAGTACAAGATTCAATATAAGAAATATTTAACATAGAAGCTGTGTGGTTTCAAGTACCAGGCTCCGACAGGATTATCCCGATATTATAATATAAGCTATATAAATATGCCCTTGAAGTGAAATGAAGTGATTTTATTTTATGACAAGCAGATTTTTTGAAGTGAAACTTCTTTAGGCGATGTGCATCGTTTTTTAAAGAAAAGGGAGAGCCCGATTGAGAGAGAGTGAGAAGGGTGAATTACCTTATAGAAATTATATTTTTAAATTAAAATTTCATATAGAGATTTAATGAAATATTAAAATTTTATATTTTACGCAAAATGATTTATTGAAATCTCAAATGACGAATTGTAAATTAAAATACCACGTGTTTTTTCGACACTTTTAATATTTTAATTACTTACAATTAAATTCATTAAGTTCCTAACATATCTTCCTTTTCCCTCCCTCTAAGTCTCAGAAATCTACAGTTTTAGATTTGTAATAAATATGAACAAGAGTTAAAAATTAGTTTGCCAAAGAAGTTTCACTTCTGACATGTGTACTTTGTATGCACACACTTTTTTTATGGCTAAACTAGTACCTACCTATGTTCAATTAATCAAACAAACATTCTTGTACATTGTAGAAGTAATACGTAGGTATTACTATAATTAGTCTATAATTAGACCGCTTCCAGAAACGAAAATAAGTTAATGCTACACAACAGGTCCTTTTTCAATGTGTAAAACTCCAACATTACAGCTTTGTTTTGGTTGCCATGGTAACCAAGGCTCTCTTTCAGGTAAAGGCTGAACTCGAGCCACGTGACAAAAATGGAAAGACACCCCTAATGCTCGCACAAAGCCACCGACACGCGGAAGTCGTGAAACTGCTGCAAAAGGAGATGAAACGCAAATCTCACTGGATGCCACCGCTTTCTGAGTTATGGGCCTTGCTGTTCGGTGGAGCTGGTGATTCTAAGGGACCACTTCTTTTCTTTCTCGGATCCGTTCTCTTGTGGGGTTATCCTATGTATATTATACGGGTAATTATACATCTTCCATGTACTTTAACTTTATTTATTTTCACACGGAGCTTGTGTTTCTAAAATTACGGGTCTACTTAGAACAAACGCATTTCTGCGTGTTACGTTAGATATTTTTAATATAGTTCTATTTAGATTGTATGGAAAAATGGTTTACTGGAAATCGAATACAAACCCAGGTTATATTATTATTTATTTATTTGTTCAGAGAAAATAATCCATCATTATGTTAGTATAAAGTTACGGACTAGTGTTAGTATATTATTATTAAAAAGATAAACATAAAACCCATGAAACATTCTATGCATACACTCGTCGATCTGAATCGACAAGTGTACGCACAAAATGCTTCCTGATAGGCGAAGTCTTCAAGATGCTGTTCCGACAGCCTCGTACCCGGCTCAACAGAGATCTTGTTTTAATTCTTATAATAGCCCAGAAGTCATTTGAACGGGCTTGGGCGAACATCTCCGAAGCACTGCAGAAACGAGGCAGTCCCAAGAGCATCCTATGCATTATGTTACCAACTAAAGTAAGGGTAGAAAGCTGTAATGTTTAAAAAAAATTTAAGTCAATAAGAAATCCATAATACATACGAGAATGTATATCAAACTCTGCGACAAATAAGCATAAAAGTAGGTATATAATAAATTTTTATAAATTAGAATATTTATTTAAATTAATCATTATTACACATAAGTATTATTATGAATGTAAAACAATATCGTCTGACATAAATGCGCAGTTTTATCCGAAATAAGATGCAGGCGCACTTTACAAACCTTATTTATTTGACAAACTAATGAACCGATATCTGATACGTCATAACGTAGTGCAACTTAATTTTTAAATCAATTTCGACACTTAACTTTTTATATAATGTAGTTTTAATGATACATTATAATATGTAATAAATACATTGTATGTGTATTTGACGACTCATTGGTCAAGTGGTTACTACCCCTGACTGCAAATCCATGAGTCCCGGGTTCGATCCCCGGCTGAGACGAACATCGATGTGATGAGCATTTGGTGTTGTGCTTAGGTCTTGGGTGTTTAAATATGTATTTATATGTCTATCTATCTATAATATGTACATACATACAGCAGCAACGGATATACATATATCCGTTGCCTAGTACTCATAACACAAGCTTCACCAGCTTAGCATGGGACTAGGTCAATTAGTGTGAATTGTCTTTTATAGAAAAAAAAGGGTAATTTAGTTTTAATACGTGATATTTATTTCCAGTGCATACCATTAACATGGAATACGCTACGGCTATCGCACTACTGTTTTCTTTATTGGAATGCGATAATGTGGATGAGTTGGCTGATTGCTAACCGTCGTGATCCAGGGTACATACCACAAAATTCTGAAACTTATTACCGAGCGATAAGACAAATACCGTACTACGATAAATGGAAGAAAAGAAATGCTATACTTTCACGTCTATGCCACACGTGCAGATGTCTACGACCTTTGAGGTAAATTGCCAATACCTAATTAATATAAGAGAGAATTTCATCACGTTTATTTTCCTATTGAACATGAGCTAATCTAATATTTGATTGAAACAATCAGATGAAGAATGTTTTTGAGCAGCGAAGGAAGAGTCCACTGCCCCTCGTAAATGAGCTTTAATCTTCTTAAATTCAGGTTTTAATTCATTAGAAAAAAAATCTTCGATGACTTCAATGTCTCGCGCAGATGGTGTACTGGAGGTCCAGTGTTCAATTTCCGGCGAAACAATATTTATTGTGGTAGGCAGAGAAGAGTGATCACCCATAGAAGGGCTACGGGACTGGGAAATCAACTAAAGGATCACGAACCAATGATTACATGTTATAAAAATAAAAACTGTGAACAATAGACAATGCAAGAAAAAAGAAACAAAACAAAGTTTAAAGTACGCTGCAAAATTGTTTTACAAAATATTAAATAATAGAAACATTTTCGTAACGATACCCAATCTTGTCTGGAACGCTGTCAGAAATGTCAAACTTCATCCAAAAAAATTGTTTGAGAGCTCTTGAAACTATTTAAGTTTAAAGACGTCCGAAAGAGGGCCTAAGACTCGAGGCCTAGTTTAGTTTACGATAAGTATTTTATACATCCAAGATTAAACTGCGATTGCGCATCACCACATACTAATGTGAGGCTCGATACCATATTCCCTGCGGCATCGCCATAGCTTAAAATTTAAAAAAAACTACTGCTACTCTTCCAAAAATACGTATTTTATTTATACTCCTAAACCTGTACCCGAACAAAACTATCAAATATGATTTATGCATATTTGTTAAGCCGGTTTATTTTTACAGGGCAAAGCATTGTCGTATTTGCAAGCGCTGCGTGGCCTACTTCGACCACCACTGTCCATTCATCTATAACTGTATCGGCGTTCGAAATCGCATGTGGTTCTTTTTGTTCGTGATGAGTGTTGCTATAAATTGTACACTTTCTATATACTTCGCGTGCTATTGTCTATACCTAGAAGGCTTTGGAATACTTTATATGCTGGGTTTGCTTGAGGCTATAACATTTTGCGCACTCGGATGGATTCTCACGTGCACTTCGGTTAGTATAATCCTTTATAAATTTAATTATTATTAATTAACACTAATATAGAGCAAGATCTACAAACCCAATTGTTATTTCGTATATTTTAATAAAAAAGGGTCCGTGTACTTAGGTACGCGCGTAAGAAGTTATACTTCTTTGGCAATATTAAAAATAGTTTGGCTTTGTTCCACCTCCAGTTTTTTATGTTTCACAGCGATAAGATGAAAACTCTTTTTTTGTATTCAATTTAGTGCAGTTACACTGATTCATCAATTGTTTTTTGTCTCTTTTCCTTATATTTGCTAGATAAAATCAGAAAAATTACATGTTTTGATTAAACAATGTGGTTAATTTTTTAATCAAAACATTACTCGATAATAATAATAATACATACGGATAGTTAACCTCAATTGTATTGAAGCACTTAAGAAGGTTGATGAGCACAGTTTTTTCACAAATATTAATTAGTATTGGTTTAAATATTCAATTTAAATCACTTCTGATTATAATTCAAAAAGCATCGCTAAATTTCTTTGAAAAAATAATTAAAACTCCTTTATTTGTTTAAAAGGTAAATGACAAATGTCATTATGGTCATTCAAAATTGTTGGAATACGAACTTCACGCATATTCTATTTCTTTTTACTTGTAGATTGTCTTATTCCTATCTCGCTCGCGCACGCTATAATCACACTCCTAATTTTGAGTCACGGGTGCGCGCGCATTGTAAAATTTCACTCTCATAAATTTTTCATAACGCGCCTAAAGAAGTATAACTTCAATAACTTAAAATTTTAATATTTTTAACGTTTTCGTTAAATTCAGTACTTTTTCAGTGGGTACGAAAATGATTTTTTTTTTTCATTTTTTAACATTATAAAACTATTCGGGAAACAAAGTTACCCTGAACCTGTATGTATATTATAATGAAACACGTTTGATACATTAAACAAATTTAAAAATTATTTTATTTCAACATATGATTTGAGTTTATAAGTCTGATAACATAATTCTGTCTATGGGACCTATGTATGCTGCAAAATTATTGAATATATATTAAAAATAAAATCCATTTTTAAAGTAAACCGTTCGTAGATATTAAATAAAGCTTCTTTAACTGGTAAAAACGAGAATTTACATGAAATAACTCATTAAATTTTTAGTAGATGAACCAAATATCGTATTATTGTGTACTTTAAAGAATGCAATATTTACTTAAATAGTAAATGTACAAAATATATTTGTTTATATGTTTTCGCGTAGGGGTTGGCAGACAAATCATATGCTTTATTAATAGTTCTCTTTTCTCAAATTCCAGGTGCTTCACGCCTGTATGAATTTAACTACCAACGAAATGTTTAACTACAAGAGGTACCCGTATCTACGTGACAAGAGAGGCCGCTATCAGAACCCGTTTTCACGGGGGCCTATTATGAACTTGATTGAATTCTTCGTTTGTTTACCGGACAAGTTTGATGAGCAAGACCTCTTTTATGGAGAGAATATATGAATTACTGATTTCGGAATAGATTATTTTCGAAATGGCTTCGCAAGCTTAGTAAAGTATAGTGTGATAATACATATTAAGGAGTCTAACATTTTGCTTTGAAAGTTACGACAGCTTTAAATGATGTATTCACAGTTTATTGCATAATATTAAAAATAAAAACATTACATAGTATCGGGCGGTCTTATCGCTATTAAGGATATCTTCCAGACAACCTACACTTTCTAGCACAAAATTCCACCAAAAGCTCTTTTTAACCTATTGTCTATTCCGTATGTACCTGCAAACTTAAGACTAAAGCTTGCTTGTTGCCATAGCTTCCATTTTTACAAAAAAATACACGTTTTATAATAATGCAGTTATTTTATTGCATAATTGTCCTTGATAGGTCAAGTTCCTTTTGAAACAAAACTCGATTGCACACATTTAAGCATTGCGCAACTGATACGCGATATTTTTAAACGGCGATCTTTAGATAACATGTTTTGATTGTATCGGACAAATTTTAACATATTATTGTGATATTGATTCTGCAAGCCCAAACTTTGACAGTGTCTTTAGCAAATTTTATATGCAAATTGTCAATTGGTACAAATAGGCTTCGGAATGAAAACTACGTACCACCGTGGTCACCAGATTTTGTAATTATGATGATGATATAATTATGATGAGATCAAGATAAGAATGCATTTGTTAATTAGTCAATATTTTATCAATTTTGTTTGTAACTCATTCTGTTTATATTTGTCTCTGGTTATAGGGGATTTGAGGGTATGTAAATAAAACAACAATTCGCTAGCACTGTTATATTACTACATTATGTCCAGCATATAAATTAATCAACACTGAGTGCAAACAATACATTGGGAACGCTGTTTAAGCTTTTAATAAATAATTTAAGATCGCATTGGTTTTATTTTCCGATCATCTATATACTAAATATCACAATCATTTCCACACATCAGTCCTACAACATCAGTCAAACTTTGACTGCATGACACCACCCGCTTGGAGTTCGCTATGAAGAAAACATGTTCTTTCAGTTTACGTAACTTGGGTAGATCATAAATAGTAAGTGTGGTTTTACAGTGACGCTTTCGCCAGCGCAGTTGGTAAGCGTCGCGGGCCACGAGCTTTGCGTCTCATGGATCATTACATAGTCACGCGGATGGCCCGCGTTGACGGCAATTCAGCCGCGCTTTTCAACCGCGTGCGGGCGAGGAGTCATTGTGTTCAGTGTGCGTTGCACAGTCTCGCCGGTCGGACGCGCGCATGCGTACCGTCGTCGCCAAAATGAATGCGAATTATATCGATACGGGTCGATTGATTGAAGAAGTTCGCTTTCGACCGTTGCTGTGGGATCCATCGAACGAATTATACAAAAACAAAGACGCAAAAAATAAGGCTTGGGAAGAAGTTGGAGAAGCAATCTTTGGAGAAAATTACATAAAGAAAGACAAAGGTATGTTTATAAAATTTGTATTTTTATCAATTACATTTATAATATAAAATTTATATTATGTTGGTATAAAAGTCGTCGTTAAACATATGTAGGGTAAGATTTCAATCGATATGTAGGGTAAGATAAGGTAAATTGATCAATTTTACTTGTTGGAGCACTATCTTTATGGATTTAAAAATAAGATTGTGGATTTTTGATGATTTGAACACTCTTCAACGGTTTACTTGCAGAAAAAACACATTAGATTAGTCATAAATGACTATGAATCATCACTATAGTCTATACTTGAAAGGACGACAATGAATTCAATTCCACTAATAAGTTCTTTCAAATAGGTACTAGGTAGGTACCTCTAGAATATTTGTCTGTCTTGCCACGAAACACTGCCAGCAGGCGATATAAAGTAATCGGCAAACACTTCGCGTAGTGTGTTTCCTGTTCTAGAAACTGGCTGAAGATTCATGTCAATCAAACCACTAATGCTTAATAAGTCATTTCCATTGTAGCCGTCTCGCACTCTGATAAAATTGTGTAATACGCAACAAGCTTTAACTATAGTTTTTGCGTTGGAGAAGCTCACGTTCATTGGAGTGTGAAACACTCTAAACTTGTTTGATAATATTCCAAATGTACATTCTATGTACCTTCTGGCACGACTTAGACGGTAATTGAATATCTTCTGTTTGTGGCTCATATCATTTCGAAGATAAGGTTTCATCACATAGTTCGATATGCCAAATGCACCATCACCAATTATTATATGAGGTGCCACAATATTAGATCCTTGCAGGTACTTTGGAGCCGGTAACCTTAAATTATTTCTTTCTAACTGTTGAAATAGTACACTGTTTTGGAATATGGTGGAATCAGAGTTTTTCCCACAAGAACCAATGTTGACATAAGTAAAGCAATAGTTGGCATCGCACATTGCCAGAAGGACAATAGAATAAAAATGTTTGTAATTGTAAAACATTGACCCTCCACCTGCGGGATTAACTATGCGTATATGTTTACCATCTATTGCCCCACAACAGTTAGGAAAGTTTGCATACATCTCAAACTCTGCACTAATACGTTGCCACATTTGCGTTGTCGGTTGAGGAATGCATTCTTCGCGTAGTTTTTCCCATATCTCACAGCAAACTTCCTTGACGATTTTGCTTATAGTAGTAACGCCCATTCTGTATGTGACATGTAGATCGGAGTAAGTGTTCCCAGTAGCTAAGAATCTGAAAAAAATATATATAATTATTAGAACTAGTAGAAAGTTCCAAGTAGGAAAGGATTCATAAAAAGTACAAGTGAGAAGGCGTGATACACAAAATATTATTTTTGCCAATTTTTTTTTGTTTCAGATAAGCTTTTACGTCAAAGATGGAAATCTGCAAGAGATGGATATTTCAAAACCAAAGCTAATATGAAAAAAGCACCATCTGGTAGCGGGGCAAAAACCGTTACAAAATACATTTATTTCAAAGAATTAAACTTTCTTGATCGTATCACTGAAAACGAAGTTTCAGAATCTATGTACAACATTAATGAACAATCAAGTTCATCTGAAACAATAGCTCACGTAGTAAATAACGACGAAATTTCTGGCTCTTCTCAAAACAGTTCTACTCCGGTGGCTGACCAAGATAAACCAACATGGACTCGGAAGAGGAAACATGAACGGGTACAAGAGAACTCCGCGTTTGAGAAAAAGTTGGTAGATTTGTTAGACAAAAATATGCCAGACATAAGCTCTGACGATTTGTCATTTTTTAATTCTCTAGGTCCAATACTAAAATCTTTTAACAGTTATAAAAAACTATTATTTCGTGCCAAAGTATTGCAAATCGCCATGGATCTCTCCGCGCCAACTTCAAGTGGCACTACGTCGACGTCCAACATCTTGTCACCAGAACATAACTCAAATTCTACTACAACATCAACAACCAATCATTCTAATGATACTACTACGCAACGAGGTTATCAATCAGCAAGTCAATATTACACCGTCATGTCACCAGAAAATGATTCTAATTCTTCTGTAATGTGTGCAACCAATTCATCATATTTTTCAAACCAAACGCTACCAGTCAACGAATCAATGTCTAGTACCACCACTCAGCAAGGCTATCAAACAGCAAATCAATATGATCCTCATTCAACAGTCAATAATTCTGTTCAGCAAAGCTGTGAAGAAATACAGCACTTTCCAAATATTGCATCAGAAAACGACAATTTCTATTAATTACATTTCAACGAGTTTTGTTTTTTGATTGTTTAAATTTGTAAATAAAGTAATTACTAAAAATTAAATAGTATTTTTCATGCCACTTACCTTAAGGTAATCGCCAACTTTTCAACTGGTTCTATAGGTGCTCGACGTAAACTTGATCTTTTTAAATTATGTTCTATCTTGCAGAGTAATTCATCAAATGTTGTTATAGACAGACGAAAATGTTTAAAGAACTTGTCACTATGTTCTCTTAAATCCGCAAACGATGTAGAGAACGCGCCTCTCAGCAATCTAGTGGCATTGTAAGGATGTACTTGTATACGTCGTCGTCGTTGCCTTTTTTTCCATAAGTAATATAGTATAATAAATACGAGAAGTCTCATCACGACTGTATGAGCCGGCAAACCGATCACGACTGTACGAGGCGGCTAACCGCGCGACTAGCTTTAAAACTAGTTTTAAGTTTCGAGCGGGTCATCCGCGCGCTTACCACCCGCGCGGACAGAAGCGTCACTGTAAAACCACACTTAAAAGATCCCGGAATTTTATTATAGCGGGTCAATAATACAAAAATATGTAATTTAACGACTTAGAAGTATTTGGCATATTACTACGTCTTAGAGCCGATTAACATGATCTTAGTGTTTAGTACAACTTGAAAGGCAAGTTCTTTAGTGCTTTAGTGCGTTGCGAGTGAACGTTTACATTTCTTCCAGTAGAGTATCATTACAGCGCCACAATGAACGCGCAACGTCGGCAAATACGCTCTATTCTTCGCAAAATACTAACTATAGTTATGGAACAAATAGAAGACGAGATTTATACGAAATAAATAAACTAAATATAAATAAAGTAGCTTCTTTTAAGGCAGTGTATGCCGAATGCCTAGCCTGTTTGTTTTTGTATAAATTGTTTTTAACGTTCCACAAGCACTCGTGAACAACATATTCAGATACAAATTTGATAGTTTTATCTTCCGACCATTTAGCCATCTTTAAAAATCTAAAAACACGCACGCGTTTCAGTGCACTTGTGCACTCTCCTAAAGATTTTACTAAATTACGTGTTTACACACAACGAGGGAAGATCTCGGGGGTTGGACGGGCGCGGGAGGGGTATTATTTGAAACAAAAATAAAAATTCTATTTTGATTCAACTTGAAAGTCAAGTAGAACCGTACTAAAGCAAGTAGCGTTTACATGTTTCAACTAAAGTACTATCCTAAAGCACTCTGCTAAACACTAAGATAATGTAAATTGGCCCTTATTTCAGATACGACACAATATTTAGAAGACAAAGGAAGGAGCTTAAATGTTTCCATAAGCAAATTCAAAATAAAGTTAAAACAGCACCTTATTGGTTCAATACGTTTTACGATTCATATCCCCTAAAGATGTTTGGATATCTGTTCTTCATAGCGAGCAACAAGTTACGATAAATATATTATGCCAACATTCGTCGATTATCATACCTTCTGTAGATAGTCCTTGCAACAATCCATTTCAATAAATAATGTGCGGATTCAAACCGATAATTCAAAACATACAGACTAGTGATTGTGTATCTAGTGCGTAATACTGATGTGTTCTACTGCGTAACATAAATTTGAGTGAAAATAAATGTGTAGGCAAGATTTTGCTAAATTAGGAAAATGTAAAGATTTGCCAATGAACGTTACGGAATTACTATGGGGCATCCAGTTAGAAACTTTTATTATTCTCGAAAAGGTTGAAATTAAAAAAAAGTTATAAATTTACGATTCCCCAGAACTATTTAATAGTATACGCAGTAAATAAATATACAAACTTAAAAACTATTTCGTTCACAGTCTCACAATTCAGTGCGAATAAGTAAAACTAAAATTAAGATCTATCTTTTAGATTTGACCTACAAAAAAATATTCGTTATAACAAAAACTAAAAAGATTGTGCCCATTTGAGCTCAAACAAGCGAAAAATATTCGAAAGATACTTATAACCTAAATAGTGGAAGCTTCATCGCTATCATAGACATTAATTATTAAAATAAAAAGGGTAACATTGTCTCATGTTCCCTTTGTAGAACATCTATCGAATTTTAATTGCGATTCTCGGATATCGTGTGCATTTTATTCATCTTTAGGGTTGATTCTGATAGCCGCGTCCATTTCTTCTTTGGAGTGATCTTTATCACCCCATCCCCATAATGGGTGCGTACCGTCACCGGTACGTTTCACCCGACTTTGGACTATTTCATCGGACACAGTTTTCAGATCATACGCCCAACCGAATCTCGCGAAAAAGTTAATAAAAGTGGTTGTAAAATTGATTTTGTTGTTTCCTAGTTCAGCAGTTTTGTAATCCCACGGGAACGTGTGGTGGTAGTTGTGGAATCCTTCCCCGAGTGCAAAAATGGCGACCGATATATTCTCTGAGGGCTGAATGCTCTTGTCGTATGGCTTGTCACCCCATTTGTGGGCAGCGGAGTTGACCAACCACGTGACATTGAGAATGAAGGCGTAACGGAACATCGCGGCTACAAAATAGGCGTTCAACCAAGTCTCACCCCAGCCGTAGACTGGAATCACAGTCGGAAGGACGAAGCAGGCGATTGGCATCAAAATCATGTAGTACCTGGAAAGAATCAAGTTTATAGTAATGTCGATCTGTTTAACATGAATAATACAAAGATATTTCTGTTTACATATTAATCTATATTTAACAAATTGCTTTCAATATAAAATACTTGTAACTCACAATGGTAATTTTTAGTACAGAATATAAAGAAACCGAATCAAATAAAATTAAGGTAAGAAAAATTTAATTTTCATATCTTAAGAGTAACTACACTTGGTTATAATTTTGACTACTCGGGTACTATGTTAAATGTTACAATAAAATACCTTGTGACATAAAACTAAATGAACGAAAATTTAAATGTTTTATTATTACAATTTAGCGAATTATATTCAAGATAATAGACTATAGATATAAGTTTTCTCCTGTTAACAAACTTGAAACTTGAATATAAAATTATTATTATTAAGATAATAATGCTTGGAAACATGCTGGTCTTGCTCCATAGGACAATCATAGACTCTGGACAAAATCAAATTGGTTGGGGGGCGTAAATTACGTGAGGTGTTTTTTTAAATTTTCTGTACCTCCCTCCCCCCTGTTGAGATGTCGTGAGATTTTATTCAACCCCCATCCCCCAATCTCACGTGAGATTTTTCAAAACGTGGGTTTCTTACGTAAACGCTATCTTTTTGAGCTCGGAGAACTCAAAATAACACAGAATTCGTACTATTGAGCTCTTCGAGCTCAAAAACAAAATATGTGAAATGTTGAGCGTTTAGGTATGGAGTTAGCGGGAAGTTGCAGAGATGACCTTTAGTTTTCCTAATTTTTTTTTTCAATCAGAAAAAAAATTGCGTGATATTTGCCGAGACCCCCCTCTCCAAAGTAAGATTAAATGAGATTTGACTCGACCCCTCCCCCTTAAACACCTCACGTAATTTATGGACGCCCCCTTGCTGATTTTTTGCTTTTACATTTTTTGGTATTTTTTATTTTATAATACTACAAAATTTAATTATGTTATTTTTATCTCACACACTGTTTTATTATGTTTTTTGTTAATTTTTATTACTCTTTAATGTATAATATTCTACGATTTCGATATTTGTAAATATGTGAGGAACATGTATACTAACAATACAATAATTGACCTATTTGCTGCATTGATTTATTTGTAAGTAATACTTGGTGCATATTTTAGAATAGTAGTTTTATTCTAGGAGTACATTGACTTCACATATAATTATTTAACTAATGTATACAAAATATTGTAAACCTATTTTCAAAGAGTAAGTGTGGAGTTTCTTGCCCATTCTTCTCCACACGAAACTACCTTTTGGAAGGGGCAACTAGAATCATCTTTATATTTTATTTGTTGTTCAAAAGTGCCATTTGTAGGTGGTCTAATTGAAATAAATGATTTGACTTGACTTGACCATAACATTTAATAGCTTTTAAGCGGGCCATAGACGGACCGCATGTTGCAGTCGGTCTTGACGACCTTGCGGTCGCCGCACGGCGATCTGCAGTTTCCATACTAAATTCATATTCGCAATACACGGACCGCTCGAGCAGTTCCTGAGGAAACCGCATGTTGCAGTAAAGACCGACTATGGCCCGCTTTAGGCAACATGTTTAGTTTTTGCAAAGTTTCCACTATTAGTCACCAACATATTGTAAACAATGTTCAGCCTTATCATATCTATATCAAACACTCATACGCATTGATAAAACTTTCACATATAAACCACAATACAGATTATACCAGTTACAAAATCCTATTAATATTGCACTTACTTCTTTTGGAAACGAAGGATGGGGTCAGCGTAGAGGTCACTAAGATCTAACCCTTTCCCTTTCTTCTTGAGTTCAGGATGTTTACGAACTAAAAGCCAACCAATGTGGGAGAAGAAGAAGCCACGGGTTGCATTATGAGGATCAGCATCTGTCTCTGAATATTTGTGATGCATGCGATGGTCCCTTGCCCAATCTATTGCGGAGTCCTGTAGATAAAGTCATGATATTGTCGTAAAATATTTCGTTTATCATTTTGATAGTTAATACTATGGAACTGTGTAAATAAATTTGATTATTATAATAGAGATTCTAAATGTATTCATTACATGTGTTAACTCTACCATCTACATAATTTAACTATAAATTAGTAATGAACATCATGGTGTCATGAATAGATGTTGATGGTAGACAATTTTCTTATATATTATTAGCTGACCGGACAAACATTGTTTCGCCATGTATAGTATTTCTAAGAAACATTGTTTTAGTTCAATAAAAATAACTATCTGCTATAATAAAAAATAGGGGATGATCGTAGTGGGGTGAAAATAAAGGGTTGTATGTATTTTTGTATGTTGTATCATAAAAAAATTTTGAAAACAATTGTTTGGGGTAGACACCTCTTATCACTTAAGGGTTTGAAAGATAGATAGTAACCGATTCTCAGACTTGCTGAATATGCATAAAAAATTTCATAAGAATCGGTCGAGCCATTTCGGAACGAACATTGTGACACGAGATAACAAAATATTTATATTATGAATATAGAATTTTGTCCTTGATTAAATTTTTAATTTACTTACAAATATCACCTTGAAAAAACAAAAACTAATCTAATAACGTATGCCTATTAAGAGAGCCTATTAATTAAGAGTATTATTTCTTAAAAAAAAAAAAATTATATACATAATTATCTTTTTTGGACTTTATTTTAAAACACTTCAGATAATAAAAGTTCTTCAATTCTAGAATGTTTTTTCCTCACATCAACTACTAGTAAAGTATAACTTATTTATTGTAGTAACAATAATTTAAATTCTTAATTTAGACAAATTAAAATCACGACTTTCACTACATAAGTTATAATAATAGAAATATTACTATTTAAGCAACTTATTAAGATGAGTAATATTTACTTGTGCTATATCAGTTATCTTTATTTGGCATAACTTTTAAATCCATTATTTAAGCAAATATTTAACAGTTTTTTTTTAAATTTTACATACAATTTAGCATAATTACATGATAATACCAATTATACACCTAATTGACTTTATAACTACTGTTGGCATATATTATTTAACTTATAAATCAATTAATATTCTTTATTTGAAGAGTGAAGTATGTAACTTGTAAGTAAGTGACTTGGCTACTATATTGGCTTTGTATGGTACAGACTCATCTTAAATAATAAGATGATCGTCATCTTAATTATTGTTTTACTGAGAATCAAACTGAACAATCAACAAACACTGTAGTTTACTACCAATAGATTCAATCAAGAATTAATGGTTCTGGTTTTCATGCCAAGTAAATCTTCTAAAAATTTAAATAAAAGGTTGCACATACGAAAGTTTATGTTATTAAATAATAAACCCGTCATTACCTGAAAAGCCAAAGTGTTGAAGATAACAAGGATGAGACGCAGTGGCCACTTTGCTTTGTATGACTTATGAGCCCATAGTCTATGGGCACCAGCCGTGATTCCCAGTCCAGACATAACATACAATATATAGGCTGAAATTTTTTTTATGATAATTCACAAATAAATGATGTAATATGACTATGAATTATTCATTCATTCATAATAAAAACTGTCTAGAGGTGAATTATTCTGACTAATTATAGCATTAAGGTAATTAATAAGGAATTTTAATTGAAGAAACAAACTTTTTATACTAAGATGATATTGATAATATAGAATAAATTACCAATTAAGTTTCCTACTCTTTCCAATTCAAATAAAATTTACCCAACATTACTGTATGGGTAAGCAAGAATTATTCATTGCATTAAGACCTATAAGAACAAAAATATAGGTTGGCAAGACAAATATGCTGGATACTTAAGGGCAAACAAGAATTACCTTTAAAAAAAATTGTATGACAAATTATTGTTAAATTGATGAGTAAAATTAATATTATGAAATATCTAATAATAGTGACTTACCAAATACATCTGTTTGCCATTTAGCCGAAAACAAAAACAAGTAACCACCATAAATTGCTGCAATATGTAGATATGCAAATGCTATAATGTTTCTCCAAACAAATTTTTTTGGATAGTTATCAGCCTTCATTACTGGAGTATTTGGAATCGCCATATCTGGAGTGGCTGCATCACTTTCAAATAGCACTCCATTCGCATCTGACGAGTTCGGAGCCATTTTAAAGATCCTTCAAACCTGTAACAATTCATTTGTTTGTTACATAATTACGATTGTTTAAGTGTGAAAGTCAGTAAAGGTCGCGGCAACAAATCACTAACCATATAAGAGAAATATTATATTATTATGTTTAACCATATCTCGATAATGTTAAGAGACAACTAATACAAGCATCGATGCATTGAAATTGGCAAAGGAATAATAACAAGGTCACACGTGTTGGAAAACACATGAAAATATTAACACTTAATAAAAAAATACCTAAATTTTATTTTATTTTTCCTAAAGGAAAGTAAAAAGTATAACAGTGCACACTTATATGAAATATCAATTATCCCTTTAATAATGTCCATCCATTATTCAAGGTTTTGTAAATTATAATGATGAGCACACGTTACAGCACCGGAGAATTATCGATTCCAGTAATTTCCCTGTACTTTAGAAAACTATTCTTTATTGGATCCTAATAATATTGTAGTAGTTAGCACAATATAACTGAATTCTTAAGGGGGAAAAAATTAATTACCTCCTGATTCCTGAACAATGGCAACGGGACAAATGTAAAATTTCCCTTTATTTGTGTTTTAATTTTTGACACCTAACATCTTGAAAAGCATCAAAATGTGTCAAATGTCACAAACTTTAACAATTTAAAGTTAATATTAGAAATGAGTTTTACTCAAATTATTAAAAATTAATAGAATAAAGGCTTTTACGTAGTACAAGAAATTTATTCATAGTTATAATTATTATATTTGTAAAAGTAGGTTATGTACTTGTGGCACTGGTACAACTTACAAGTACAAAATATTTTTGGTAATGAGTAGCAAATTAAATTACATAATATATAAATTTCAATGTGAATTAAAAATATTTATTAAAACATAAGGTAATTTAAAGACTCACCGTTATAAGTTTTTGCGCTAAGGTCCAAAATCAATTCAAAATATTTTTAAAATATCAAAATCGACACAACTCACAATACTTATATGTTCGTTAATTAACACGCAAATGTAAGATTAATCACCATTGAATTGATATTTATACTTTAAAAATTATTGATTGTTTAACATCAGAGGTTCACGTGTGATATTTTATACCGTAATGTTTAACTTTGACCGGCGCGGTATCGTGATTCGTGATGCAGTAGCCAGTAACTGCGAAATGTCCATGTATATTGTAGAGTCTACAATATGTACTGAAGTGATGGCAAAGCGGCACGATGTGGAAGGAACGCAATATGCGATTCGTGGATTGGATGACAAAGTGGCGCGATACTAGGACCACGTCATTTCTCGTCCACCGCGCAGTCACGAAGTTAGCCTGTGATCGGCCCATTTCACCATGAGGCAATAACGGATAACCCAAACCTCAGTAAACAGACCTTGTTGACTGAAATTAATTGCGCATTGATATGATTGACCCATGCGAATAACGTGCATGTTTGTTGCGTGGAATCATTTCATGACCTATTATTAAATAATTATATATAATTTTTATATATGTATAATATTGTTAAAAAGGAATTGACCTTAGTCACCATATGTTTGTTGTATGAAAGAAGAAGGAATCTTGGGTATCTACTCTGGAATAAAAATATTTTTCGAAAGGGATTAAGTATTTGATGATTCAAATAATGATTAACGAAACAGGCATTAATTTTTGTTTCAGGCTTTTAAATGCTCCTCGAAATAATACGACTTTGCTGCTTTGAAATGAAAAACTGGTTTCGCAGACCTTGAACTTATTATGATGTCGCTGTCAATCGTATATCATGTAATATAATAATATGATCTCTTCCTATATTGACTCATATTATGCTTAAAGCGGAATAATTGGCTTGGAAAATATTTTTTAAATCTAGCGCAAATGTTTACTTAGCGCTAAAGAAAAGTGAAATACTTAGACAAAATAATCTGACCCTTGTAGCATTACACGACTTTAACACCTTGATGCTTATAAATTTAAGTAACCATAACAAAACTATTGTATTATTGTTAAAAGTTTCATCATCATTTTATTGACATTAAACTGCGAACATGTGAGTCACGTAAGCGATGTTCGCAGGTAGACCTCAATGACCCTAGGAGCAAAGTCCTAGTGTCTGTGGTAACTTAGGTCGCGTGAAGAACACGTGCTTCAATCCAGTATTACTAGATCTCACATTGAATTATAATGACATCACAATCCTACGGTCCAGTTTGCAATTAGCTGGAAAGTCGGAACTGTCAATGAAGTGACATATAGAGAAAAATCTTGATTATATAGGATAAGCGCCACAAAATAAATGATTTAGGATAGTAATGATTCGCTACGCAGCCAGTGAAAGTATTTAAGAAAAATATTGAATTAAAGTTCTTATTATAATAATAGCCAGATGATCAATATTATTTTAGCTGTTTCAAATTTGTTTTGTTTTCTATGTTGTTTATGGAACAATGTATTTTAACATTTTTTGAAGTGAAATTTCTTTAGGCGCATGAGGGTAAAATTTTTACGGATGAAACGCAATAATATTAGCGTCACGAAGATGTGTAGCTTTTTCCTCGAAGAAAAGGGACAGAGCGATTGAGACCGATTGAGAGAGTGAGAAGGGCGAATTAATTTATAGAAATTCTATTTTTTAAATTTCGTAAAGAGAATTTATCAAATATTAGTATTTTATGCAAATAATTTATAGAAATCACAAAAGACGAATTGTAAATTAAAATGCCACGTGTTTTTATTATCGAAGAAATAAATTTAAAAAATTAAATTGTTTTATTTGTATTAATTTTCGACACTTAATATTTTAATGACAATTAAATTCTTAACATTATCTTCCTTTTTCTCTCCGTCTAAGTCTCGGAAATCTAAAGTTTTAGAATTGTATAAATATGAACAAGACTTAAAAATTAGTTTGCCAAAGAAGTTTCACTTCACAGAATACACATGTTTTTTTTAAACATAAATAGAGGAACTAATGAATGACCATCGTGTCTCTGACTTTTTATCAGATTTACCGTAGTATTTGTTGTGTACAAGAGCAACAAACATACACGTAAAAACGTTCTTTCATTTAAAACTTTAAAATTTTGAATAGCATACTTAATTATGTCATGTGGTTTTCCCATTGTGTTGCGCGTGCGTCTAGTACCTACCGGCTAAATATTTTGGCATATTTCCATTGGATAAAATTTTTCATTTGGCGTAAAGCCACGTCGTTTAATCACGCGGAAAAACCAAGCATACCTACTTATTGAATTATTTTAGATAAGCGACCTATAATAAATGTGAAATAGGCGATTGCCTCCAATTATAAAAGTATAATAAGTAGGTACTAAAATAGTATAACTCATACATAATATATTATAAGTGACTTCGTGTTTTTTTATTTTAAATGACACAAGGACATTAATATAGCCTCAACGGAGAAACCAAATTGCCAGAAGCGCGCCAAATTATATTATATATTCTTCTAAGTAACAACAATCCACTGTATATGAAGAAAAAAAATATACAGCAGCGGAAATGCTTACCCAATTATTTATTACTTGGAAAATCAAGACATGATAAAAAAGCGATGAAGGCTGTATCGCGTATCACGCAACTATACGTATATTTTGACCATATCATCATCAAAGGCAAAAATAGCCTACATTATGAATAAGGTTTGCAAAAAAAACATATTACTACCCATTTAATAGTTAAAGAATATTATGGATGTGCGATTCTAATCTCTAAGGTCGTAGGTTTGAACCAATGGATTGTATATGCGCATTTAACACTGACTCGTAGGTACGGCTAAGGAAATCATCGCAAGGAAACACGTCTTAGCCCCAAAACATTTAACGGTACAGAAGGCTAATCACCTACTCTAGTAGAAGAAGCAAATAATCATGAAACAGAAATCTGAGTCCAATACCAAGGGTTTCACAACATACCTATACATAAATTGTTTTTAATAAACATTCACGGACAATGTAATAAAACACACAAATAATATTTACATTATATTTCTTAATAAAGTTAAAAGTAAAAATTAATCGTCAATCGAATCTTGTGATGATATAAGCGCGCGGGGCCACTTCATTATGACCTGAGGAAGCAACGACTCTGGACACAGGAGGAGGTCAACGATGGTGGCTAACGTGTAACAACCTAGACTATTGAGGACCCACTCGTAGTTAACTGGTACGACGCTTAGATGCGCCGCTAGTTCTGAAAGAGACTTTTATGTATTATCCTTGCAACTCCATTGTTATGATATAGCCTTGGTCAATCAATGGCGTATTTAATGGTGAGGAAAAATACATCATTACATACATATTTAACAAATTTTCCTTATGCAATGACAAATTTGTAATCATTACTTGTATAAAAATAATCAATATAAAATAGTTTTAAATTATTTATTATTAAAAAAACTGGCAATGATTTGTTGTAGTTCACTTGCAGTTTTTATCTATACTAATATTATAAAGAAAAAATAATAATTCTACTCTGCTAATTGCTATGCCCCGAGCGACATGGGCTATATTTCTTTACAAAACGTTTAAATGTCCAGACGTGCAAAGCCTGAACTAGTTGATTTTAAATCTACAATATTTAGCATTGATATTATGTAACTACAGTCAAAATCTATTATAACGGCATCGAAGGGACTACTCAAATTTAGTCGTAAAAACCGATGGTCGTAACAGCCGATGACGTTGCTTAATAATAACCTATATGGTCGTCTAACTCCAAAAAAGTACATCGTTTCTTTCCATTTTTCGTCATCATTTCTTGAAGTAGGGAGAATGGAAATAATATATGGTGGAGTTGAGTAGTTTATGTATCCATTTCGATCGATACACGATTTAAATATCGTCGCTCGATAGAAAAAAATCCAAACATAGACACCTTGAATTCATTTTATGACGAAAATGTATAAATATATAATAATAATAATAATAATAATCTTTATTTTCTTCTCTCACATACATAAGGTTTTTATGATTAAAGTAAGATTATAACATTAGGAAGTGTATGTGAGAGACTGGTCTCTGTAACAGGAGACCTGAGTGACAGATAACCAGCCTCTCCACCACCGGACCGGAACGCGTACAATCATGTCATTGTCAAAGGTTACAATAGAAGAAAATAAGTATAAAGTGCTAAAGAAAACATTGTAAACGGAGTTTTAAAAATAAATTTGGTGTGTGTTTGTGTGTGTGTGTATGTGTGTGTATGTGTGTGTCTCTCTCTCTAAGTGTGTGTATGCGTGCGTGGGTGTGTGTATATGTGTGGGGGAGTGGGTGAGTTACAGAATGACAGTTATTAGATCCTCTGTTTCATCATAACTCAACGTCTTCAGCCAAGTAGTAACCTTTTTTTTACATTTGTATTTGGGTAGTGGGTAAATGTTAATTTTTTCGTTTAATTTATTATACAAATAACAGCCTAGGAAACCAAAGAACCTTTGCGAGAAAGAAGTTGTCCATTTTGTAATACAACAGCAAACTTTATGTTTTATCCGCTTGTTAATATTTAAATCGGGGTCGTAACTAGTTTTATGATGTTGTTTTAGAACTGTGTTCAGAATAAATAATTGACGAATTGTTAATACATCGGCTAGGGCATAAAGCTCTTTGGTGGGAAAAAGAAGCGGTAAGGAGTGGCTTACTTTTAATACTGCTCGTTGGGCTCTTTCAAGTTTTAGGAGATTGGTTTTGAAAGTACCTCCCCAAACAGTGATACAATATCCTAAAATTGATTGACATAAAGACTGATAAACTACGTTAATAATTTTTTTGTCTGCTATAGACCTTAAAGTTTTGAAGATATAAATGAGTTTACGGGTTCTGCAAGAGAGAAGATCCACGTGAGAATTAAAACTCAAGTTACTGTCGATAACTACACCCAAATACTTAATACTATGGGCAAGGGAAATGCTTTTGCAATGGCAGAGTTGATTTGAAGAGCAAGTATGGGCTATGATAGAAAAATTATTATGAATGTGTGAGGGAATGTTTTTAATAGAGAAGGGCATAAATTTTGTTTTATCAACATTTAGCGTAAGGCCGTTGCCTCTCAACCATTCATTAACAAGGCCAAAACCAGACTGAGCAGAATTATAGACCTCATTCCAATTGTTGCCAGAGAATACAAGGGCCGTGTCATCTGCAAAAGATATTATCTTACCATTTGGCAACTGGAGGTTACATAACTCATTAATGAATGCTAGAAACAACGTTGGGCCAAGTACGCTTCCCTGAGGGACACCGTAAGTTATTGGCAAGTCACTACTTACAAGGTCACCGACCTTCACCCTTTGAAATCTATTTTTAAGGTAACTTTGGAAAAGACTCAATTGAGAACCACGGATACCCAGAGATTCAAGTTTGTTTAAGAGAAGTGGGACAGAGACTGTGTCAAATGCCTTAGCAAGGTCCAAAAATATTGCTATAACTTTTTGCTTTCGGTCAAGTTTGGCTACAATGTGATCAGTAAGTTCGTGAACGGCGTCATTTGTAGAACTACCGGAACGAAAACCAAATTGCGAGCTAGAAATGAGATTCTTGGTCTCAAGATAGTGAACAAGGCGTTTGTTTATGAGTTTCTCTATTACTTTTGCAATCGTGGGTAGTTTAGATATTGGTCTATAATTATTGACACATTCTCTGTCACCACTCTTGAAAATTGGAACAATGTCAGCCAGCTTAAGCTGATCCGGAAAAACGCCTGTGGAAAAGATCAAATTTACAATGTATGTCAATGGTGGGACTATTATTTGATGATACCGTTTTAATATAGCGCCTGAAATATTATGCCGTCCAGTACATTTGTCTTTTTTTAAGTTGAGAATACAGTTGCGAACTTCACTTTCATCGGTACTATCCAAAACTAAGGATGCTAGTGGCTTGGCCATTGAGGATTTACAACCCCTACCATAGGAATAAGCCCTTTCAGCAAGATCCTTACCCACAGAAACAAAGAATTTATTAATATAATTGATAGATTTAGAGGGGTTATCAGGAGAAATAAGTTGCTCAGCAGGTCTACTAAGTTTTGATATATGCGTTAATTTTCTAATGGTGTCCCAGAGTGCTTTATTATTTGTGTTCGCCGCTGCTTTCAACTCTTTCTCCTCATACTCCCTTTTTAGTTTTTTAAGGAGCCAGTTGCAAAAATTTCTGTACCTTTTGTAGGTTATTTTCTTAATTTCATTGTTCGGGTCTTTTTATATCTTTTATGAAGTTTATCTCGATTTCGTACACATCTTAGAAGACCAGCAGTCATCCAAGGCTTCTTTAGCCTCTTGCGATTAGGTACGGTGTGAGTTTGAGTATTAGAATTTATTTTAGCATTAATCTCCGAGATAAGAAGAGAAGTAGCAACATTTGCATCTGAAACCTGATAGATCGGTTCAAAGCAAAGGTTTTTCATATCATTATCTAGGCCTACATAATCAATTTTACTATGAATGAAGTCCTTGTTTTGTTCGTGAGATTGCTGGTCTTCCAGTATGAGAACTACGCTGTCATGATCAGTTACAGATGATTCAACTACATAGCAAGCGGAAGAAAAAGTACTTTTCATAAAAACATGATCAAGGCACGTCTTGTTGTGAGTGGATATTGTATGTGCGGGCAACAGACCATGAGAAGCTAGTAGATTTAAATAAAATTGAGAATTCACATCCTTAGTGTTTGGCATAATATCGATATTGATATCACCAATAATTATGACTGAAGATAATTTTAGATCGGTAAGAATTTCGTTTAGCGACTCTATAAATTGGGAGACGTCTTTATATCCTGGCGGTCTGTAAATGGCAATGACGGCAGTATTGTCATTTATTTTTATTACAAGACAATTAGATCCGAGTACTTTCGGTTCAAATATTTTTACGTTCAGACAATTTTTGAAGTAAACTATAACGCCTTCATTTTGAGTCAGGTTGTTTTCGGTAAGGGCATGATAATATCCGTCAATATGGGGAATTATATTTGTGTGGCGTAGCCAGCACTCAGTGAGCACAATAAAGTCCCATTCAGTTTTAGATCTATCTAATAGTGTTAATAAGTCTGGGAAGTTCCGATGTATACTTCGAATATTTTGGTGAATTATTTTCAAACATTTTTCAGGATGTTTAATTAAGGTCTGGAAGTCTTCTATTTCACAACTAGAGGAATAAGCTACGGTAAAATTATCAAGATCTTTTAATATTTCATTTGTTTGATCGAATTTTGGTAGGTAAGATTACAAGCAAGGATGTCTTCAGTGATAAGGATTCTTTGGTGCAGGTTTTGTAGCGTTGCATAGGCTGTTGAGCTATCAATTTTCATAAATTTGTGGAGTAATAGGTTATAACTAATATATTGTTTATGAATGTGTCCAAGTGTAAACTTAAATGAATGTTTTTGGAGTGTAAGTGAATGTAAACGTTGAATAAATGAAATGAGGGAGTCGATTTCGATCTTTAAGAGGAGTGCAACACTGTTATGATCGGTTATGTAAGATTGAATTATAAGGCAGTGTGCTTCATTATCTGATTTAAATATAATATGGTCCAAACATGTTCGGTTGTGGGTAGGAACGTTATACCCGGGGTGGCTGTTAAACTCTGCAAGCAGATTCAGATAGTCCCATGAGCGCTGGTCACTTGTCCCTTGTGCAATGTCAATATTTATGTCACCTATGATAATTATGTTTTTATAACATTTCAATTTATTTAAAAGTAGGTTTAATGAATTAATAAAATTTAATGGCTCTCTATATCCTGGTGGACGATAGATAGAAATGATGACAGTAGAGGGATCAAATTTAATTACTAAACAGTTAGCGTCATGAGATTCTTGGGGTTCCTCGATGAGTGGACTAGAACCTTTCTTATAATAGACTCCTTCATTTTGTGTTAAGTTATTTACAGTGGCAGCGTCGTTGTATCCTTGTATATTACTGTGATTTAATTGGGTCGAACTGTGCACACAAATAGGACGTGGATGTAAGTTAAGTTTATTTGTACTTAGGATATAGTATTTAGCGATAGTTCTAGCAGGCATAATAGGTATACTAGACTGGCTATAGTTGAGTAAGTGGTGTATGATTAATGTATATGTTTGTATAATATATGTGTAGTAGTTTTTAAAAGTATAGGTTTGTGATATATGCGGTTTCCGTAATCTCCGCTCACCAGCATGCACAAAAAGATAACAAAAATTATATAGCACTAAAAACAATAAATTAAAAGGTATAAGGTACAGTAACACGTGAGTAAACTTAAAGTATATACTAAGGCTGAATTCCGTATTTCTGTAAGTCTTCCTCTGAGTCAACGCGCATCGACGGTCGACCCTCAGCCACCCTGATGTAGACTTTGCTGTAAGATGTCCAGCATGCAGCAATCTTCTTACCTTTGACAAGCCCTCTGGCCAGAAAAAAGATGTGTTTTGATTTTAACGGCAGGTGTTCCGATATATATATAGTGCAGGCGGGCCCAGGTATATTTAAATGGGACGTATTTAGCAGAGGCATTTTCGACCCCTTCATTTCCTTGTTGAAGGATTTGGATTTAACTAGGAGTGAGTCTCTAATTGATGTCGTGGTGAAGTCGATGATTATTGAAGAGGATTTCGTACGGTAAATATCTCTCACTTCACTCGATGCCAGGGTGGGGTTTAAGCCAACGGCAGTACCAATATTTTTCACTATACGTGTGAGGGTCTCTTTGTTCTCTTGTCCAGACTTAGGAACATTACGAATTTCAAGTTTTGTAGCGTGGGAGTTTTTTTCCAGCATGTCTATTTTAGTCTCTAGTGAATTTATCTGCTTCTTGTATGACAGGTTTTCCTCCTGGAGCTTTTGCATTGTTATTAACATTTCATCATATTTACTAGAAATAAACTCAACTGATTTTTGGATGTCTATATTTTGTTCTATTACAGTGGTAATAGAAGCATTTAAGTTTGCCATCTTTGTATCCTGTTTTGTTGAAAATTCATTAAACATGCTAAAAAGTTGAGACATTCCGTCTGTAATTTCATTATGTTTCCTCTTTGTTCTCCTCGAGATAAACGAAAATTGGTCAGTATTGTCTATTTTACATCCTGAAGTGTCCAATTGTGGGTCAGAGGCGTAACGGTTAAGCGGTGTCGTTGTGGTTGCAATCAATTTAGTATCGGGAGGCGTGCGAACAGTTGACATTTTGCAGGACTAAATAATTAATATAAATGTATAAATATATAGAACATGATTTTGAAATTTACACGATATATTTGTCGCAACCCAAGTAATCCATTTCAGATTTTTTTTATATAAAATTACATTAATTTATTTATTATTACGGGCCGGCGGCGTGCCTCAGTGCTCCAGCTCTCCACTGCGCCCCGCAGTCCACCCCGCACATATGCACCGTATATATGTGTCAACGTAAAATTGTAAAAACCGTTAGATTGTAAACTATCTCGCGAGATTGTAAACTGTCGAAAGATTGTGAACTCAACGTACTGCTTACAATTTAACGTATTATTATTCGGTAGATTATAATCTATCGAAGTGAAATCGTCAAATTGTGAAACGGTACGCACCTCGCGTGCTGATTGGTTGAACGGAATATGCCACGCGCTGATTGGTTGAACGGAATATGCCATGGTGCCTACCATATTTGTTTGTTAATTCGTTTGTTGTCGAATGTAAACAAACGGTGTTTTGGTGAATGTAAATTGATGTCGTCTTCAAAGTAACTCACAGCTATAGGACGTTGAAAGTGAACGTGAAAAGTTATATGAAAATGTTGTGGAAGTAAAATTAACCTGTGATTGACCAAAGAAGTGCAGTTTGAATGATAATTAAGTTAGTGTTGGATTCCAAACATAGTCTAAATTACATACATTTTCCGTGTTTTAATATTTTTTATTCGCGTGAACCTTTGTGATGTCGTATTTACAATGTCGGATATTGAGCCTGTCGATCAACAAAACTCAGAAATATTAGGTATTGTTAATAAGGAAGAATTTACCATAGAGTTACAAAACTATTACAGCGGGCATAATGAAAATAGTAAAAAATTTAATTGCAAAAAAATAAAAAGAAAGCTAATGTTCTTTGTAACTCCAGATGCCACAACTCGTTGACGTGCTACAATAATTGAACATTTTTATTGGTGCAATTTACTTTCTTATTTTTTATATAATAGACAATTTTGTTATTTTTTCAAAAACGTTCATATGTTTTCGATTTGTTTTTTTTTAAATTTTGATTTTATTTTGTGATCGTTTTTTTCTAAAAGAAAATTTCATAAATTTTTCAATTTTAATTTGTGTTTGAAGAGAAAATATTGTTACGTTTCAGATTTTTTTATTTTGATATATTTTTTTTTCATCATGTGATGTCAGAATTATTGATTACCTACTAAGTAATAAATACTAATTTTTGAAGTGCATTCATTTTATTTGACCGATACCCTTGTTTCATTCCTAACTCTATGGACATTGGACATATAATGGTCTACTATAAAGCCGACCAATCAGCGGGCGAGGTGCGTACCGTTTCACAATTTGACGATTTCACTTCGATAGATTATAATCTACCGAATAATAATACGTTAAATTGTAAGCGTTAAGTACGTTGAGTTCACAATCTTTCGACAGTTTACAATCTCGCGATATAGATTACAATCTAACGGTATTTACAATTTTACGTTAACATATGCACTTGAAGTGCCAATTCTAATAATATACGTCATATAAACATAGATAACAAGAGGTCACTAAAATTTCATTTCTCCTAATTCTATTAAAAACATAATATTACTATCAAAATAAAATCGTATTAAAATTATACATAAGATGATATTTATAACAGTAAAACAATTTTTATTATGAAAATGCCGCGGTTTTAAACCGGTGATATTGTTATTATATTATTAACAAATAATATACATTTTTGTTCTGTAAGGGTTTTGTAAGACACATTTGTGTCGAAACGAAACCAAATTTGTGTCGAAAATCCACCATTTCATTATACATGAGCACTGAGGCCTTGATTATTTATTAAAATTATGAATTATAATCGCTTTATAGTCGTTGATAAAGCCCATTTAGTAGCCGTTCATAACAAAAACGACTTGTAAGATACTGGAACCAGGTGTGAGACAATCTCTCCTGTATAAAAAAGTACTCACTTATAAATCTATCTTCTTGTGTGCTTTCAGGCTCTGCCAAGAGTAAGGAAGGAGCGTCAGTTGCCTTAACATCTCTAACGTCATTCACCACTTCCCCACCAGCGTACACCAATATCTCCTTGAAATTATAGTTTTTTTTTATACTTCGTACTCTTATACAATTAAAGAAATATCCTCTTTGAGTATGAACATTGAAAAAAAATCATAAACGATAAACGCGGTTTACATAGAATTATCGAGTTTAAAAAAAATCTATATATTTATTTTTATATTTAACTAGCAGACCGGCCAAGCGTTGCTGTGGCTAAGATTTGTGTTATATTACATAGTAGCAAACTATTCAAGGGAAACGGTAGGAGAACACCAGTCATGGGGATTACCATGCTTTTTTGGTGGTTATGCCATTAAATTGTAGCTTATGTGAAACGTTGGTACTTTCAACACATCTGTTAGAATTGTGACTATCAAATAATAAACAAATATTTTGCAATAAAGTAATATTGCGGGTACAAATTGAGATGTAAGCTATCCTATCTTTTAAGTTGGATCAAACTACACACGGTGTGCAAATTTGATTGAAATCGGTTCGGTAGTTTAGGAGTCCATAGCGGACAAACAACGTGACACGTAATTTATTTATATCTAACCATTTATATATAACCCATTTACTGACTCCCCGCGCCGGGACTTTTTTTATTGTATTGGTTTTTAAAACGGCGACAAAAAAACTTTTCTTTCCCTACACCAGGTTCGAATACACCATAGAGCATTGCTCACGGTTTGCACTAAGAAGTTATTACAAAAAAATTACTTTTAGACTTTACCCGAGAACGAATCAGCAATATTGCGGCCATATTATAAAACATAAGACTAAAAGCGTTTGTTATAGTAACAATATTTAACCGACGTTAAAAAACCAGAGTTTATCAATTCGACGTGTAATTTGTGCAATTATTTAATAAAATTACCGTCTAATATTCGAAATCTTAGGGTGTTTAATTAATTTAAAAGGGCATTAGAGATGCCAGAATAAGCTTAGAAAACTAAAATTAGGCTATCGACGGCGTCGTGCATTTTGTTCGTATATGAAGTTTCTCATGATAAAAAATTATCAATAATAAAAAATAAAAGTTCTTTAAACAAAAACTTAAAAAAAACCACTTATTATTGGTTTTTTACGCTATGGCATAGATTTTATCGCGGCGACCGAATCAAGAAATTCCGTAACGAAATAAACCTAACACACGAGACGTAATATAGGTGCGGCCAATACGCGTTAGAGCGGGACAGAACGCATACTGCGTCTCACATCGATTTAGCGTGATCGGATAGGCGTGTTAGTCTGAGTCTGGTAGAGTGGTAGATTTAATTAATTTCAAAGAAAAAACTTGAATTAATATCGAAGAAAATAAATAATTATATTGCATAAGTTTATAAAAAATGCTATGCAATAGCTTTACCGCGGCAGTCCCCGAGTGCCACACGTATTTTTTTATTATTTAATTGTTATACATATATATATATATATCGTTTTACCTTGAGTGTTTCAATATCGAGCTGTCCGAATGGTGGCATGCAGTAGAACTTGATTCCGTTGAACAACTTCTGGCGAGCGAGTCGCGACCTGCGCGGACCTGGTTCGCCCGTCATATCCAAAACTTCGTGAGGTTCCTAAGTTAAGACCCGGTAATGTGGTAAAAAATTAATTAATTCATTCATTCTTCATTTAGAAAATGTTTAGGGCAATGTAAACAATAATAATATGTACTTTACAAACATGTTAGTTTATGATAAATTTGTACTTTATTATAATGTCTAAAAGACTTGTATCTATGGTCATATTAAAAAAAAATCTTTTTTATAGCAAAACGTGTATTATTATATTTTTAAGCGATCGTGTTCTTTTTAAATCGTATAAATAATTTAAAAAATTACCTCATTCACGACTTCTTTGCTATTAATACATTTATGAATCCATTCCATTGAAAGTATCCATTTAGACGCGGCCAGAGCGCAAATAAATTTTACCGATCTGGAATTTCATACTAAAGAATTGAATATTCTGTAGATTCGCATTGTGATTTAGTTAAATTTCCTCTGAGGGTAGGAAAATGCACTCGCGAGCCCTCTGGCATTGAGAGTATCCATTTGCGGCGGTATCATTTAACATCAGGTGAGACTCCTGACCATTAACAAAAATACCGAATTAGAATCTATTATGCTATCTATGATTGACAGCCAACTTATAATTTTGCAGATATCCTATTAAATTGTATGAAACTTATTAATACACAGTACTTTGCGGTCTTTTTCAGGATTGTGTTCACTTACGCCCGAACCCAATAACATATCTCAATCTATAATCCACCATCTGAGATAGTAATCTTATCCAAATGTTGGAACAAGACGTGTGCCAATGACAGTTGACGAAAGCTCGATTTCAACAGTTAATTATTTTAACAGATTTTAACTTACATCAGTTTTTTAAATAATTAAAAAAACTGTTTGTTATGTTTTAAACATACACATACGTATATTTTAATGTTATTTGTACGGTTTTATTTACTTTATTTTGTTTACATTGATTATCAAATATGAGTGAAAACTCGGTAAAATGGAACGACACAATCTTTATCCGTCGCAAAAAATGGATTGTCTTCGTAGGGTTTGGTTATTGGGATGCAGATAGGAGATCGATCGACTGTCACTATCTGATCTCAGATTGTTTCAATCTGAGATTGTGGATTGATTTTTGGGTTCGGGCGTTATTTAATACACTCTATTAAAATCAAGAATAGTTATTTTGAAGTATTTTTTATTTTATAGATAATAAAAACTTACCGCTGAGCTCTATTATCATCCGTAACACTAACAATCAAATGCGTCACATCCAGTGTGAACTTATCAACGAACGTCCATTTCCTTTGCGTGCAAAGCAATTTCACCTTAGCAACATCTGGCCGTGTCAAACACGAAACGACCAGACAATACTTTTCTATTTTATTTTCTGGCTTTAACTGTTCAAACGCTTTACTCATAATTTCTCTTTCTTGCGTATTAATAGCGCACATTTGTTCTGGGTAGTTGAAATCAAGCGACTTCTTCGCCATTGGGGTGGATTTATGATGCAAATTATTCACGAATTTGTACATGGAGGCCGGTGTTTCGATGGATCGTTTATTTTCAATGACAGACACTTTTGTGTCCTCTGTTACATCTATGGTAACCACAGATTCTTGTCTTTTTGACTCGCGCCTTGATTTAATTGAATCCATTTGTTTGTGAGAAATGTCTCTAAAAATTTGCTAATTAGGAATTAATGATAACTCAAACTAAAAATTTCGACCACGGTGCCTTTATGTTTGTATTGAGATTGGCATGTTCAAGTATGTGTAGAGACAGCGACAATTCTAAAACTTTGTTCAATTCTTCTTTGTGACAAATCAAAATTTCAAAATTTAGGTATTTTGATCCTAATTTAAAATAGCTTATAATTTAAACAGTCTGTACCAATTTGAAGAATTGGATTAAATTTTACAATTTTTTTAAATTAATCTTCGCAGAACAATAATAAAGGGTCGTAGAAAATTTTTTAGCTGTATATAAATAAAAATGAATAATCGTAATGTAAGTAGGCGAATAACTTCGGAACGACTACGCCAAATTAAATTCTGTTTTCGTTACTTTCAGGACAAGTTATGATAGAAAATTAAAAAAAATAATATAACCATTCTGCATTTAAATCTCATAAGTGAGGGTTTTTCAATATATTGACAAAATAGTGCATAGACTATTTATTGAGAAAGGCAATAATATCATGTTATGACCAAATTAATTCAAGTGAAACCGCAGTGTGCCAGTATTAAATAATTGTAAAAAAATGTGTTAATGTAGAGCAGTGTTGACCTAGTAGCTTAAGCGACTCTCAACCCTAAGGTCGTGCGTTTGAATCACGGCTGTGCAGTGGAATTTTACTTTTATTAGCTTAAAAAACACTTCCTTCTACGGTGAAGGCTAATCACCTATATTTCTTTAGATACTACAGTTATGCCCTCAGTAGGCGAAGCATATATGGATATATCGCAACTGGATTATTAATTATTAGTATTAGTGTTAATGCTCTAAAACTAATTCTTAAAAGACCAGCAACGCACTCGCGTGTCTTCTGGCAGTGTGAGTGTCCATAGGCGTTATCACTTAACATCAGGTGGGCAGCCTCCTGGAATTAAAAAAAGGGCTGACAAAACAAATACTTACTTTTGTGGAGTTTCTTCAACAACACTCTTATCAGAATCATCATTTTGTGGCGTACTTGGAACAATGGCCATATCGTAGTCTGTGCTTTCTAACTGTGTGTTAATTTTTTCAGCTATTTCATTTGATTTTGTTTTCTTAACATCAATAGATTGCTGTAAAACAATATTATTAGTGTCATAAAATCTTTTTACATTTAAAATGGTTTAAAGAAAATTTCGAATTTTAAATTATTAATTTTTGTGGTGGTCTGTTGCATCTGCAAAGCGCGCGAAATTTTAAAAGATAAAATATTTTTAAATAATCTTTAACGAAAATAAACACGGATTAAGTACATCATTTTTTATATGAATCAATGTATAATCTGTTTGCTAATGTTATAAATATCCATTACAGATGTTTTAAGCGCAATACACACTGAGCCCGCCGGGCCGCCGACGAAGTTCGGCGACACAACCCGGCGGCCTGTATGAAAAGAATCATGTCGGCAACATGCGCCTGCGCGTGTTAAGTCGGAAACACACTTACGTGTCGTGGCGTGTCGTGACGCGCCAGAAGCATATTTTAATATGATTAGACAGAACGTGTTGCGACACGACACAACATGCAAATATGTTTCTAATCATATTAAATGTATGAAACCAATATGCTTCTGGCGCGTCACGACACGCCACGACACGTAAGTGTGTTTCCGACTTTACCCGCCGACATGTTGACGGCTTGGGTACGCACTACGCCTGCGCTCAGTTGCCCGGCGACGCTCGACCTGTAGTGACGTGCTTGTATTTTTTTACGACAAAAAATTTAATTTTATTTTTTTGGTTAATTTCATGAATGTTTTAAAATGTATGAAGTCATCTGCTTTCAAATCTCTTAATCTGTCATGATTGCTATAACAATTGCGACTCAGTAAACCAGGTCTAACCCAACAGCTTCGTTCCCTTTGGAGCGATCCAGCAATAAACATTTCACAAGCTGCTATCAACAGATCACTGCCATCGTCCTTTTTTAAGATTATTTATATTTACTGAATTATCGAAGATGCACCAAAATTATATGACACAACCACACAACCTTTATCGACACGCGGCAATCACTGACTAGTGACTGCCACATAAATCTCTCATCTCAAGCCGCCGACCAAATTTTCCGACTTGTAATAAGTGAAGCCGCCAACTAGACCGCCGACAAAAAGTTCCCAACATATGTCGGCGGCCCGGCGGACTCAATGTGTATTGCGCTTTATGTCTACTCAGGTAAAACAAGGATATATCCCTTTAAATACTAATAATATATCTTTACAATTCTATTCTTAACTGTTTTCTGTAATTAGGGTTGCCTGAAAGTCATCACTTATTAATGATACTATGTCCTATTGCACTATGTAATTGTTTTTTTTTTACACTATTATATGTGCAATTGTAAATGAATAAGACTTTTAAAATATGAAGAAACTTACATGCTTGCCTTGTGATTTATCTAACTCCAATTCATGTTCAAATAAAGAAAAAATATTTTCGCTGCATTTTTGTGTCGGGTTATCTTTAATGTTGCTTTTGATTTGAAATTTATTTGGTTTCTGGGTACTGGTTATAGGAATCTTTTGCGTATTTGAAATATAATTTGCACTATCTGTAGCTTTGTCTCCTTTCATATCCTCCTTTATATTGGCAAATACTTGATCCAATATCTCATTATAGTCACCAGGTTCACTTTCGTTGAGTGTTATCAAGTTTCTTTTTCCACTCATTGTTGGGGTAATTTTACCTTTTTTATTTGGTACATCAATTTCAGATTCATCGCGTTCCCTCTTACTACTTTTTGTTTGGGATTTAAGTTTGGACACATTGGATGGCATAAAAATTGCTGATGGAGTTTGTATCGTTCTTGAAAGTGGTTGTATATTACCATCCTTAACTGATTCACTGTCAAACATATCAAAATCATTCAAACAGTCTTTAGGATCCTTATTTAATTTAGGCTGAACCAGCTCTGGACAAGATTTATTAGTGTTTTTAATTTCTTCAATTTCATTTATGGAGCTTAATTGTCTTTCAATAGTTTTCTTAGCAGTATTTAAGCTTGAGGTATCAGCAGAGGCTGTATTTTTTTTTTTTACTGAGTCAATTTCAACAAAAGCTTGTATGGATTGGTTAACCAGCTCAGTTTTTCTTTTCTCTTGTAAATTATCTTTAAGAGGTGAAGTAGAAACACTGATTTTACTAACATTATTTTGTGAAATAGATGATTGAATTTCACGCTCAGAATTTACTTTGACATTAACATTATTATCTTTTTTCTTAATACAAATATTGGCTACAGTTTTTCCAACTTTGATTGTTATCTCAATATCATCAGTGTTCACTATTTCACTAGTCTGATTTTTTAAATGCTCATTATCTTCAACTTTGAAACCTATTTTGCTACTCCATGGACTTCTTTTAAAAAAATTTACATTGTTTTTACTATGATTATTACCCTGAGAATTTGATGCTTTTTCTTCTAAGGCTTTACTCAAGTTAGTCTGCTTATTTATTTTCAATGGTCCCAGTGAAATCAAATTCTTACTAGAATCTGTAGTTGCTTTACAACTCTCTTTTCTATTTTCTATAGTATATTCATCAGACTGGTTTTTAATAATGTTTTCAGAATGTACCTGAACAGTATTTTTAATAATATTATCATTTTCTGTAAAGGATGATACTATATCCACATCACTGATTTTACAAGTGTTTTCAAGTGGCACTAATTTTTTTGTACAACTTTGAATTGTTTTAGTCATTTCCACTGAAACATTCAATTTGTTTTTAGCTTGTTTGTTTAATTTGCTAAACTCTTGCTTCATGTTTTTTACAGTTGACCAATTATTTGTGTTTTTACTTTTAATAATTTTAGTTAAAGAGCTACCTGTATTTTTTTCATTACTTAATAATATATCTTTATTTCTAGAACTTCTACGAGGGTTGTCTGTTGAATATTCTTCATACCCATCAATTGTCTCCAATTGTTCAATGTCCATAGGGCCAATTATGTTCTCTTTATCCTTACTTAATATGTCTTCTGACTCAGGAAGCACTTCAATTTTGTCCCAATCATTTTGATCTATCAATACAGCTTTAGCAGTTATTTTATTCTCTTGGTGGAGTTGAATATCCTTATCTAAAATTTTTGAAGGTATTGTCAATTCTGGAATAGATTCTGGTGTTGTAACAGGTACCGAGAAGCGGTTCTGTGAACTTGTTAACCATTCATTTACATTTTTTATAGAATCCTGTAAAAGTCCATTGTCCATACTTGACATATTATAGTCAGTTGCTGAAAAAATATATTTTTATTCTTCTTTAATTGTACTGTTATTATGATGTAAAGAGAGATATAAATAGGTATATTACTAAAGCATGTCAAATACAATTTGTCATTACTTACTTGGGCCAAATATATCTTTTGAAACATCCTGTAAATAGTGTATACGTTCAGTCAAATTTTGTAGTACCATGTTCAGTTTTAAAGACTTACGATCTATTTTAATTCTACAATTTGGACATGTTTGCCTTCCATACCAACATGTGTGACATAAAGAGTGACCGCAGGAAGCTGTAGTTGGTACTACATAATATTTACAGCTGAAAATATAATACATATCATCTTTAAATTAATATTACATTAGTGTTACAAAACTTTAGAACAGTTACGGACTAAAAACGGTCTAATAACTAAAAGTGTAATAAATACTAACCATTCCAAACAAGTAACATAATCCACGTTAGTCTGTACGATTTTGGAAAATAAATTCGAATATTTTTCCTTTAGTACAATATCCATTGTGCGATCGAATTGTGTTGAAATGAATCACAGTAATCGTAAAGTTAAAAACTATGAAAAATATTTGAATTGAACTTTTAAGTTTTAAGCATCTATTCAAAGAGTAATATAAGTATAAGGGAAACTGTTTAAAAATAATTCCAGGGGGTCTAGCCAAGATGGCTTAACAGTAGTGTATGTAGAAAGTCGAAAACTAAATTTGTATGAAAATGACAGCTCGTGTCGACAGTCGGTAGCCTGCCTAGGCCCTAAAGGCGTGAGTCGGGATACAATAAGCGACGCCATGACAGTGCTACGAAAAGACACACATTAACGCTTACGCTATTCGGTAGCCAACGGCCAATTGATGTTTCGGCTGTCGGCAGTGTAGAAAAAACGGCGTTTCTCCGCCGATCTCAAAAGCTGCTGTTTGCAATAATTCAGTACAACTATTGCCATCTTTAATGGCTACCGTTTTAAAAACATGTCATATTTTGGCCATTTTAACGAAATGGTTTTAATTTGTTATCTGTCTTTTTTTTTAACGTTCTCGTGTAATTATAATAATTTAATAAATTTAAACCAGAGTTAATATTTTTAAGTTAAGAGTTTTAGTTTTTCTATGAATCAATGCGAGGATAACATAATAGACACAGATAAATATGAAAATATCAAGAAAATCAGCAAATTAGTAGAGGTAAATCCTAGTTATATTGGATATCTTTTATTGATATTTATATTGCATGTAAGTTCATGAAATTGTTCTTTAATTTGAAAAATACATATACATATACCATTTAATATTGCATATATTATGTAATCACAAAGTAAAATGATTGTACATTTTATTTGTATATTTCAGATGAGAAAGCAGTCACTAAAGAACATAATTAAAAGTTCTAAATATATTTTATTGTAATTATAATAGAAGCTGATAATGATATAATATTGATGTAAATTAATCAAATAAAGTGGATTTATACTTTATGAACTTTGGAAATATAAAATCTAGTGAGCAATACTAAGTAATGGTAAGCAGATATTTTCTTTAATTATTTACTAAGTCAATATACTAGAGAAGTTATTATAATATTGTTAATGAATGAGAAGTTTGAATTCAAGTCCCTTGGGAGTTACTGACATTGTTTGGTTATTAAAAACTTTAATTGACAATAAGCAGCAAAGTGACAAATTAAGTATATTTTTAAGTTTAGAATTAAGTAAAGAGTTTTAATATTAAAGTTACCTATTGAACAAACCTTGGACCGATCTTAGTTTAGTTTGTCAGTTTTCTATTTGATCAAAGTACTAACTAAAATATTTTTTTTTTCAGAAAAAGAGAAGCTAATAAGACAACTAAACATATTTAAAAAAACCACAAATGGACAAGTTTTATTAAAGTCTTATCTTTTAATTAATTTAAGTGTTACATTATGTACCAGAGAATGGGGAATGAAGCATTTTATGAATAATGTAAAAAATAAGACAAGTGGAGTATGAAATAATGGTTGGTTAAGTAACATTACCTCATGAACAGGAAACAGTAACTGAAACTATGTTCTTCCACATTTAATCTTAATAAATTCAGCAGTTTCAATGTTAATGAGATATTATTATAAACAAACTGGATTTATAGATTTTGGGAAGAATTATATCTTTAAAATAACTATTATTATTTATAATTGTTGTGTTAAGGAAACAATCACTGTTTTTTTAATCGCCCAGGATGTATTCATAGTAACTGTAGGTATCATAGTAATTTTATGAAATCATCACAACATCTAACGTTAGGTTTTATGAATTGAACAATTTTTGAAGTTATACTTCTTTAGGCGCGTTATGAAAAATTTATGAGAGTGAAATTTTACAATGCGCGCGCACCCGTGACACAAAATTAGGAGTGTGATTATAGCGTGCGCGAGCGAGATAGGAATAAGACAATCTACAAGTAAAAAGAAATAGAATATGCGTGAAGTTCGTATTCCAACAATTTTGAATGACCATAATGACATTTGTCATTTACCTTTTAAACAAATAAAGGAGTTTTAATTATTTTTTCAAAGAAATTTAGCGATGCTTTTTGAATTATAATCAGAAGTGATTTAAATTGAATATTTAAACCAATACTAATTAATATTTGTGAAAAAACTGTGCTCATCAACCTTCCTAAGTGCTTCAATACAATTGAGGTTAACTATCCGTATGTATTATTATTACTATCGAGTAATGTTTTGATTAAAAAAATAACCACATTGTTTAATCAAAACATGTAATTTTTCTGATTTTATCTAGCAAATATAAGGAAAAGAGACAAAAAACAATTGATGAATCAGTGTAACTGCACTAAATTGAATACAAAAAAAGAGTTTTCATCTTATCGCTGTGAAACATCAAAAACTGGAGGTGGAACAAAGCCAAACTATTTTTAATATTGCCAAAGAAGTATAACTTCTTACGCGCGTACATAAGTACACGGACCCTTTTTTTTGTATATAACAGCACACAAACAAGATATTGACTTTGCTGCAAATTAACACTTACATTTATTAGTTAATTATCTACATATATAAATATGAATAATTGAATACATCTACATTAGGTAGTAATGCATTGAATTTGGTGCACCTGTGTGTGTTCAGTAGTAGGTAATGTCTGTATTGTTTAACAAGTTGTTACATATGCTTTTTTTTCTATGTAGACTGCATTATTTTAAGGAAGATATTTGGTGCCTTATTTTAATAAAAAATAACCATAACTGAAACATTTTTATTTTGCTACCTATTTGTTTAATATTCCTAACTATTAGTAGGTATGGGTCATTCATATATGCATTATCTGTATATTCTTGTAAAATAAACTAATATTGTTAACCACTTTAATGGCTTTTCCTACTAAAGAAGACATAGGTAAATTACCAAAAATAAAACTGACAAATACATAACATACAATGTTTATTCATTTCTTACTTAAACAGATTTTGCATTTACATATTAACTAGTAGCAAATCACTGATATAACCAAAAGTTAATTGACATAAATATTAACTTAAAATCAGCATCAAACTTAAATTTATATCTAAGATGTTAGAGCATCAATATGGACTCAAAGGTTGAGTAAGGCTTATAATTTCATACCAGACTAAGTTTCTATTTTATAATTTTTATTAATCCCTCTTTTCATTTCATTGAGTACTTGCTGCTTTTCAATTCTCACTTTCTAAAAGTATAAATTTATTATAAACAATCAACCTTTATGACTCTAACTTAAACTAAAATTGTTTGTTGGACATAAACAGAGATAATTCCAACTAGCAAATCACTAATAAAATCTGATTTCAAATTGACATTAAAAATGTTCAAGCACAAATACCAAACCTAATTAAAGCTTAAATCAAACTCTAATTTCAGTGTTCACACTAGTCTAGGTTTTTTTTTTCTATTGTTTTTTAATTTATTGGACTATCCTTCTATTTCTTATCAACTTCTAGTCAACCTTATTTTCACTCTTTATTTATCAATCCACAGTACTATTTCTATTGTTTCTTCTAAGCGGTAACAAAATATGTTGCTTCTTCATTTTGCAGATTAGTTGTGAGGTGAAATCCTAAAAATATCAAAGTATGAGTACTACTAATTATTATATATCGCGATTATGCAATTTCAAAATATTGTATTTATTTGTAGCCTTAAATTTCTGAGAAAACATGAAACAAACCATAAGTAATTTAAACATGCAATTAAAATGCATATATTCACTTTACACCTTCAGTAAATTCCACTTAAATCGAAAATTGTTCCGACCTTGCTGACATTCTAATGTCCCTTTTGCAGCTTCCAATAATTGGAATTTGCAATTATTGCAAATTAACAATAATATTGTAGTTTTAACTTTTATTTGTTTATAAAAGTGACATTAGGAATACATTTAATCCAGAGACAATATGACGGAATAAGGTGCTACGAACAGCAGCTCGCATCTACGCTGTCGACTTTGCGGTAATGTATCGACATGCCTCTTGGCTACGAACGAAGCGTTTTCGACAGTACAATTACGCAAAAGCGGTAGTGTATGTAGAATACTTTTCGACACCAATATGGCTAGACCCCCAGGTCCACAAAATACAGATAACAAATTACACTGTGCAGGGGGTCTAGCCGAGATGGCTTAACACTTAACAGTAGTGTATGTAGGAAGTCGAAAACTAAATTTGAATGAAAATGACAGCTCGTGTCGGCAGTCGGTAGCCTAGGCCCTAAAGGCGTGACTGCGTGAGTCGGGATACAATAAGCGATGCCATGACAGTGCTACGAAAAGACACACATTAACGCTTACGCCAACTAATGGAAAACAGTTTTAAATGTCACCGCACTTTTTTGATGATACTAATTATGTAGTAGTCTCGGGGGACCTTCATTAGAACACCTCCAAGTGATTTTTGCTGCGGAAACGCGTCTAAGTATTTAAAAAAAAAATTGTGTAATGTATTGAAATTTGCGAATTTCGTCGCACGAATTGGGGATTTTGGGGAGTGAGGGGGTGGAGGAGAGGTGTAGTACCTAATCACAAATTAGTGTCTAGTATGAATGTAAAGCCAAGTTTCAAAAAAATGCAAATAAAATAACGCACATTCACGTGAAAATAAAAAAGTAACGGATTTCTAACGGAAATTTTGCACTGTAAAACTGTTCACACACTATTCTAGCAAGATCCACATTCGAAATGGCCGTTTACGTTTATAAAATTAATAGGGATGTGAAAAATAATCGATTTCTTTAAAAGTGAAAATAGATTTTTGTATTCGATTTTAATATTAAAAATAATTGAAAATCAATCATAGTTGATCAGTTTCAGTTGAACAGTTATTTAAAAAAAAATTAATATACTAACCTAACCTAACCGAACAATAATAATAATACATTTTTGGACAGCTCTTTAAAAAAAAATATTAATATACTAACCTAACCTAACTGAACAAGAAGAATAATAAATTTTTGGACAGCTCTTTAAAAAAAAATATAAAAAATTCAAAATTTTCGGAACCCTATAATCTATCAACACGAAATTAGGTTAATTTCAATGTTGATTATTCTATAACTTTAAATTAATAAAAAAGGGTGCGTGTACTTATGTACGCGCGTAAGAAGTTATACTTCTTTGGCATTATTAAAAATAGTTTGGCTTTGTTCCACCTCCAATTTTTGATGTTTCACAGCGATAAGATGTCAACTCTTTTTTTGTATTCAATTTAGTGCACTTACACTGATTCATCAATTGTTTTTTGTCTCTTGTCCTTATATTTGCTAGAGAAAAATTACATGTTTTGATTAAACAATGTGGTAATTTTTTTAATCAAAACATTACTCGATAATAATAATACAAACTGATAGTTAACCTCAATTGTAATGAAGCACTTAGGAAGGTTGATGAGCACAGTTTTTTCACAAATATTAATTAGTATTGGTTTAAATATTCAATTTAAATCACTTCTGATTATATATAATTCAAAAAGCATTGCTAAATTTCTTTGAAAAAATAATTAAAACTCCTTTATTTGTTTAAAAGGTAAATGACAAATGTCATTATGGTCATTTAAAATTCTTGGCATACGAACTTCACGCATATTCTATTTCTTTTTACTTGTAGATTGTCTTATTCCTATCTTGCTCGCGCACGCTATAATCACACTCCTAATTTTGTGTTACAGGTGCGCGCGCATCGTAAAATTTCACTCTCATAAATTTTTCATAACGCGCCTAAAGAAGTATAACTTCAAAAATGAGGAAATAATCGATAAATATAAAAAAACGATTATTAACAATCGATAAATTAAAAATATGATTTTTAAAGTCAACTTCACATCTCTTATAACCAATAGAAAAGTAGAAAATGGCGGATTGTTTACAAATTTTAATACATTACACAAAACTTTTTTTTTTCTTAAAAATACTTAGACGCGTTTCCGCAGCAAAAATCACTTGGAGGTGTTCCAATGAAGGTCCCCCGAGACTCCTACATAATTAGTATCATCAAAAAAGTGCGGTGACATTTAACACCAACCCGATCATGAAATTATTCTTAATTTGAAAAATACATTATGTAACTTGTAAGTTACTTGTTTGTTGTAAACTTTATACCATTTAATATTGCTTATAATCACAAAGTAAACTGATAGTACATTTTATTTGTATATTTTAGATGAGAAAGCACTAGATTTTATATTTCCAAAGTTCATGAAGTATAAATCCACTTTATTTACAACTTACAAGTTACATAATGTATTTTTCAAATTAAAAAACAATTTCATGATCTTTCATGCAATATAAATATCAATAAAAGATATCCAATATAACTAGCATTTACCTCTACTAATTTGCTGATTTTCTTGATATTTTCATATTTATCTGTGTCTATTATGTTATCCTCGCATTGATTCATTGAAAAACTAAAATTCTTAAGTTAAAAATATTAACTCTAGTTTAAATTATTATAATTATACGACAACGTTTAAATAAGATAGATGGTAACAGTTTTGAATACCATCGCACTTTTTTGACGATACTAATTATTTAGGAGTCTCGGAGGACCTTCATTGGAACACCTCCAAGTGAGTTTTGCTCCGGAAACGCGTCAAAAATTTTATAAAGATTTATAAAGTAAACTTTGCACTGTAAAACTAATTACCGCTAGTCTAGCATAAACCACATTCAAAATGGCCGATTAAGTTTATAAAATTAATAGGGATGTGAAAAATAATCGATTTTTTTAAAAGTGAAAATCGATTTTTGTATTCGATTTTAATATTAAAAATAATTGAAAATTCGGCGACCAAATATTCATATACTAACTCTAACCTAACCAATCTAAATAATATTTGTTTTTGTGGACAGCTCCGATCTAAATAGTAATTGTTTATTCAAGCCTCGGCTTCTCGGCGTCCTGGTCGCCTTCGGCGACCAAATATTCATATACTAACTCTAACCTAACCAATCTAAATAATATTTTTTTTTTGTGGACAGCTCCGATCTAAATAGTAATTGTTTATTCAAGCCTCGGCTTCTCGGCGTCCTGGTCGCCTTCGGCGACCAAATATTCATATACTAACTCTAACCTAACCAATCTAAATAATATTTTTTTTTTGTGGACAGCTCCGATCTAAATAGTAATTGTTTATTCAAGCCTCGGCTTCTCGGCGTCCTGGTCGCCTTCGGCGACCAAATATTCATATACTAACTCTAACCTAACCAATCTAAATAATATTTTTTTTTGTGGACAGCTCCGATCTAAATAGTAATTGTTTATTCAAGCCTCGGCTTCTCGGCGTCCTGGTCGCCTTCGGCGACCAAATATTCATATACTAACTCTAACCTAACCAATCTAAATAATATTTTTTTTTGTGGACAGCTCCGATCTAAATAGTAATTGTTTATTCAAGCCTTGGCTTCTCGGCGTCCTGGTCGCCTTCGGCGACCAAATATTCATATACTAACTCTAACCTAACCAATCTAAATAATATTTGTTTTTGTGGACAGCTCCGATCTAAATAGTAATTGTTTATTCAAGCCTCGGCTTCTCGGCGTCCTGGTCGCCTTCGGCGACCAAATATTCATATACTAACTCTAACCTAACCAATCTAAATAATATTTGTTTTTGTGGACAGCTCCGGCGCTACGGGAAATGCAGCCCCTCCACCCTTGCGTACCAAAGCACAGGCATTTTATTCAAGCCTCCGCAACCTCGGCTTTTTGGTCGCCTTCGGCGACCAGCCTCAGCCGCTACAGCTTTCATAATGCCTGTGCTTTGTTACAGCGGGTGGGGCTGCTCTTCCTCCGCGCCTCCGATTATTTATATACACTCTAGGGGTAAGACAGACAAGACCACGTGGATAGTGGGGTGCTCTGATTCGGTTTTGGGTACTTTTTGGATATTAAAGTAAACACTTTATTCTAGTAAAAATTAAATAATATAGAAAGTTGCAAACAATGAAATACAAGTACTAATTAGAAAATACAGACGAGTAGGTATCGATAATTTCAAAAAATTTCGGAACCCTATAATCTATCAACACGAAATTAGGTTAATTTCAATGTTGATTATTCTATAACTTTAAATTTCAAAAATGAGGAAATAATCGATAAATAAATAAAACGATTATTAACAATCGATAAATTAAAAACACGATTTTTTTAAGTAAACGTCACATCACTTATAACCAATAGAAAAGTAGAAAATGGCGGATTGTTTACAAATTTTAATACATTACACAAAACTTTAAATTTTTTATAAAAATATTTAGACGCGTTTCCGGAGCAAAACTCACTTGGAGGTGTTCCAATGAAGGTCCCCGGACACTCCTAGATAATTAGTATCGTCAAAAAGTGCGGTGGTATTTAACACCCAACCCAAACGTCCAAAATATTACATGTTTTAAAACGGTAGCCATTAAAGATGGCGATAGTTGTACTGAATTATAGCAAACAGCAGCTTTTGAGATCACGCAAAAACATGACGGATAAACGCCGTTTTTTCTACACTGCCGAAACATTACTTGACCGTTGGCTACCGAATAGCATTAGCGTTAATGTGTGTCTTTTCGTAGCACTGTCATTGCATCGCTTATTGTATCCCGACTCACGCCTTTAGGGCCTAGGCTACTGACTGTCGACACGAGCTGACATTATCATACAAATTTAGTTTTCGACTCTCTACATACACTTAACACTACTGTTAAGTCATCTTGTCTAGACCCCCAGAATCCAGAATAACATCTCTACTATTATGTTATCAGTTGTCAAATGCCAATTGTCATTCGTATTCAACTGAGTTTTATTGGTGGAAGTTGGTAGAGAAGATAGAAATTGACCAATTTGGATTTTATAAAAGGCCATTTGCCTGATAAATTCTTGCAATTTTGTAGTATTGAACTCTTCTTAAAAGTAAGTGCCATGTTATAACTGCATTTCTATAGATATAATTTCATTTTCCATTAAAAAGTGATCAGAAATTATTTTATTACATAATCGAATGTTTTTAAGTTTTGGGTTTCGTAGTCTAAAAAAATAATTGTATACTTTATTTACATTTTTAGCTGTTCTTAAGCAGTTTTTGCACTAATATATAGGTATATGGATTTATTACTTATATATACATTAGTCAGTACTATTAAAATTCACTAGGTTATGTATTTCCAGAATGACTTCAGCTTTGCGTTCTTCGTTAAGAAGTGTGTTCCGGAAGGTACAACTTCGTAGCTATGCTGATGCACCAGCAATTAAAGAGGGTGAAATGGCACTCACATTTGCTGCTGGCAACAAAGTAAGTATCTGGGAATTTATTGTTGTTTCAGGTCAGGTGTATTTTTTTTATTTTATTTTCTTATTTTTAGGATGTGTATTCGATGAAACTTATGCTTTGTGTTTCTTTTCTCTCAACAGTCTTTCCAGAAACTAAATATAGTCATGGAAACAAGTCATGTTAAAAAGTAGCCTCAGGTTGAATAGTAATTGCTTAGTACATACTACTATATATGTACCTGGTATATATCTTAAATACGCACTTAATCTTTGCAGGTCTTCTACGACAAGCAAGCTGTAAAACAAGTAGATGTACCATCATTTAGTGGTGCTTTTGGTATCCTCCCTAAGCATGTGCCCACTCTTGGTATGTGTTATTTTGTAACTTTTTAAAGCCTACTGCAGCTCTGCAATGAGTGGCAATTTTTAAACCTTAACATTTCTATGCAAATGCATTTTTATAGACATAATCTTTCAATGTTACAATACAATCAGTATTGTAAAAGTAGAAATTAAAAAAAAATATTTTAACCGGATTAAAGTTATGTATTATTATAAATTTACAATTATTTAACATAATTTTAAATTTATCCGACGTTTCGCGTGCTTTACAGCGTGCGTGGTCACGGGGACTGAAGACAAAAGGTGTTGGATGTCAAAAAGTACAGCTGTAGAGAAAGTTGCATTATCTGTATTTATTTCCCAAAAAAATATTTTATAATTAAAAAATTAACCACAAATGTTTAGCTGTGCAGAACTTTCTTACCACCTAAGCCTTTTAACCTTGTCATCAATGTTTAGTCTGTGCCACTGTTAATGGAACACCTACCAGGGTGTTATATTGTTAAACTCTGATTCATTAATCTGGCCCATTCATCACATACCCAATACTAAAATATGGCGACAATAATGGAGTAGTCAAGGTGGTAGAGCCACTGGTGTTGCAAGTGCACTAGAATTAAAGCTGCTGCCATGGCAGTAAAGCGTAATGTAATGCTTGTTTGTATACATCATTTCATTTACTTAAAAAAATTGTAAGTTTTATTTTGGTATACTACATATTTAGATCACTGTCATACTATTATGGTGTTGTCAACATAACAAAAAGGTTATTTAACACTGCATTCCAATCACATGACTGTTCTCTTTTCTTCCCATACAGTCTAACACATTATGCAATTTGACAATCTGCTAAACAAAAGATCAACTACTCTTACTTTACCTACTTTTTCATACTCTACTTTAAATACCTATTTTTTTATTTTATTTTTTTGACAGCGGTTCTCAGGCCCGGTGTTGTGACAGTGCTAGAAAACGATGGAAAACAGAACAAAATCTTTGTGTCATCAGGAACAATTACTGTTAACGAAGACTCATCTGTTCAGGTAACATTTAATTATACTTATACACATTTAATTTATATATTTTTAGGTTTCTTAAAAAAAAGTAGCACTACAAACTTAATCATTTGTTTTTTTTTATAATAGACAAATAGGTGATCCGCTTTCTGTGTATGACACATGCTGTTGAATTTTTGGGTCTATGGTAACTCGCTTTCATCATGATTTAAATCCAAATGAGTCAGTGTTAATAGCGCATATAGACAGAAAGTGTAATGGTGCACAGTCAGCGTTTGATCCTTCGACCTAAGGGTTGCAAAGAAGATTAATCAACCAATAAGTTGATATTGCCATCGCCATTGGATGCATTACAACCAAATGTTTCAACATATTTGTGACTAACTAATGTAAAATCTTGTTTTATTGATTAGGTCCTTGCTGAGGAAGCCCACCCATTAGAAAACCTTGACAGAGCAGCAGCACAAGAGACCCTAAGCAAGGCGCAATCAGCATTGAACTCTGCTGCCAATGAAAAGGTATATTTCCCAATAAACCTCTGCGAATCACAATACACACACTCATTGTATATAGTTTATTTTTGTACTTATGCATATATGAGAGTGTGATAAAACAATACAAAACAAAGTTTAATAGAATTGGTTCAAAATTGAAAGTTTGATATTTAATTCCTTAAAAACACAGCAATTTAATTTCGAGTTCTGTTCTATATTATTTATATAACAACACATACAGTAAAGAGACTCATTTAGCTTAACTTGTATAGCTTTAATAAACTCGGAATTGATTACTATGTTATAAGTTTTTAATGAATAAAGTACTCAATGTGACTGATGACATGACTGAATCTCAATGTCAATGTCTGTTAGAATCTCAATGTCTGTTAGAAAATTTATTATATTTATATATTATACTTTTTGGCTAAAGAATTAAATATTAAAGATTTTAAGAAAAATGTTGCGACGGGCGGCATCTCTTCCAGGCAACCAGAATTATTGAAAACAGTAAAAATAAATATTAATTGCAAGAGTGCAAAACCTTACAGTACAAAAAGAAAATAATGTTAATAAAAAAAAAAGAAATAATATTAGCAAAGACAACTAATAACTTTTAAACTTACCAAAACAAAGAGAATAAATAAAAGCAAAAATAAAGATGGTTATGAAAAATTATTAGTAAAAAAATTAAGTATACAATTCTCACAATCACCTCCATTAGTGTTTAACCCGTTTTTCATATGTCCAGTTATTAAAAAAAAATGATTACAGAAGACGATAAGGCTTGGATTTCACTCCTTTAATTTATTTGCAGGCCAAAGCCGAAGCAGCGATCGCAGTGGAGGTCGCCGAAGAAATTGTTAAAGCTGCAACTGCGTAAATGGTTTAAAATAATTCTGTGAACTATTTAATGTAACAAATTATCAATGTGAATGTAAAGGTGAATCGATACGAAATAAAAGTCGATTTAGTTGACATTGAGTACTTTATTTCAACACAAAACACTTTGGTACAAACGGTTAGTTGCAAATAGCGAATGACTTTTGCAAAAATCCAAAATCGTAAAGCCGCAAATGAAATTCGTATAAGCTAACCAAAATTATTAAAAACTCAGTCACTTAGCTTAACTTCAAACCTGATTTCGAACAATCTAAATTTCGAATAGTATTCCTTAAATTTTAATTTATCCAAAGTCTACTTGGAAGGTTTATAGAAGAAATCGTTTGCTAGGAAGTCGCGAAAACCTATCTAAGAGCCTAATTGCAAAGCTTACACGACACAACACGAAGGGAGACATCTAGAAAACGGCACTTGAGCGCCTTAAACCTACGTCATTTCATAGAACGATTAATATGATTAAAAAATGCACCTTATTGTGTATAATCGATTAGGGTAATACATATTTTACATAATTTTGTGATTAGGGAAAGAAAATGCTAAACCGATACGGGCATAAGTTATAATAACCCGAATATTAAATGCTTACAAACTAACTACCGATTATACAGTATTATTAAGAGTTGATTAATAATTACGAATAAAATGCTTAAATCTATCCTTACTAGTAGTGTTTGTGTACGTAAAACAATAATAACGCAAATGGTAAAAAGCACTATTAAAACTTAAACATTTAAAAGGAAGCATTAATATCGACCGCGGTCGCGTTGTCTGATAACTTACAAATATATAAATAACGTTAATGTTAGTTCACATAAAAATGGGTAAATACAAAATATCACATCGTTATTACATGTTGAGCTTAATTAAAACACCCCAAGAGCCTCGTTCAAATTAAGCTAAACAAATAAGATCAAAAAACGTTTCGATTGCCGTCACAGCACAAGGTCGGGAACACCTCGCCAGTTGAATATACGTCACGATTCTAAAGGAATTTAACAATTTGAAATATCTAACACAACCATAATTTTCCGATAAGCATGGCAACGCTACGCAATGACGTTTCGAGGGTTCACTACGGGAGAACGGTCGTTCCCAACTCTGTAAGACGCTAACGAATGATGGCACCACAGTGCGTTAAATCTGGCATTTTGGGATACAAAAATCACACACCAAGTAAGAAAAGACACAACGACCCCGCTGCTCGCTGGCGAAATGCGCAAGCAAAGCAACTCGCTTAAATGCAAACTATTGGTTAAACTCATAGGCAAGAGCGTACAGCGCGGTCGTGATCATCTGCAGAAAAAATATTGGGCGTATGAGAATCCTATAAGCAATTTATAGGTTACACTGCCACAGTATCGTAGGCTGTGAGTCCCCGCCCGTGGACTGCTTGCTGGGGGATTGGGGTGTTTGCTTCTGGTCTGTAATGTTTAACATCAATTATTAAATTATTCTAACAAGGCGTACGGGGGAACACACAGGTTAGCTAATGGGAAATGTCACACAAATGAGGTATTGGATTTGAGTTTTTTAAGTATTTCTGGTACTTACAAATGATAGAATACAATTTCCATAAATCTACATGTATTTATGCGCTCTATCAAAAAAATGCAAAGTTTGAGCCATTTTCTTCATTCGCTAATAGCGAAATAAAATCGTGAAGAAAAATAAGCTGGCTAAATATTGATTATGTACTATTACTATTGATTATATAGATCTAAATAAATGATTATGTAATCCCTGAGCGCAAGTGAAACAAGTATTAAAACAATGACATTTACCAATGTTAGCGAAACAAAATCTTAGTGCACGGTCGGTTAAGTGTTAGCCACAAAGGTTAAACAAAAATTTCAGGCAAATGAACATTCAGCGAACTATTTTGTGGACATACATTGACTTACTGTTTCCTGTTGATCATGGATGCAGAACATAATACATGCTTAATACATACTCTATACACGATGCTTCGTCAGTTAAAACCTATTGTGTTAGACTATCGTCATTGCGCTTTTGTGCGCACACGCAAGGAGGCAGTTAACATACTAAAATTCGAGTGCAAGTGTAAGTTAGATTATTGCACAACAAGTTATGGTAATATTCTTAAAACTTTTAAATTAGTACTGTCGTCAATAATTGACAGTGATACCAGTGTAATCCAGTGACAATCGGTGGTACAAAAGTAGTCAAAAAGACACTCAGTGGGACAAGTCTGGTGAAACTGACCTGTCAATGAGTTTTCTCATTTCCTCGGTGTGCAAGCCGTCCTTGGCAGTGTGAGCCCTGACTGTAACAACATACAAGTCACGACGCATCTACACTAACACGACTTGACCTGCCTTCTACGCAGACATCGCATACAGTACCCAATATTTTAAACCTCTATGGCTCTTATAAGGAAGACAATAGGCTATTTGACAAGATTTCAAAATATAACCAATTTAAATAGTTATTTTAAATTGATGGCTCAAAAATTTAAATAAAAGATTTCAGGAACCCGCCAAAACGCTAAAAAAAAAGATGGCGTCGCACTAGTTTACAGCGTAAACTGACATAAAGTTTTTTACTTGTTAACTACCATTTTTAATATACAGAAATATTTATAACAAAAATTGACTCCATGGAAATTTAAACTTCAATACAGTATTAGGATTAGACAGGCGAAGACATTATTTGCATCCTACGTCATCGTCGATTCGACTAATCTGTGGCCGTTTCGTGTCACATGACGCATAAAAATCAATATTTTGTTTTTTTATAAATGATTGATTATTAACAAGTAATTATACTTCATAACGCTCATTAAAGCCATGATTTAAACGGACAATACTTAATGGTACTGTCAAATAGCCTATTTTAAAAGTAAGGTTAATATTTGGATATTGTTTGTGATAATTCTGAAACATGAACTAAATCTACCAAACCATTTTAGAAAGATTTAGTAAACACAATCACATCTAAGCGTGACGAAACATTTTAGGAAGAAATATTAAAGGATCCCGTAATTCTAAATATGGCGAAATTAGTAAATTTAAATTCTTACTAATCTTGCCATTATAAAAAAAATATAAAATTTTGAACACAAATTTAAGCCAATTGCCATAAAGTCTAAAAGCTGAAACTTCACGTAGTTAAATTAAACAATTGCATGCGGTCAGTCACAAGTTAAATTAAAAGGGGAAAAAACTATTATTTATTTTAAAACGTTACCGTCTTCTGTTCACGTGTCGCCCATGTGCGCATGGACCAATTCAGTTAATTATTTGGAAAAAGCCTTAAGACAATTTATAGATTTATATTAAAATAAGTCATTTAATGTTTAACATTAAGTTAAAAAATTATCTGTTGTGTTTGTTTCATACAGATTTTGATGTAATTTTGTGGCAAGTTAAGATAAGTTTTCTTAAAAAGACACGTCAAAGGATTTAAAAAATCTAACTGGTAATTTTATCCATGAATCCATTTTAATACATCTGAGCCAGTGTGTCAGCTATACGTACCAGGGAAGTTCCGTGGCTGGTCGCATTCGGCTTCAGAGATTTCGTTGGAGTCCTTGCTTTCGTTGAAGGAGGAAGAGCAGTTGTTGTCGTTGTTCGCGTTGCGGGGTGGGGGTGGGGGAGGCTCGGGAGATCCGCCGCATTTGCGGGTACCTGCGATTTATTGCAATATGATTTTTTATTGTGTGCAAATAATAATTTATCAATGAATCGAGATTACACTGTTAAGTCAAAATTCAAAGTAGGCTCCGTGTATACTCTTATTAAAATAAAATAAACCTAGCGACAAACCCAAGTCAGCTAAGGTAGGCGCGCCACCAACATGGCGCTTTAACCCTTTAACCTACCAAAGCATCAAGAAAATAAATCATATATCTTAAACCATGGCTATGTTTTTTTTAAGTAAAATAAAAATCCTTTAATTAAATATCTTTATAGTTGTCATACCAATGCTGGGTCGGGATCCGTAGTGGTCAGAGTAGGGAGTTCCGTAAGCGCCAGTGTACTGTTCGTCTTCGGGTTGGCAACAAGCGGGCTCGTCGTACTCGGGGCCGCATGCGTACATCGGACGTGAGTAGCGGGCACGCTGTGGTTACACATAATAATGTACTCAGGCCGAATCAGCGACTTATCTCTATCGACTGGCCTTCAGATTCAGACACAAGACAACGCTGGCTCACGTATGCCAAATCTAATATGTTTTTGACATTCGTAAATCACGCGTATCGTCTCTGAATCTTACCCTTAGTAAGAACGATATATAGTAATGTATCGGTCGGATGTTCGACGCGACCGGAGTATCATGAGAATAGGAGAAATGAATATTTTAATAATATAAGGACGTTATCAGTATATCGTGTATGTATGTTTGTCCAACTAATCGAAAACTAGAAATAATATGGAGATAATAAATGAGGTATAGTCCAACATAGGGAATAGTAGAAGTTTTTGAGACACTGAGGCTCATACTCTAGAACGTCGATCACACTAAAATTTAGTCTGTCATGTGACATATTTGACAGCGCTCAAGATGTCATTGGGACTTGAAATACGAATTAGACTATAAACCTAAGACTACTACATTTCTGAAGGGGATATTAATAATATAGGTAAACATATAGTGTATTGACAGGTAATAAAAATTTTGATTAAAGTCCGTCGAATTTTTCGGAATTGGGTTATACATTAATTCCTCACCGAGACCTCATAATCTGCAATTGTAAATAACTTACGTATTGGTCCTCTTCAGCGCAAGTGGCAGGGTCATCGTATTCGGGAGCGGTCGAGTAGATAGCACTTTGTCCTCCTTGAGAGTTCTTGCGGGCGTAGCGACTGTTAGCACGGGGCTGGAATGGGATTAACAATTAATGTATAGTTATTGTGGCGTGTACTATTGCATATGGGAAAAAAACCTAGTTGGGAATTATAATAAAAAAAATTGTAATGTTTTTGTTCCAACCATTATCCCACACGAATACTCAAGATAATTAATTAACAGTTATCTATGATAGTAGAAGTTATTATGAATATCATTAAAATAACTTTTTCCTAAAAAAATTTAATCAATTTTTTATTTTACAAACGTTTCTTATATTCCGTTAAAGTCAAAATATATACCTATATTTAAGGATATACATAAAAACGAATTCAGTTTGGTTATACAATACAGTGTTAATATGTTTTGTGTAACGTTATTTTGGTAGAAAACCTATTTTCGATGCATCAGTATGTATCTTTATCATCATAAAGGGCATACATTCTTTTTGCCGGACGTTAAAAGTATTACCGTACGTACCATGCTCTGAGATCCTGCGCGTGAGTGTGCTGGATGGTGTGGGTGTGGGTGTGGGTGGGCCAAAGTGCCAGCGTGGGACGGGTGGTGGTGGGGGAACGCGATAGCCTTGCTGGGGTCCATTTCCTCACGGAAGCCTAGTAAGTGGAACGTTGCGTAGGGGCAGATTTCGTCTTCCATGCCTGGAAAATTCAAGTAAAATCTTTATTAAGTTTGTTCTCCGATTTTCATATATTTTAAGTTTTTTTTAAAGATTCACGTAAACATATAATTTGTATCGACAACGTACAATTTAAAGATACCTAAAACGGTTAAATTCTTGTTAAGAAATAACAACAAAACGCAAATAAAAAATAAACTGAGGTTAAGAAATAAGCGAACGCGTCACACCTGTAAGGTACATACATTTTGTGAATACTTACATGAAATCATAGTCTGGTTAGTATAAATCATGCTTATCACTATTTACTATCTACTAAGCAACTACTACTACGGAGTTAAGCTGTAATATAGAGACAAGTAAGAATATTTGAAGCTCATATTTTCTAATGCACTTTATCGGATAGGTACTTGTTTTTTTAACAAATATCAATATTTATTTTGAGTGTATATAGTTAGTATAAATTTTTACAAATTAAACTGATAACAGATTCGTATTTATCTCTTTATTACCATTTTGGGTAAATAGGCAATATGACTATTCATTTTTACTATTTTTCTTACATTAACATTCTATTTTTAAATACTTCTGGCGAATATAAAAAAATGCTACTATTGCCTATTTACCATTGTGCAAGTTTGAAGTGAAGGTTAAGTTTGATTCGACTTTGAGTTTTACTATTTTTATAACTCCCAATCAAAACAAAATAGTTCAAAATGTCCATTCTGCTCACTCTACACTCAGACAAACTACACTTAGAACAGTGCCATTATATATATGATGGCACGATTCTATTTAAGACTTACCGGTTGATATTGTATCACCAGATCCAGTCCTGCGTAGACGCGTGCGTCGAATGCGCTCATAGTGATGTCTTCGCGGATCCCACGTCGAATGAGCACCCACTGAACCACACTACTGTGTTACGCATGCTACGTACACGTATACGTACATAACGTGCATACAACGTGCGTGTTCTAATTTTAAATATTTACTATGACTACAGGTTTAGTTGACCAATTCTAAATACTGTTACTGAAAATAAACCTTCCTTATTCGCAAATATTGTATGCACATTCTGTAATCGTAACGTTTCATTCTTTCAAACAACTTACCACCTTTAATATAAATGATACTGTTAGGCTATGTATTTAATTATATACTATTATACAGTATTTTATTTTTTATGTATCATTTTGGAGATGTTTGAAAGAATACCATACACCACATACCTTGATTTATGCTTTGACGAATCCTCTTTGTGTCACAGTAATGCAAATTAAATTAAACGAAACATCACAAATAAAAGGATTATAGCCAAAACATAATATGACTGTAACCATAAGCGAACAGCCACCATGTAATTATAACAAAATTAGAACATATTAAGGGGCAAAAAAAACTCTTAAATTCGGCAAAATATAGTGCTCTAGTAGAATGATGTACATATAAATGGATTTGGGGACTATCGTATAAACAATATAATACAAACCTCTTCAACTTATTTAGTCGCGTAGATAGTTTTATTGCTGTCAAGGGCTGATATCCTATTAGTATTAGTTCGTATTATTGAACGTTTGGGCTCTTACTTAAAATACCAGAAATGCCAGCTTTTTAGAAATATTATTTATTTATTATTTTTAATTTGGTTTTTCTAATAATCAGATTAGTATTAAAAATAACTTAACTCTGACAACCCTGAACGAGAGCCCGCTATAGAGACCCTTTCTCAAAAATGTTCCTTAGTTTAATACTAACTTTCTATACCAAATTCCTAAATAACCATCACCTTTCGTACAAGACACCACAATCTTCTATATTAGTAAGTATCGTACAATCAAATCCTTGTACCGAGATATACACTTCAGAAATATTTGGTGATTCTTTTGTCGTTATACTTACTAATAACAGCCTGTCGCTTAACACGGTCGCATGTGTTGTAGTTAGATCCTGGTACGGGGGGAAGTTTCCTGTTGGGGGGTGCGATGTATCCTAATTCATCACGAAGTCCGCCACGCTTGTCCAAGGTTCCGGCGCCACCGCCTAATGCAGCTTGGGATGCGTTGTATACCGCATCATCTATTCATACAATTATAATTAAAGGACTGGGGGATATTCTATAATCTCCATATCGGCAGCGTTACTTTCGTATAGCATTCAAATAAATTTTAACATTTAATTAATGAGCGCAAATTATATCAGAACAGGAATTATAGTGAGGGATGATACATGAAAAATAAAAATTGCTGCGATCGGAATGATTTTCTAGCCCAAGGTAATAAAAAGCGGTGATCATGCCACCATACATACAGTACACGTCCTTCTGACCTCGCAGTCTGTGAGGAGTGTTTCTACGGGCCAACGTCAGACAGATCACGACCATTCCGACGATGAAAACGACAATAGTCGCCAATATCGGGACAAGGACCTCCGGTTCCAGCCAGGCCTTGACCCACGGGGGCAGTTCCTTATCGTCAGAGTTTCCGGGGAGGGGAGCGACAGTTCCTGGAAAAATTACCTTTGTGGTGATGGTCCCTCGCGCCTTTAACAACGCACACGACGACGATCGCAATGATAATGACTAAAATCGCGGCGATTACGGGCACGATAAGGTTCAGATGCGAGAGGATAATCTTGAGCGTCTGTTCGGGCGTCAGTGACGTGTCCCCGGCTTCGCGGATTGGTGCGATTGTACCTGAAATGCAACCTCGGTTTAATAGAATAATACATAGAAATAAATTGAGGCAATGCATTTCAGGTACAATTTTACAATCGATTTTCTTTAATGTTTAATGTATTCATTATCATAGGACGCTAAGATAGTTTCCGCTAAAGTTTTAAGTCGTCTGCAAGATTTATTTACGTTCCTGCTAGTAAAAGCGTATTACATTTCCACTAGCACGCGATACCTATACAATGCCTCAGTCTTAGTGATAATGTGAGTCAAGACTCAAGTATTAAATTTCAACAAAGGCGTAATTTTTTAAAATAATAGATAAAAATTTAAATAACTATAAGCTCCTACTTTTTCCTTTGGCCGTGCTAGATGCACATTTATCTTTTTATGTTATTAGCAGTACCCGTAATCGAGTACTGCTAATTAAAATCATGTCAAAAATCGATTAGAGTAAAATTATCAATAAAGAAGAAATAACGTGTGCCGTTGGGGGACGGGATTTATATAAAATAAAGTTTTTTTGTTAATTTCCTCAGATTTTACCACCGACCATGATTTTATATATATTATCTGTGACCATTTTTGTCAAGGAAATATTTAAATGTAAAAGGAGAATTTATTAAAGTTACTCACCACCAGTCATAGTGAGGGTAGCGAATTCATATTCTGCGACGTTAAATCCAGCGTTGTTGTGTGCGGTGATCCTTAAAACGTACCAAGTTGCGGGTTCCAGGTCTGAAATGGGAAAATTGTTACAAGACGTTGTAATAATTTCCCAAAATTTATAATTTGACGATTTAAAAAACTATGTGTTGATAAACAATTACGTTGACAAGCTCAACAATTTTGATTCCGTCGTAAATTTTTCTTTGGAATTTTCGTTGACAGCCAAGCTGTTATAAAAATTACAAAACTATCTGTGCGTACCTATGTGTTTATGTGTGATTTTGTGTTACCCGTCTAGGAGTAGGGACGGAAAGTTTAACTTCATCGGCGGTGTTGCATTTAGTATAGTAAAAATACGACTCGTATTGGTAATCTAACAAAACCCGCCTTATATAGGTGTTAATAAATTATATACATACCCAGTACTACAAAGTTACCACCAGGTTTTACAGCATTCGAGATCTGGTTCCACTCAGCAGCTCCTCTGCAAATATTTGAGAACGTATTATAGTTATTTAAATTTTGATTTTAATATGTAGATTAATTGATAGATTGATTTATTGTTATTCGATAATTCTAGTCGATCAGTAGTACCAGGACCTTATTACTAAGAAAATAAAAAATACATAAAAACAAAACTAAATATGTGATGTAAATTTGTGTACGGCTTCAATTGTAATCGTGATTTTATCGAAATTCCTTACTTTTTCTTATTTTCAACGACGAAGTGGCTCATGGGGCAGCCTCCATCCAGCCATTGCTTGAGGTGAAGGGTGACAGAGGAACTTCCCACTTCGATGAAGTCAGCGGCACGTGGTACGGGGGGTTTGGATCCACGAGTACGGGCGATGACCACGTCGGATGCTTCGCCTGTTCCAATGCTGCAATATACGAGATTTGATGGTTGAAAATATTCATCCACATTTATAAGTACAGTGTAAACTCTATATAACGAAACTCAAGGGACTGTGCCTATTTTGATGTTACGAAGAGTTGTTGTTAAATGGAAAGAAGAAAAATTTGTATTAGAAAAAGTTTATTTCAGACTAGTGATATTAATTACATAAAATACAATTATTCTTATTTGAACGCTATTGCATATAGTCTGTTATTTTCGTCTGACGTCTTTTGCTGCACCAGTTATGTTGTATTTTTTTACTTATTTTATTCATTTTGGGATATTGAGGCATCTTCGTGATGAAGCACGTGAAAGCAATCCCAATTTGTAAACAATTATTTACAAATTAAAGTTTTGTATGTATGGTGCAGACAGTCGAGCTTATTATGGACTAGGACAATAAAGCGACAAAAGTTACTAAGTACTTTTTAAGTTACCGACTAATTTCGGTAACTTAAAAAGTGGTGTAATGCTATGTAGAGTGTATCATTGTATGGAAGACAAGCTAAACCAACCAAAGCCGAGTGATTTCGACGCTTTAGGAGATTTGTCGTAATATCGAGGGAAGTTACGTGGAGTTTTTTTTAATAATGCAATGAAAATATAAAGGACATACCCGTTGTAAGAAGTAACGTAAAGTTGATATCTGGATCCGCAGAATAGGTTTTCCAAAGTGTAGGTGTCAGTGTTGCTAGGAATCTAAAAAAAAAAAAAATTATAGCAAATTTTCTCTTACGACATGTCAGATACTTTTTGTAAGATAAGATTTTTCCATAAAATACCTGAACAGTTTCCCAATCTCCGAACTCTTGTTTGTAGTGGATGGTGTAGCCAGCTGCGTGTGATTGGTCAGCGTCTACCGGAGGCTTCAGGCGCAGAGTCAGAGACGATACCGAAGAAGATGCGATGCTCAATTGAGGAGGGAAGGGAGGAGCTAGAATTATAAACATTATTGAAGTGAAACTTTGACAAATTTACTGTTTTAAAAAAAAAATACTAGACTAAGAGACGACTCGACGCTAAGAAAACGGTTTTTTTTATAGTTGGCTATACATATTAAAACCACTGAGTTTTTTATCAATATTTTACTTAGTTAACTATAAGCTTATAAAAATAACTTTTTTTAAAACACGAAGGAGGATTATTCGGCTTTTGATCCTTCGAGCCGGATGTATATTAAAAATTTTCGTTACTTACCGAGTACAGATAACGTATGAGTAACAGTGTCAGTTCCGAATTGATTCTCAACATGGCAGGAGTATTCTCCGGCATCTTCCCTTGCTACACCAGCGATTTGCAGAGATCCTTCGGGAAGCTGACGAACGCGTTCTGATGGCTCTAATGGGTGACCTTTGACCTGTTAAATGAAAGCAAGTGAACCATAAGTTTATTGTACAATGTTTAATGGTTATATAAACGCTTAGAAATTTCTGTAGCTAGCGCATATCGCTGAACCAACACACCCAAATTGGATATATAGTAAGACAAAGCGTATACAGACGAAAAAAGTTAAATATCTAATATTCGCAATATTAACTAAAACCTTATTAAACTTACTCTAGAAAATTATTTGCATGAAACATATTAAGTTCGGTCTTTAGCCAACCATAACTTATATAATTATTTAATATTAATTGTTATACCTTCCACAGAATGTTAGGAGGTGGAACTCCGACAGCAAGACAGGGCAGTTTAACATCTTCCTTGTAAGTAGCGGTGAATGATTCGTCGAATGACGCAATTTTGGCAGGTACTAAAAAAGATTAATAAAATAAAATGTAATATATACGATATATTTAGCGATATCATACGCCGTTCCCTTGCCACCGTCAACGTGCCAAGTCTTCTTGAGCCAAGTGGTATTGCAAGAGACGATGGCAAGAGACCGGACGGTATGAGTTTGATTCCATGGAAGATGGGTCGGGTACTGGTATGGGATGCAACCTGTTCAGACACGCTGGCCCCTTCCCATCTACATGGAACCAACTACAGAGCTGGTGCGGCTTGTGAAGCGGCTGAAAAAAATAAAGCAGGCAAATACAGGGGTCTGGGCTCTGAATATGATTTTGTCCCATTCGGTGTCGAGACCCTTGGTCCGTGGGGTCCTAGCGCTTTAAGGCTTTTTAAAGAAATTTCAAAAGGTTAGTCGACATCACAGGAGACCGAAGATCTGGCAGCTACCTCGGACAAAGAATTCTCTAGCAATTCAAAGGGGGAACGCTGCCAGTATCTTCGGAACCTTGCCTAAAGGGACTCCTTTTAATGATATATTTTAGTTTATGTTAAGTTTCGTTATTTATTTCAATGTATATTATTTTATTATTATTAGTTTATGTTTATAAGTTTAATTTTATTAATATTTTATGTAATTGTAATATATACGATATATTTAGCAGCTTAATTTTTTTAAGAAAAATAAAAATGTTCGACAAACTAGAAATAAGAAATGGAAATCAAAGAAAAATGAACCATTCGTACTAGGGGATTATGAAGTTCTTAGAAAAAAACATACATCCCCTTCGAGCTCTTCAACAAACCAAAAAAAAATTGCTATCATAAAGATAAACACATAAAAATCCAGAAAAAAAAACTAATTAATATTTAGTAAAGATAATGGAATTATCAGCTCAAGAATACTAACCTTTATCGCTGGCGCTGCAAGATGCGGTGGCTGAGGGTTGACCTTCGCCGATGATGGTGGAAGCTGTTACCCAGAAGTCGTAGCGGCCGGCCTTCAGTTCTGTCGCGGAGTAGCTAGTTTGTGATGCGGGGACCTGAAATTATTAATGAACATAGAAAAACTAATTAAAAATGTCTTAGTTTTAATTCTAAGTGAAGTTCAACGCTTACACGTTAATAACACAAATTATTTAGTTTTGTAAATTTACTATATTATATCACTTTATGTTTGGTCTCTTATCGGTGTAGAGTGGCGGAGAGTTTATTGCCAGTTCTTCTCGTCTGTTGCACGCCCTTGATTTGAGAACTGGCAGTAAATTTAAATTAGAAGCATTTAATGTCTATTTCTTTTTGACGTTCATAAGTGTACATCGTGTTACCTAAATGAATAAATGATTTTGCATTTGAATTCGAATTTGTAGTTTCGGATACCGTTTCTCTTACTACTTTTAAAATTCTCTCATTTTCGGGTTGTCAAGAAAGGTCATAAAATCTTTTTCCAAAAAAACGAACATCTGACGAATTTGCGTTCTAAGTTCAATTTCAGTTAATAATAAATATATTTAATAGTGTGACGTAGTGTGTGCGTGTGTGGCCGGCTCGAAGTTCTGACCATCCAATTGAGCATGTCTGGGATATTCTAAAGAGACGAGTAATATCAGTGCGACCTGTCATTGTTGAGTCATTGCAGAACAGTGGGAACGTATTCCTCACAACGTTAATAAAAACATTATGGAAAGCATGGCCAGAAGGATTCAAGCTGTGATTTTGGCAAGAACAGGTCACACCCGTTATTAAGTTTTTACATTCGTAACTTTATTTAATTTTTTTTTTTTAAATATCTCTTCTTATTGTTTGGCCGTGTACGTCAATTTTAAAGAAATCATCAAAAAATCTATATTTTAACTTGTGTAAGACTATTTTGTTGTAAAATTACCTTGTTAGGGTGAGGTTCAGCGTTCTGTGCTTGAGTGTACACGTTGTAGTGAGTGACGACTCCATTGGGCTGCGCGGGCGGTCTCCATGACACAAGGATCGAATCAGCTCCCATCACTAAAGCTTTTACGGCACGGGGGGCTTCAGGTACTGTCATATCAACAAAAACCTTTTAGTATTAAGATAACACGAACTTTAACATAAGTCTACTTGCACCGTTTTAACGAAAGGTTTTTTCCATATCACCGAAAACAATTATAATATATAATTGACGGAAAGATAATATTACTTTTATTAAAATAGTTGTTTAAGTTTTTATTAATAAGAAGGTAAGAACGTGAAATAACTTCAAAATAAATTTAATTTCTTGACAGAAAATAAATAAAATATATTAATTATGCTATTTAAGAGTTAATTATACATACCATCTTGTTCAGTCTGACAATGAATAGGTGCTGCTCGGACGCCATCTCCGCCGTTAGTAGTAGCTAACACTTCCATTGAGTAGTTTGTGAATTTCTTGAGACCGTGTAGGATTGTTTCACTGCTGGCCGTGATCTTTGTGTCCTTTGTTTTTTCATCTAAAATTTATAAATATACGTTTTTATAATATATTTGTTGCTATTATTTAGATATAAAGTGCGTGTCTTTGTTTTGTTTGAAGTTATACTTCTTTTGGCGCGTTAGGAAAACATGATGGGAGTAAATTTTTACGATGCGCGCGAACTCCGTCACTAAAAACCGACACCCTGAATATCTGTTCAAACGTCGGTAAAACAGTATGGGCTGTTAGTTGGCGCTTGCTCTGTTTTATCGACAAGTTGCATTGTCTGTCATTTTTCAGAGTCGTGTTTATTTAAACCAAAATAATGATTTCTATACGAGAAAACCCATTCCAAAGTGATAAAAAACATAGTGTTCATTGTAAAATATCATAATTAGTACATATTATATCGTTTCAATTGGAAGTGACCATTAAAACGGACAAGAAAAATGCAATTCGAAGAGGAAAACGTCCCACTAAAGTGCTCGAAGAAAATTATTAGGGCAAAAATGTATTCTTCTTCTAACGCGTGTTACGATTATTTTTATGTTGGTAGTGAACTATAAAAACACTTACCATACCAAGTTTCGCTGGGTCCGTAGATAACCTTGTATGCCTTGATGAGTCCGTTAGCGGCGGCGAGAGGTGGAGATACCCAAGATACGCGAATAGTTTGAGCAGTCAACGTGGTGCAGAGGACGTCTTGAGGTGGGGCAGAGGGAGCTCCTTCGGCTGTGTAGGCTCGGACTTCGTTCGATACGGGACCTGAACCCATCTTGTTAAACACTTGAACCACGATCGCGTATTGAGTGTAGGTCCTGTTAATGATAATTGTTTAGTTGTATCCCATACGTGTATGTAATTTGATAGATCCTTATTGCAGAAGTGACTCCAATAATAATCTACGTGCATTTAATCCACGGAACTAATACACGCTACAGATTTTGCAAATGATATTGTTCATTTTATATAAACATTTCTTAAATTTTTTGTATGTGCGACGTGTAATGGAAAAGGTTAGATCTGCAATATAATAAAGTTACACTGCCACAGGGACCAAACTTTTTAAATTTTTTTTAATTTCCTTTTTATTTTTATCTAATATATAAAATTCTCGTGTCGCGGTGTTTGTAGTTAAAATCCTCCGAAACGGCTCGACCGATTCTCATGAAATTTTGTGTGCATATTGGGTATGTCTGAGAATCGGACAACATCTATTTTTCATCCCCCTAAATGTTAAGGGTCGTCCACCCCTAAATTTTTTTTTTAATTTTAGATAAAAAATTTATTCTTTACTTTTTTATGATACAGCATTAAAAAATACATACGACCCCTAATTTTCACCCCTCTACGATCAACCCCTATTTTTATTATAAATGATATAGATGGCAAAACGACGTTTGCCGGATCAGCTAGTTAGGTGATATGTAGGTTAAGAATATTGTAAATAATGTATATTTGATTGTAATGATTACTTATAAATATATACACAAATTCTATACAAACATGATGTACCAAAAATTTCTTAGTATTTTTGTATAAGCGACGTTTAAAGAAAAAGTTAAGTCCGCAACGCTGAATATATATATGTTATTTTTGTTCTAAAGTAAAACTAGAAAAATCAGGTGTATACTAATGAAGTTTAGCTTACTTGAGGTTAAGAATATCGAGATGGTGTTCCTTGCCAGATTCCTTTGAGATATCGACGGTTTCGAACACGAATGACTTGTTGCTTGATGCCAGTTTGTAACCAACGTAGTACCTGGTATATAAAATTTAACTTACATTTTAAATGAAAAAAAATGGTAATCATTTATTATTTGTAGTTGTGTTTCGCCATTTCATCAAAACTTAACAATGTTCATCTAATTATATGTTCTTCTAATGCATTCAAATGTCTTATTTATTTATTTAGAAAAGCTTGCTAACGCCCGACACACTGATAAAATGGTATTTAAGAAAAATAAAATACAAGATTTAATGTAACAAGCACTTATAGGCAAACAACAAATACGAAGAGAAAATAAATTCGTTCGATTCATAAATTATAAAACTAAAGAAAAATTGATTTTAAAGTCTGAGTGGAGCAACCAATGATATATATAATGATATATCGGTGAGTTTGGTTCGTTGTTCTGAAAGAAGGGACAAATGGGATGATGGGATGGCCCCAAGCTCATTCTTACACTAAATGCAAACGGTATATCAATTAATTTTCTACGATTCTTCTTTTTTCTACGAGTCTTATTAAAACTCTTTGTGAATAGTTTTTAAGTTTCAAGAAATGTTAATTCTTTTTATTAATATAGCGATTTGTTTTTTTATATGGACTGAGGAGTAACGTGTGAATTTAATAAACCAATTCGGTAAAAGCAGAGATTTTGCGACTCACCCTTGAAGTTCGCCATTCCAGTCCTGAGGTGGGGGTGGTTTCCATGTAACTCTAAGGGTGTGCTTATCAGCAGCATCGACTTTGACGTCTTGTGGCATTCCAGTGGGAGCTTCTTCAGCCGTGATAATGGTAACTGTTTCGGATGGTTCAGAGGTTCCAAGTTCATTTTCAGCAACGATACGAATGTGGTAAGCTGTGGCGGGACGGAGACTGAATACACCGGCTTCTGTTGCGTCTCCTGGGACGAGTACTCTGCAATTCATTATATATTTTATTAAATAGAAAGAAAAAAAAAGAAAAAACTTTAATACATACTAAAAAAGTAAACTAGCCCCCACTATAGGATTTTCTGTGTCGTGGGCAGCTATGATAAAATTTAGATTCAATTTTCGGAATCGTTTTGTTATTATGCAACGAATAATTGAATTAATAAATTAATCCATAATAGGACGTTATATACAAATTGTGAAATTAAGCTAGTCTTCCGCTATATACCTCGATGATTTGATTTTGTGTCTCACTTAAGATAGAAGCATTCATTCTTCACAAATATGTGTTTGTGTTTTTGTACACTAGCATTGAAATCCGTGAAAAATCGTATTTTTATATTATTAATTACGTGAATCAGTGCATTTCTGGCCTGGTGGCTTCAGCGTGCGTCTCTTATCCATGAGGTCGTAGGTTCGATCCCCGGTCCACTGAATTCGTATTTCTATGTGCGCATGTAACATTCGCTCGAATAGTGAAGGAAAACATCGCAAGCAAACCAGCTTGCCTTAGACCAAAGAGTCGACGGCGTGTGTCAGGCACAGGAGCCTGATCACCTACTTGCCTATTAGATTGACAAATGATCATGAAACAGATACAGAAATCTGAGGCCCATACCTAAAAAGATAGTAGCGCCACAGATTGTTTTATTTACGTGAATCAAAACAAATGTGCAAATGTTACCTGTCAATATCCTTTTCCCAGTTGCCCTTAGCGCGTTTGTATTCAATGAGGAACTTCTTGATCGGAGAGTTTCCATCGTAAGGTGCGGCCCAAGATAATTGAACAGTTCTTCCAGACTTGTCCAATACCTTTAAACCATAGGGGGCTTCGGGTACCTCTGAAATTATAAATTTTTGTATGACTAGTACGTAGAACATTTCTGCAACGCTAAACTAGTAAACTCGTCGTTACTTCTTTGTTTCCTTTGTAATTCCTGCGTTCTATGTGTTTTGAAGGTTCAGAAAATTTATTGTTTATCTACAAACCACTTCTCCCATTCCTGGGGAGAAATGGATGGTGAAAGCTAAGAGCAGATCCAAAGGGTAAGTTCAGGAGAAGGGGTTTACCCTATAGGGGTCCATAATGCAGACTAAGAGATAACAAAACTAACACCCATTTGATATGTAATTTTTTAACAGTATGAAATTAAAATGGATTTATTATTTTTAAATACGTGAGGAACATGTATACTAACTTTTTTAGTATAGTAGTTTTATTCTAAGGGCCAGTTTTTTGATCCGTAGTAAAAAATGGTTTTACCATTTGTTACATTAACTATAGTTAAATGAATAACCATTGGTAAAATCGTAAATGCGTTTTTCAATGCCTTTTTTTACTATAGTTAAACTTAACAATTTGTCAATTTGTTGCCAGTGCAATGAGCAATGACATCCCAAAAAATGTGGTTCTTTTTTGTGGGGAACATTTATTTTGTATGACAACACTAGACATATTGAGTGAATGAAATCCATTTTTGCCATCTTCATTCGTTATTTGCGCTTTGAAGAGTTTGAAGTGACAAATTAATCTAAATAACACGATATAAATAAAGTTGTTTTTCTGTGATTTAATACGGTTTACACTTTTTACGATACTTAAATATATAAATAACGATGTTCGCAAACAGCCAACGGTCAAATAAGTAAGTACAAACATATTTTCGTGTTATTTATTCCGGTTTATCTTGTGTTTCGTAATAGAAAGTAATACATTTATGTTTTGTTAAAGGGACCATACTGCTAACTTCGCCAAAAAGAAACTGCCAAACTGGTGATGCTTCTCAAGGATTACACAGTCGTAACCTGCAAACAACTGATCACTGCAGCAATCTACAAAACGATGCAGCTTGGAAATCTCTGTGACGTTTTCAACTCAGATGGGTCTAGACACCGAAGTGTTAAATTTAATATACATTTAATGAAGGTGTAGGCACATTTTTATATTTATTCTTGTATAGCTGTGTCCTACAACAAAAGGAAAAAATCTTTTAACCCTTTGGAAACAAGGAAGCGGATTATGATCCACACGGATAAAAAAATTGAGTTTTTGAAACAAAGACAAATAAGAGAGGATGATTTGTTCAATTATGCTAAGGAAGAGCATCAAAAACATTTGCTGCACCAATGTGAGGCCCACCAAAAATTCATACTGCATATAGAGGAGGTGCACCAAAAAGTGATGCAGCAGATGGAAGAAAGGCACAATAAATATATGTAGCAGCAAAAAGAGTTGCATCAAATTGAGGAGAAATGCAAGAAGAAACAATTAGAAAATATTTAATTGCTACTTTAGGGTTTCATGTAAATTTTGTAATGTTTTTTTAATAAAAATGGTTTGTATTTAAGTTATAATTAAACAGTTTATTAATCAAGTCAAATGTTTTATTTATAAATTCTTGTAATAAAGTAGGTAGATGCTAACTCACAAATGTAATAAAAGCCCTAAAGAATATCATAGGTCCCTAACTAATGTGTAGCTGTAGTTTTTAGTATAATATAAATAATAATTATAATTAAATATTATTAGTAATATATAAATAATATTAACTCTAATTCATTATGTATTCTATTGCCTATAATATTAACTTATAATAATTATAAGTTAATATTATAGGCAATAAAACACATAATGAATTAGTGATATACTTAATTATATACTGCTGCGGTTCTGTAGCTAGTAATGAAGCAAAATAGGTTTGTATGAGCTGCTGTCTATATATACTCTTGTTCTTGTATTTTATTTAATTATAATAATTATAAGTTAATATTATAGGCAATAAAACACATAATGAATAAGTAATATACTTAATTATATACTGCTGCGGTACTGTAGTTAGTAATGAAGCAAAATAGGTTGGTATGAGCTGCTGTCTATATATACTCTTGTTCATTGGCAGTTTAAGATCATTCCCAATTTCAGTAACAATCCAGAGCACTGTTCCCTTCGATAGGGGGTAACAGTGACAAAAATCTACATCATCCCAGGTTTCTAATGGCGGATGACATTGCCTAAATATTTTTGGTCACTCATTAACACATTCTCATATAATATTATCGTCTTCTTCATCGTCTCATTAATTAAAGTATCTCAATATGTTTAAATTCATCATTAGATAGTAATAAACGTATTTATCATAGTTTGATTTCTGTGACAAACAGCTGTTACTATATAAATTACCAGCGGCCATCTTTTTAACCCTCCGATACTGAGTAGTTAACTTTTTTGACTAATGGTTAGATATTTTACCATTGGATGCTCTTACCACGGATCAAAAAACGCATTTTGCTGATATTTAACTAATAGTAACGATTTTTTACCAATAGTTGAGTTAACTACGGATCAAAAAACCGGCCCTAAGGGCCAGTTTTTTGATCCGTAGTAAAAAATGGTTTTACCATTTGTTACATTAACTATAGTTAAATGAATAACCATTGGTAAAATCGTAAATGCGTTTTTCAATGCCTTTTTTAACTATAGTTAAAGTTAACAATTTGTCAATTTGTTGCCAGTGCAATGAGCAATGACATCCCAAAAAATGTGGTTCTTTTTTGTGGGGATCATTTATTTTGTATGACAACACTAGACATATTGAGTGAATGAAATCCATTTTTGCCATCTTCATTCGTTATTTGCGCTTTGAAGAGTTTGAAGTGTCAAATTAATCTAAATAACACGATATAAATAAAGTTGTTTTTCTGTGATTTAATACGGTTTACACTTTTTACGATACTTAAATATATAAATAACGATGTCCGCAAACAGCCAACGCGGGTCAAATAAGTAAGTTCAAACATATTTTCGTGTTATTTATTCCGGTTTATCTTGTGTTTCGTAATAGAAAGTAATACATTTATGTTTTGTTAAAGGGACCATACTGCTAACTTCGCCAAAAAAGAAACTGCCAAACTGGTGATGCTTCTCAAGGATTACACAGTCGTAACCTGCAAACAACTGATCACTGCAGCAATCTACAAAAAGATGCAGCTTGGAAATCTCTGTGACGTTTTCAACTCAGATGGGTCTAGACACCGAAGTGTTAAATTTAATATACATTTAATGAAGGTGTAGGCACATTTTTATATTTATTCTTGTATAGCTGTGTCCTACAACAAAAGGAAAAAATCTTTTAACCCTTTGGAAACAAGGAAGCGGATTATGATCCACACGGATAAAAAAAAATTGAGTTTAGAAACAAAGACAAATAAGAGAGGATGATTTGTTCAATTATGCTTAAGAAGAGCATCAAAAACATTTGCTGCACCAATGAGAGGCCCAATAAAAATTCATACTGCATAAAGAGGAGGTGCACCAAAAAGTGATGCAGCAGATGGAAGAAAGGCACAATAAATATATGTAGCAGCAAAAAGAGTTGCATCAAATTGAGGTGAAATGCAAGAAGAAACAATTAGAAAATATTTAATTGCTACTTTAGGGTTTCATGTAAATTTTGTAATGTTTTTTTAATAAAAATGGTTTGTATTTAAGTTATAATTAAACAGTTTATTAATCAAGTCAAATGTTTTATTTATAAATTCTTGTAATAAAGTAGATAGATGCTAACTCACAAATGTAATAAAAGCCCTAAAGAATATCATAGGTCCCTAACTAATGTGTAGCTGTAGTTTTTAGTATAAGTACATACTTGTATGTACTTATAATAATTATAAGTTAATATTATTAGTAATATATAAATAATATTAACTCTAATTCATTATGTATTCTATTGCCTATAATATTAACTTATAATAATTATAAGTTAATATTATAGGCAATAAAACACATAATGAATTAGTAATATACTTAATTATATACTGCTGCGGTTCTGTAGCTAGTAATGAAGCAAAATAGGTTTGTATGAGCTGCTGTCTATATATACTCTTGTTCTTGTATTTTATTTAATTATAATAATTATAAGTTAATATTATAGGCAATAAAACACATAATGAATTAGTAATATACTTAATTATATACTGCTGCGGTTCTGTAGTTAGTAATGAAGCAAAATAGGTTGGTATGAGCTGCTGTCTATATATACTCTTGTTCATTGGCAGTTTAAGATCATTCCCAATTTCAGTAACAATCCAGAGCACTGTTCCCTTCGATAGGGGGTAACAGTGACAAAAATCTACATCATCCCAGGTTTCTAATGGCGGATGACATTGCCTAAATATTTTTGGTCACTCATTAACACATTCTCATATAATATTATCGTCTTCTTCATCGTCTCATTAATTAAAGTATCTCAATATGTTTAAATTCATCATTAGATAGTAATAAACGTATTTATCATAGTTTGATTTCTGTGACAAACAGCTGTTAGTATATAAATTACCAGCGGCCATCTTTTTAACCCTCCGATACTGAGTAGTTAACTTTTTTGACTAATGGTTAGATATTTTACCATTGGATGCTCTTACCACGGATCAAAAAACGCATTTTGCTGATATTTAACTAATAGTAACGATTTTTTACCAATAGTTGAGTTAACTACGGATCAAAAAACCGGCCCTAAGTGTACATTGTCTTCACATATAATTATTTAACTAATGTAAACAAAATATTGTAAACTAATTTTAAAAGAGTAAGTGTCGAGTTTCTTGCCCACACGAAACTACCTTTTGGAAGGGGCAACTAGAATCTTCTTTGTATTTTGTTTGCCGTTCAAAATTGCCATTTTAGGTGGTCTAATTGAAATAAATGATTTGACTTTGACTTTATTATTATATCTACAAACCAAGCCATAATTACAGTTTCTTGAAGGTTTTAATATTAATTCGACTTAGGGTTCTTCAAGAAAAGAGCAAAATCTTAAAAGGCCGGCAACGCACTCACGACTCATCTGGCATTGAGAGTGACCTTGAGCTTCACTTAACATCAGATGAGCTTCCTCCTCCGTCACATAAAAATTACAAACCTTGAATAATCATATTAATGCTGGTATCGTCAGAGCCGAAAGCGTTGGTTGCAACACAGGTGAAGAGAGCGCTGTCGGATCGTTCAGTACGTCTGATACTCAAGTCGGAAACAACTCCACCGGGCAAGATTTCCTCGCGGATCGTGTATCGTGGGTCAGATTTGGGCTCAAGACGTTTGTTGTTCATGTTCCAGATGATTCCAATTGGCTGGAACGATTAGCTTAGTTATAAAATCTGTAGTTAATGTTGCCGTGATAAATTGTTAGATCGTTGAGATCTTAAGCCAAATGCAAAATTTGAAGTAATAATTTTTAAAATAGGAGGTTAGTTAATAAAATTTTCCACTTGCACTATAACAAAAATTTCTAAACTTTTTTCTTCGTTCTATATAAAATCTGTTTAGTTAAACGCAAACTTCATTCTGTGTTATAAAGTCACTTATCGATTAAGGATATGTAACTGACGATAAACTGGGGTACAGATATAAAAAAAATACATAATCGTTTCTTAAAATCGAAACTTAACAATCAAATATACAGTACTTACAATCTTCTTAATCTACGTAGTAGTAAAAAAAAAGTTTGGACCCTATGGCAGTGTACCTTTAAAGCTGGCAGCATTTCCTCGCTGTATTGCGATACTTATTCGTTGAGCGAGGCAAGCACCAGCTCTGGGGTCACCGTACTATCTACCAGGTACCAACTTAAATCTTTAATAAGGGCCAGTGAACTTGAACCCCACGGCTCAAGTCTATTCCAAAGTGAACAAAATCGAAGTTGGAGGAAAGACTCTTATATACGAGCCGTATATATATATTATTTATTATCAGGTCATACACATACAAAATAAACATTACCTTTTCACCCTTAGCCTGGCACTGAAGTACAGCGGGTTCACTTCGGCGAGCAGTCTGGTTTCTCATTTTAATTTCGAATTGTGGTGGAGCTGTAAATAGTTTGTTATAATTACATAGAAATATTAGGTTGGGGAAAAAGTCTTTTCGCATTATACTATGTATGAACTTGTAATAAAATCTCTTTGGCTATACTATATGTATTTGCCTGTTTTTGTTATCATTGAAAGTTGAGATTTCAAAGAAGATAATTCCAAATTCATATTAGGATAATGTGTGATTTTTATTTATTTTTCGTACCGTCAAGATAAGTGAATCTAATGAAGAAATTCGATACATTTCAAAATTTTACTACAAAAAGGTAAAAATGCAACGCAAGCCGCGAAAAAAATTTGCGATGTTTATGGACCTAGTGCAGTATCTGTGAGAGTAGCACAAATTTGGTATAAGCTTTTTCAATTTTTTTTTTTTTTTTTGACCATCGCTTCTTAACTCTACTGCGAAACACTGATGAGATTAAAGCAAGGAGTTGAGAGAAAGCGGCCGGAATTAATCAACGGAAGGGGTGTGATTTTTCATCAAGATAACGCTAGGCCTCACACATCTTTAGCCACTCAGCAAAAATTAAGAGATCTTGGCTGGGAGGTGTTAATGCATCCGACGTATAGACCTGACTTTGCGCCTTCAGATTTCCACCTGTTTCGGTCTTTTCAGAATTCTTTAGGCAGTGTCAGGTTAACATCACGAGAGGACTGCCAAAACCAATTGTCGCGGTATTTTGATCAGAAGCCCCAAAATTTCTATAGCAATGATCATATCCCTTCCTACAAGATGGCAAAAAGTTATCGAACAAAATGGTACCTACATACTTAAGTTTAATGTAAATAAACTATATTAAAAAATGCTGTGAATTTTCTTGAAAAATGCGAAGAAACTTTTTCCCCAACCTATTATAAGTTCACATAGGTATTGACGCTAGTCTCTTATGTCCTTAATAAAATGCGTATTTTTATAATTAAGTCTGGAGAGAGATAGTGTTATTCTTAGTAGAGCGTTATCTCTGTCACACTGGACCTATGAAGGGATTTTATTTTTTGCCTATGAGTACCCAAATCGATTTTCCAATCTCCCTAGTGGATCCTACGATAGGTTGAGCCATACTCGCCGAATGGCGCATTTTAAGCTGTAGATAGGGAAGCTCTGTGATAGCGGTACTTCATTGCAAAAAGTAAACCTACGTAACGTGTCTAGTCCTTCATAAATTCAAATAAATTCAAAATTTTATAAATAAATTCAAAGCCCTTGTTAAACGTAAATTAATCAATAAAGCTTTTTATAAATTTGACGAATACTTAAAAGATCCTAATCCTTGGGATTGATTTGCTTCAGTTCAAACAATTTGTATGACTCAAAACTTAGCGATAAAAAAGAGTGGCAGAAAGTTTTTTGCCAGTTTTTCTTTCCCGCCCTTGACTTGTGAACTGGTAGTAAATAGAAATTTACAATTAATTTAACTTCTTTTTTGACGTTCATAAGTGTACTTGTTTACCTATATGAATAATATTTTGAGATTGAGTTTAATAATAGATAGACGTAATAGGACTTACCCTGAACGCTGATCAAAATGACGGCAGACAATCCAGATCCGATTCCGTTAACAGCCTCACACAGGTAATAGCCCTCGTTTGTCTTTTGAATATTAGTAATGGCCAATGTTCCATCCTCGACTTTAACATTTGGGTTGTTTGGTTTAAGGTCTTTGTAATCGCCTGGCGTGTCACCTATAAACATAACTTATTGCAACTCTATTCTCGCACTTAAATAAATAATAAATTTTGAATTAAATCCGAAAATAATTAAATCTGAATAAAATTATCCTGTTGTTTAGCTAGATTGCTTTATGTGTAAAGAACCAGTTCATTCTCCCAGAATGAGAATTATGATTCTTGTGTGCATACATGAAAATAAATCACCTAAATATTACACTTACGAAGACTCTTTATAATTTGATATTAAGTAAAGATATGACTGGCGAAAGAAAGGCTGGGGTGGGGTATCCCCAATACCCCACCCCAGACAAGAAGCATATATTTTTTTAGTAAAGATACTTTCACTTGATATTCCAAAATGAAATATTGATAATTTACCTTCAGCCCTCTTCCATGTGACTTGGGGCTTAGGGAAGCCATCGGCTTTACATTCAACTTTAGCATCTGAACCTTGAGCAAAAGCTTTGTCAGTGGGTTCCAAAATCCAACGAGGAGGAACTAAAATATTAACGATATATTATAGCTATTTGTATGCGATATACATATTGTAAAAATTCTAGTTTTCTAAATTCAAAACTGTGGCATTTGTACTCGTATAATTTCAATTGTTTCACATAAGTGACTGATCACCTTAATTATGTAGTTCGAGTTCGTAACTCATGCTTCTAATTTTATAAAATATCTATACCTCTTTGAAATGGTTCAGAAGTTATTGCTGCGCCACTATAGCTTTGTTTATTGAATCAAATGAAATATTTAATATTCAGTACTACACAGGAACAGTATTTCTATTAAATTTGGATACAAATTTTAATACACTGAATGGACTATAATAAATTTTGCTCGGCACGTAGGATAGCTTAACTAAATCAAATTTTGAAAGATTTTTAAATATTGTTCCTGCAAAGTATGATGTATTATGTGATAGACTGGAAAATGTTCGTAATTAGTATCTTTATTAATGAATTCATCTAATTTATAAAATTCATTTTCCAGCTTTATCACGTAATCATTTAAATTAAAAGCCTCTATATGTATTTAAATGGATATTTCTTTATATTTTTCTTAAGATTATAACAAAACATTGATTAGCGCGTGAGATGATTCGAAAGCTTGCCTTAGAAGCTTTTAACTTATAAACTTACTGTTATGCAAAAATAACCTGAAGCCCAACTAACTACTGAACAAAACAAAAATAATAAAACAAGCGCCAGCGCATTTTTTGTTGAAATAAAACGGATTTATGTGAATCATCAGTAGAATTATTTCAACAAATGTTAGTAAAGCAAGACATGAAGCAAAATTATAATGCAAATAAAACTAAAGTCTAAGACAGGACTGAGGGAATGGAAGGATTAGTAAAAATGCAGGAAGAGGAAGAGAGGTGATATCGTCGATGATAGCCGCAGTCGGTTCCTAGGAACAGTTCTATTCATTTTATCCTAACTAATCTGTATTAACTCTATCGCAATTATTCAGATTTGCATTGAAATGCACTAACTTTACATGTTTGATGAGTCGAAGATAATTATTCATTAACTTGTTTAAAAGCACACATCAGTATGTAAACTACGCAAAGCTTTGGCCGTGCTTGGAGATATATCAGATTACACATATTGAGGGGTTGATGTATATGTACCATGTACTTCTAACGAGGCAGAATAGTTGGAAGAGCCCGCAGGATTGCGGACAACACATGTATAAGTGCCACTATTTGACCACCCTGCTGGGTCAATTAGAAGTAGCGATGCCCTTTTTGCTATTTTAGTTGCTGAGACTTCGGCTATTTCTTTTAAAGGCCGCCCTTCAAAGTACCACTGAATGTCTAGGGGAAGATCGCCTTCCGAAATTAGGCAGGTCAATTGAGTCGCTTGGCCCGCGTATAGTGGAGATTCAAACGAAAACGGAACAATGCGGGGTAGAACTGGAACCAACCACAGAATAGTGGATTATTTATCTATAGGCAAGCAATGTTAGCAATTTCAGAATGTATGTAAAGATGTGTATATAGGTCGGGTATTTTGGTGCTCAATTGGTGATGTTAGTTCTTTTATATTCCTCCTGGATTAATATATTTTGATAATTGTATCATAATCAAGATTTATAAACGTGCCATTAACGACGAGGGTTGCCGCGTGCTCAACACGTCCAGCGGCGTTTTGAACGATACAAGTGTAGTTCCCCTGATGATTTGCGCTCACAGAATTTATAGTGAGTACAGAAGCACGGGGACCCAACGGCGTCGTCGTGATGTCTCGGTGCATATTGGAATCTATTGTTTCGCTGCTAAACGTCCATGATATTTCGAGAGGCATATCTCCTTTCGTCGCGACACAATTGACGACCACAGCGTCACCAGGATTCGACGGGATATCTCCGAACGTAAACGGCACTATCAACGGTGGTACTGGGATAGCAAAAATTTACAATGAAGCGAAACATTCAGAAAAGTATTATGAAAGTACACGATAGGGAGAACAAAGCGTAACCTCATTAAATAATTAAATATTCGCACCCCTTACAACAAGTTCTGTTGTGTGTGAAACGACACCACCGGCGTTGGTGGCCGTACAATTATATAACCCCGCGTGTGATGCAGCTATAGATTCTATAGTAAGTACACTACTTCTTCGGTCATTGTTGCTAATTCGAACACCAGGAATTATTCTAGCCGACTGATTATTAAGAGTCCATTCTATTTTTACGGGTTGATCACCGTGGGTGATTATGCATTGCAATGCAAAATAATCTCCCAGGAAAGCCGGTTCTGGCCCAAAAGAAAAAGGTGCTATCTTTGGAGGAACTGAAACAAATGATGTCTAAGTTGATATAAACTAGTATTCTACTATTCAGCTATCGACTAACCGTAAACGACTAAGTCAGTAGAATGTGTCGTTCGTCCCGCACGATTTTCTCCAACGCATGTATAAGAACCAGCGTGTTTGGCGTCAACCGATTCGATTATTAGTAAGCTACTACGTTTAGAATTCGACAGTAAGTAATTATTGTTTCTTTGCGATACTAATTGTCCATTAAATGTCCACGTTATTGTTAATGGAAAATCTCCAAAATTAACAGTACACGCTGCTTGCAAATATTCACCCACGTTTGCGGGTTTTTCGCCGAAAGAGAATGGTATTATGTTAGGAGGTACTGAAAATATAATTGAATACTATCAAGAATGAAACATTAACTGAATATGAATAATAATAAATATACAACATAACAACTAGGCTAAAACCTAAATTATATGATCGCGAAATATTATGCACCGTTAATAATTAAAGTTGAAGAGTGCGAATCAAATCCTGCTTCATTTTCTGCGACGCACGTGTAATTGCCTGCATGACTATGGGCTACTGCACCGATACTTAAAATTGCGCTTCTTTCTCCAATATTAAAAACCGTAACACCTGATCTAGGTTTGATCGGTTCATTATCAAAAAGCCAACGTAAATGTAGTGGGTGATCTCCTTCAATAACCGAACAAGCTGCTGTTACCACTTGACCGGAGTTGAGAGCGACCTCTCCGAATGAAAATGGTTGGACCACGGGAGGAACTAAACGAAAAGCAAGCAAATATTATGATTGATTCAATTTGAATACCGATAACGTTGAGAACGGCTGTGTGATTAACAACTCCTGCTTTATTGCTTGCCGTGCACGTGTAGTTTCCACTATTAATATCAGTCACGGTGGGAATGTCTAATACTGACACGCGTTCACTCAATTTTGTCGTTTTGACACCCAATCTACGAGTAATGTATTGGCGTTGGAATGTCCATGTTATACTAAGAGGAATGTCGCCTTTGGGAACGTGACAATCTAGGTGAACAGATTCTCCTGCAAATACGGCTTCGTCCAGCTCGAATGGTTTGATGTGAGGGACGACTGAGCAAAGAAAAACATACAATGTTATTTTAATATATATCAAAGTTCATGCTGTTTTATATCAACTAAAAATACCCTTAACGTGAAGAGACGTGGAGTATCTATCTTCACCAGCTCTATTTTTAGCGATACAAGTATAATTGCCGGTATGGGCCCCGGTGACAGAAGCAATCGACAAGAAGGAAGTCTGTTCTGCCATCTTCATGGTTTTTATCCCTGAGTGTGTTGAGAGATCTTGGCCCTCAAAAGTCCATGAAATAGACATTGGTCGATCTCCTTTACTAGCATGGCATGTCATCTGGACTGATTCGCCAAAGTAAACTGATTCTTCGACCTCGAATGGCATTATATGGGGTGGAACTAATGAAAAGAAAACAAATGAAAACTAAAAATATCTAACGTGCATTTGCAATGTTAACACGACTTCCAGTCGGTTTCATCTAATTCAGGATATTCTAATAAGAGCTAAGACGACATGGTGTACCATGAATGTTGACGACGGCAGAATGATGTGCGCGGCCGGCCCGATTGCTTGCCGTACAAGTATAGTTGCCACTATGTTGTCCCATTGCTGTAGGAATGCTTAGAACGGATGCCTTTTCTCCTAGTTTAGTTGTCGTTATACCCATATTATTATGGTAGGGAATTTCGGTCCCTTGAAAGCTCCACGATATTTGAAGTGGACGATCCCCTTTTGATACATGACAAGTTATGTGTACCGACTCTCCAGCGAATATTGATTCTTCGACTTCGAAGGGAATGATATACGGAACCACTTTAATAAAGATAATGTGAATAAAGTTAATAGCTGTTAAGGATACGGATATAAATTAAAACTAAAAAATATTTTTATGCCAAAAGCGTTCCGCACTGATATAGTAAGTACCAATAACTTTAAGGACGGTAGTGTACGAAGTAGTTCCAGCACGGTTTTTGGCTATACAGCTATAGTTCCCACTATGGGATCCTATAACTGATGGTAGTACTAGGACGGATGATCGGTCTCCTACTTTAGAAAAAGTTCCTAGATCTTGAGACAGTTCTCTTCCATTGAATTGCCACCCAATTTCGAGAGGCGTGTCTCCTTTTGATATATGACACATCATCTGAACGGACTCCCCAGAAAACAAGGCTTGATCGACGTCAAATGGTAAAATGTTTGGTGTAACTGCACAAAAAACAATGAGCCAGAAAAATAAAGATGGCAAATGATTCAAAATAAAACGTAACAAGCTCACTCTGCTAAAAGATTTGCAAATGGAATTCGTGCTTTTTCCATGAGCATATATTTCAGCATCGAAAAGCTATTCAAAACAAAGTTTAACAATAATGATGTAAAATGAAACTGACCATGAACATTAAGGACAGTGGAGTAGTTAGTGGAGCCAGCGCTATTGGTAGCTACGCAGGTATAATTGCCACTGTGGCTTGCGCTAGCCGTAGCAATAGAAAGAAAAGAAGTTCGCGAAGTCATTTTCGTTGTCATAATCCCGAAATGTGAAGATGAATTTTCAAATCCATGAAAATGCCATTTGATGTCAAGGGGTAAGTCGCCCTTTGAAACGTGACAGTTGAGTTGAACCGATTCACCGGCGAATACTGATTCATCCGCTTCAAAGGGCACGATGTATGGTAATACTGTTAATTTAGAAAGCCGAAATTAATGTTGTGGCAAGCGTGCAGCGTGCGTATATTTGTGAAGGGGTTCGGGAGATACCATGAACATTGACGGAAGTTGAGTGTAGAGCAAGGCCAGCGTGGTTCGCGGCGTGACACGAATATTCGCCACTGTGACCAGCCATAGCACTAGATATCGTTAGTAACGACGTTCTTTGGCCGATCTTCGTGGTTGTTATTCCTTCGTGAGAAGATAGTTCTTTTCCGTGAAAACTCCATGTAATAGTAAGAGGTGTATCGCCTTTAGAAACGTGGCAATTTAACTGTACAGACTCCCCGGCAAAAACTGGCTCCTCAGCCTCGAACGGAACGATATGTGGAGGAACTGGCAAATAAAATATAAAACAAATAAAAACAAAGAACATAGAAACTAGTAAAATGTTTGTATTGTACCCTGAACGTGTAGTGCAGCAGTGTAGTTTGTGTTTGCAACAATATTGGAAGCAGTGCAAGTATAATTTCCGCTATGTTTTTCCGTGACCGAAGGGATAGCTAAAATAGAACTTCTGGCGCCTACTTTTGTTATTATGACGGCATCATTTTTCTGCAGGGGCCGAGATCCGAATGACCAGGTAAAAATTATGGGAGTATCACCCTTTGTAGTTTGACACATGACTTGAATACTTTCACCATAGAATACAGCTTCATCAAATTCGAAAGGAGATATGATCGGTGCCACTGTGAAGTTAAATAAATATACTAGTGGAATACGCTACGTTTACAACAATAATTTTGGAATAGTGGAAAAACAAAACTGAAAAGCGGACAATGTTTACAATGAACGTATACCCTTGACATTGAGCGTTGCGTGATGGCTAGCCTTGGCGACTGTATTAGAGGCTGTGCATGTGTAATTGCCAGAATGTTTAGCTGTAACTGCACCTACAATGAGAACTGAACCCCTGTCCCCGGCATTTATTATGTTTATCCCTGATAGAGAACTCACATCTCCCTCGCTAAAACTCCACTTGAAATTTAAAGGCGTATCTCCTTTTGGTACGTGACAAGTAACTTGTACTCCTTCACCGAAAAATACTGATTCATCGAAATCAAAAGGCGTTATGATAGGTGCCACTGGAATAAACGTTCTTTTGTTTAGTAACAATCACATTGTCGTGTTTTATAGCCCGCCAAAGTTACGTATACAGGACAGGAAGGAATAGGCTGGAGGAAGACTACTACGTACAATAATAAATTCAATATTCAAGAACTGATACCGTTGACAAACAGTTGAGAAGTGTGGTTCAGAGCACCAGCTTGATTTCTGACTACGCACGTATAATGGCCTTGGTTTTGGTGAGTTACAGATTCAATACTGAGTTGGCTTGTTCGTTTCGTATTCAATAAAGTAACTCCGATGTCACCCGATTTAACTTTATTTCCATTGAAATACCATTCTATCAATAAAGGTAAATCGCCTTTGCTAACCGTACATGTGACTAACACCATTTCCTGGGCATTCACTGTGTCTTCACCGAATTCGAAAGGAATTATCTGTGGCGGGACTGTGAAAGGAAATGGAAAGAACAAAATTAACTAAGCAATAAAACTAGGATCGACTTAAGTACCGTTGACGTAAAGTTCAGCTGTATGGTTTACGCTCCCTGCTTGGTTTTTGACAAAACACGTGTAATTTCCTTGATTGTGATGAGTTACAGATTCAATTGCAAGCTGACTTGTACGCCTGGAGTTCGTTAGTAATACGCCATTTGTTTCAGACTTGAGAGGTTTTCCATTAAAATACCATTGAATGACAAGTGGAAGATCACCCTTGGTTACGGTACATATGACAACAACCATTTCTTGATCGTTAGCAGGATCGGATCCGAAATCGAAAGGCATTACTTGTGGCGTAACTGTTTTTTTACAAAGTAAAATTAAACATTTGTTAAAACTTTTGGAGAATTTATGGGTTGTAAAAGGTGTAAGTGATATTTATGGGGTAATGAATAAATATATAAAAAGTAAACACAAACATTAATTAGTGCGTGTAAAAGCGACTGCTGATAGAAGTGTTTTTCATTTGAAGATACCGTTAACGTTGAGAAGTGCACTGTGACTACTGGAACCCGCTTCATTTTCAGCTATACACGTATAGTTTCCAATATGTTCATGCTGAACATTCTCAATGCTAAGGACCGATATTCTCTTCCCATTTCTATTGATGAAAATACCATTCCCCGAGTTTAGTATTTCGTCGTTAAGCTGCCAGTGAATTTTTAATGGCAGGTCACCCTTTCCTACAGTACACGTAAGGGACACCGTATCGCCAGCGTTAAGGATTTCCTCGCCGAAATCGAATGGTGTAACCTGTGGTGCAACTGTGATAGCGATAATTAAAGGGATATCTTGGAATATAAACTAAGCTACATTGCGTCAGAATTATAACATTATGAAAGGTTAGGGAAAGGGACAAATGCAAACGAACTTGCGATATCAAAGCAAAAACGTACGATGTTTTGAAATTTACCATTAACTACCAGGTCTGTAGAAATATTAGCGTGGCCAGCTTGATTTGAGGCAAAACAAGTGTACACCCCTGTATGTATGAAGGAAACTGCGTCTATTGATAAACTACTAGATTTGTGGCCAATTTTAGTGATTGTTACTCCTGGGATATCATTCATCGGCTTCCCGTTTAAGTGCCAAGTGATATTAATTGGCCTATCACCTTTCGTCACCATACACTGGATGCCGACTGTGTCACCCGCGTTAGCAGGCTCGTCACCGAACGTGAAGGGATGGATTTGAGGTAAAACTGTTAAGGGAGAACTACTTTACTATGTTTTACTAATATGAAGAATGAAATATAGACCGTTGACTTCTAGCGTCGCGCTATGATTGACGTGTCCGGCTAGATTCTCTACGTGACATGCGTACACGCCACGGTGCGTTCCATTCACAGAGTCAATGTTGAGGATAGACATTTTTCGACTCATGCTTCCTATTGCGATTCCCAGACTATTCGCGCGAGATATCAGTTTTCCATTTAAGCTCCAGGAAAAGTTCGCGGGCAGATCGCCCTTATTCATCACGCACTGAACCGATGCCGTGTCGCCTGCGTTTGCGGGTTCATCGCCGAACTCAAAGGGCAAGATTTGGGGAGGTACTGTACAGTGATAAAAAGCAATAGTAAATAAAATAATGAAATAAGCGAACCATTAACACTAAGGACAGTGGTATGGTTTGTTTGTCCTGCCTCGTTTCGGATTTCACAAGTGTACGAGCCGCGATGGACGGCGGTCACGGCTTCGATGTTTAGAATGGATGTTTTCTTGCTGATTGTAGTGAGAATGATGCCGAGATTGTTGTGGGAATTTATAATATCACCGTTGAAACGCCATTTAAATGTCACAGGCAGATCTCCCTTGCTCATCACACACGACACGGAGGCCGTTTCACCTTCATTTAGTACCTCCTCTCCGAATTCGAAAGGTGTGATTTGAGGCGGGACTGAGATAAAGAATATTCAATGAACAAAAAGCTGGGGTTTGGATAGGGAAAGTCTAAATCAAAAAAAGTTACACTATGTGTACCATTAACTTCGAGTATGGCGCTGTGATTAACGGAGCCAGCTGGGTTCGTTGCCACGCAATAGTATGTGCCTCTGTGGCTTCCATTAACGGAATCAATGTTAAGGATCGATGTCTTTTTGTTAATGTTGGTAAGAACTATTCCCAAATCATTGTGTCGGAATATGATTTGTCCATTAAAAATCCAGGAGATATTGAGCGGCTGGTCACCCTTGCTAACTGCGCAGGAAATAGACGCCATATCTCCAGCGTTAGCCGGTTCGTCGCCAAATTCGAAAGGCAAGATTTGTGGGGGAACTGTATAGAAGATCATTTAAGTGTGGACGCAATTTAGCGCAAGTTGTAGCTTTGGCGGGTATAAATTTTAATCCTAGTACCTAAATTTAATTACCCGAATGTAAACTCTGAAAGAAACTGGTTAAACAATTGTACGAAAGGAATATCATGAAACATTCATTTTTCTAAGTTACTTATTCGCATTTCTGATAAAAACTTATTGATGTACATGATATTACTTCTTCGAAGAATTGCTGAGTATAAATCAATAAATAGTGTACATTTCTATGAGATTATAATATTTTTTGAGAACTCAGCCACGTCGCTTACCATTATTAAAAACAATTAAAATTTTGTAATACAGTTTTTTTGTAGGAATCGAACCTAGTATAGTGTAGTTTTGACATTACTCAAAGGGTAGTAAGCGACAAATTCTTCGGAATTTATAAGTACATTTGTGAATTAAAACGCCAAATGTATTAAAATTAGTACAATGTGTCATACATATAATAAGTCTATAGATACATTTTAATAAATTTGCCGTCTTTCATTGAATACTTGAATAGTAAAAAGTTTGCGTCCACTTAGTATCTAACCCTCAGATTTATGTCAAATTGAATACGTTTTTGATAAACACCACACTAAGTGTCGACTCTCAATGATTCTTAGACCATAAGTTTAGTTTAAATCTGTTATAAGTATTAGATTATGGAACAAACTGACTTGTTTCAATAACATTAAAAAGTGATTTTTTTATCATACTATGATGTCCAGTCTCAACAAAATGCCTTCCATACCAAAATCAAGTATCCAGAAATCAAAATGAGTTCCGATATACTACGATATAGTTTGAGTTTAAAATATTTTTTTAATTGAACGCAAACTTTTTCTTTTATTATAAATACGTACCCATGACTTGTAATTCGAGTTGCCCCCTTGCGCTGTATCCTTGAGAGTTCTTAGCAACGCATGTGTAAGTGGCCTGGTCGCTCATTCGTTCTACGTTTTCAATAACCAACGTGCCGTTAGGGAACACCTTCTGTTTGCGGTTGATTGGTAGAACACTGGAATTGTATGAGGTAATGTCATTAAATGAAAAATTTAATAAAGTAGATTATAAATAGATTGTTTACAAAATTTCAATTTGAGAATCCGGTATAACACGAGTTTTTGTCGATTTAGGAACATGCTGCCATATATTGTATTGGTGTAGGCAAGGAAGCTTTAGGGCCGGAATATCTCAGTATTTTTTTAAACACGTGCTAAGGGGTAACGCAAATTTGACTTTGTTTAGTATAGAACAGGGGCAAACGGGCAAGAAGCTCACCTATTGTAAGTACCCACGTGGGTCATTGGTCTAGTGGTTTGTACCCCTGCCGGCGAATCCATGGGTCCCGGGTTGATCCCAGGCTGAGACAAACATCGATGTGATGAGCTGTTGGTATTGGCTTAGGTCTGGTTGTTTAAATATTTATTATAGATCTATCTATCATAATATGTATGATATCCGTTGCCTAGTACCCATAACACAAGCTTCACAGCTTAGCAACGGGACAGGTCAATTGGTGTCAAAAAAAAAATAATTATGATAATAAATACCACCGCCCATAGACACTCAATGCCAGAAGGGTCGCGAGTGCATTTCCGACCTTTTAAAATGGGTAGTTACGCTCTTTTCTTTAAGAACCCTAAGTCAAGACCTTTGAGGTCTGAATTCAGATTTGCAGGATTATTTACTTACCGTCCATCACGTTCCCATACAATAGAGTCAATAGGATATCCAGCAACTGGGCAGTGAGCGATGAGCGTGTCTCCGGCGACAACTGGGCGTTTCTTCATTGGCCGTACGTAAGGCAGTCCGTAAACGTTTACGCGCGATGAGTGGGATGCGCTGCCAACCTGAAGTACACAGTAAAGTATGAAGTTGGTAATAGCGCCATCTGTTATTGTTCTGATTAGCTTAGACAAGTACGAGCTTGCTAAAATCACTATACACTTAAAACCAATTTAAATTAATTTAATTATTTATTTATTTATTTATTTATTTATTTCCATATAATTTTTCTAAAGTATTCTAGATGAGAGCAGTGTTGGCCTAGTGGCTTCAGAGTACGACTCTCATCTCTGAGTAGACGTAGGTTAGTTTCCCGCACAGCCGGGACTTTCTGTCTAAGTGCGCATTTATCATTCGCTCGTACGGTGAAAGAAAACATGAAGACACCGGCTTGCCTTAGACCCAAAAAGTAGACGGCGTGTGTCAGGCACAGGAGGATGATCAGTGATCACCTACTTCATGAAATAGATACAGGAATCTGAGGCCCAGACAGCAAAAACAGTACATTGGGAGCCACTGATATACTTTTTTATTACGTAACCTTTGGCAATAAATAAAATAAATAAAAAAATTTTCTCATATCTGTATAATATATATATATTGTATATAGTAATTCACATTGTTCTTTTGAAATACATTATTAGATACATTCACACTTGGAATATGATGTTTGATTTTAATATTAATAAAATAAATCAGTGGCGCTACTAACCTCTTTTGGGTTTTGGCCTCAGATTTCTGAATCTGTTTCATATCATTTTGAAATTAAATAGGCAAGTAGTACAGCCTAGTTCCTCAATGCCTCACTGGGTATAAGCTAGCGGTATACTCACTATTTTTCCTGTTGAGCAAATTTAAATACGCACATAGAAAGAAAGTCATTGGTGCAGAGCCGGAGATCCATTCTACACCCAGTTGTGATACCCCTGAACCTCTAGGCCAACATGTTAATGTGATTTTAATATTACAAACTGATTATCGATACAGTATAGATTTGTATCTAAGATAGGCTTTGATAAAGACTTAGAACAAAATACTAACCTTGCTTGACGCGATACAAGAGTACAGTCCTCCATCGTTGGTGTGCACAGACGAGATATTTAAGTGGGATTCAACATTTCCATCGGCAGTTACAAATTGCCCGATTTGCAGTCTTTCGCCGCTGTTCAGTTTGTCTCCATCGAGTTGCCATGCGATGTCAGGTGTAGGGTTGCCAGATGCGACACATTTTAACCTTAGAGATGGACCGGAGCGTAGAGTTTGTTCTGAGAAGCTGTGTCTAATCTGTGGTGGTTCAACTGAAAAGGTTTGGAAGTCGATTATAGTAAAAATACGGTATTGGTCCTTCGGTATTTTGCTGGATACATTTATACGGCGAACAGTTTTGCTCACTTTAAAGGACATAGATCAGTTATTCGTGCACCAGCCCTTACATTAACAAGATTGCTTCTCGAAATTGAATCCTTATAACATATGTTAAGGGTGTATTTTACAATGTTGAGGGTAGGAAGGCCGAACGTGAAATAAAAGCCGAGCTGACGTTTCCAAATTTGATGAAAGTGATAATATCTTATTAAATTTGGCAGTAGTTTTAAAAAGTTTTTCTTTGGTTTGGTTATGAATTTATGTATATATATATTAAATTGTCTTTCTTCTGACTTGTAACAATATTGTATATAAAGTAGTATGAATATGTAAAATGTAACCTAATGGATAAGTGGATGTTCAATTAGGGACTTACATATATTTTAAGAATAGTCTTACCTCTTTTACTTTAAGCGAATAAACAACAAATAACTTTAATAAATAATGGATAATACATGTACTAAAACAAAGTCACTTTCAAATATATATTATATATGTTGGAACAATGGCGTTCAGCTGCAAGTTATAACACAAATTTTTAACGACTCTTCAATCGTCGATAATAATTACCACTATGGAATTTCTATTACTATTTAATAGTTGTTAATTTATAAGCTCTGTGACATATATTGACAGTGGCAGCTGACATTTATTGCTCTGACATTATTACATTTCAATTCAAATCAATTAACTATCAACCATTAACCAATCTTAATAAACTATTGAATACGTACATCGTCCTCCTAATTTCAATTCGGCGCTAGCTCCGGCACTTTCTTGGTCATTTCTGATGAAGCACTGGTACATTCCCTTATCTTCTTTCTTGACTGATTCGATTCTGGAATTATTTATGTATAAAACTTTAGAGGTACAACTCTAAGTAACATTTCATTAGGGCATAGAATAATGTGTTATTATTTTGTGTAGCAATAGTTTAATTTAATGTTAATGAGAAAGATGAAGTTACTTTTATGACTTAAATAAATATTTGTTTTATTAAACAATAATATAATTTTTTGGCAACAAACAAGTTTTATAAAACATTACATAAGATCCCAGGTTTTAAATGTAGTCAGAATTGTATTTAATACCAACTTCATTCTTCAAAACCGACATCACTTTTTAACAAAAATTTATTAGTCTGTGCACGCGTGCACGGATACACTCGGTGTAGAACGTGTAGCGCGGACGTTAAAACCATGATAATCGTTTTAGAATTTGAAATTGTAATAAATTGTATTACTAGTATAATATAAATATTATAAAATATATAAAATTCTCGTGTCGCGGTGTTTGTGGTTAAACTCCTCCGAAACGGCTTGACCTATTCTCATGAAATTTTGTGTGCATATTGGGTATAACTGAGAATCGGACAACATCTATTTTTCATCCCCCTAAATGTTAAGGGTAGTCCACCCCTATTTTTTTTTATTTTTAGATAACTTTTTTTATTTTTTTATGATATAGCATTAAAAAATACATACAACCCCTAATTTTCACCCCTCTACGATCAACCCCTATTTTTTATTATAAATGATATACATGGCAAAACGACGTTTGCCGGATCAGCTAGTATATTATAATTTTTCCTAGAATAGTTTTATATTTCCCATACCTTAATACGTGGTCATGGTGGTTCATGTCTTTGCCATCTTTCAACCAGGTGATAGTCTTAATGGGATTTCCTTCATATCTGCAAGTGAATACCGCTGGTCGACCAAAGTCTACCGTCTGTGTTGCCGGCTCTACTGCTGTTTTTAATGGTGCAGTTACAGTTAAGACAGTTTCGACCGATTCACCTGGAATTTAGAAAAAAGCAATTTATTTCCAAAGCACTACCTAATAAAAAAATCAGTGGCGCTACAATCTTTTTAGGTCTGGGCCTCAGATTTTTGTCAATATAATAGGCAAGTAGGTGATCAGCCTCCTGTGCCTGACACACGCCTTCGACTTTTTGGATCTAAGGCAAGCCAGTTTTCTCACGATGTTTCCTTCACCGTACCATCGAATGTTAAATGCGCACATAGACAGAAAGTCTAGTGGTGCACAGCCGGGGATCGAACCTACGAACTCAGGGACGAGAGTCGCACGTTGATGCCACTAGGCCAACACTGCACTGTTACTACACTACACCTAATAAGTTTAAATTTATTTTCAAAAGCCAATTTTTCATATATGGCAATGCTCAAGACAAGATAGTGACAAGCAAAGATTACTCATAATACTTCTGTCTAGATACTGTATATAAAAATATTCATTTTAATTTCATATTCATTATAAATTAGATTTTAACCGCAAGGGAACATCATTTACAGCTTTTTTGACAATAATTTGCATTTGGATAAATTATTAATATGCAATACTCACCACCAACAGAATTGTTCACAACACACAGATATTTGCCAGAATCATCAACTTTAGCCTCCTTGATAATAAGAGTTCCAGAAACTTGTTTTACTCTGTCATTCAACACGACTGGTTGCTTTCTCGCCGATCCCTCAATGAATTTATACCATCTGTAACAAAGGAGAAAAAGTTCAGGTTATGGTAATCCATATGTCGCCTTTAAACAAAGAGCCTATAAAAGAAGTTAATTCCAAGTGTTAGAAGGCTCAAGCCCTACCACAAATAAGTCAAATAAGGAATACGAATCAAAGCTTCAAATGACATTGCGAATGAGAAAATGCTCTGAAAGTAAAGAACGGAACGTTAAGTTCGACGATAAAATTTTATAAACAGCCATCATGAGCTTTAGACATAAACCGCCTAACAAAATCTAGCCATGTGTTACGGGAAGCACAAAGTAAAGATTAAAGCGTCTGAATGAAAGCAAGAACACCCTGTGACTTACCAGAAGGTGTCTACGCAGCTCAATCATTACTTTGGCTGTTGGGAATAAGGCGCGCGGCCGGCCGCGGTCACACCTTCACGTATTGGCCGCTACAGACTGCAATAACAACTGATATCAATATATTTGAATGGTTTAACTACGTGATTGATGAATGCGTGATGTGCGGCCAGCCGTAAAACTATCGTACCTCGTCAAAGGCGCCGGGTATGCTTGAACCTCGCACAGTAAAGCGAGATTCTCGTTACCCCGCCCCACTTGACGGTTAAGTCCGTCTCCCGTTACTTTCGGCCTCGTCCTACCCGTCGGCTCTGTAATGTAAACCTACGTTCACTACCTAAACTCACCTAAACAACGGGGCGGGGTACGCGGCAACTTGACATTTTAAATACGCTACATCGTTTTGTCCCACTAGAAATACCTCCCAGCCCTCGAAGTTTTGAGCGGAATCTTTTCTAGGTGCAATTTTATTAGTTGGTTCTGCAATCGAAATTTGAATGACCATCGGATACTGAACTATCGTCGAACTATTGAAAGAGTTGGGGAAATGGTTGTGTCATTAAGATATGGAAGGTAAGTGAAAGACTCACTCACCGAAATATTGGTGGAGGATACCCCGCTACTTCACATGTAAGATAAACTGAACTCTCTAAGGAGACAACAAAAATTTCACCGCCTTCGAACTTTCGGCTTTTATCACTTCGAGGAGCAATTTTATTCGTCGGTTCTGCAATATGTAAATTTTAACATAGTAAATCAAACGCACCTTGACACCGGTACAGGATATCCTTGCGCTGGGCAAAGGAGCGCTATCGATGTATTTTGAGAAAAATGAACTGCGGCCTTTGGTGTTGAGGTAATACTGGGTATAGCACTGGCAATAGGCTCTGGAGGAATATGTTCAATTAACTGAGAACATTATGGACCATAAGGGATCTTAATAAGATTGCTTGACTTGCCTGAATATTGGTACAGGATACGCTTGAGCTTGACACAACAACGCAAAACTTTGACCGATGACTCTTAGAAAGGTACTACTAAGTGAATCCGTTGAAAAGCTTGGTGCTTTCGAGCCAACAGGTTCTGTATTGAAAATGTTTTATATTTATTTCGGTACACTTAAACTTGACTTGCCTGAAAACTGGAGCGGGATAACTTTGAGCCTGACATAGAAGGCCAAAGCTCTGACCGATACGTTTTCTAAATATGCTTCCCATTGATTCAGACGAAAATGTTGGAGACTTAGCGCCAACGGGCTCTACAAAGGTTTACCTATATAAATTATCGAATACTAATATGAACTTGCCTGAATATTGGGACGGGAAAAGCTTGCGCTTGACAAAGAAGTGCAAAGCTTTGACTTTCATGTCTTTTGAGCGATGAAAGTGCTGACTCAGTTGAAAATGATGGCGCTTTGGAACCGACGGGCTCTGTGTGTTCAAAATAATTGAATCGTGAAGTAATTGATATCCTAATTTATTTGTTAATTATTACGTCATTGCTAAGACTAAAAAAAGCTAAGCTAGTACTCAAAGATGACGACACTTGCCTGAAAATTGGGACGGGAAATGCCTGAGCCTGACACATCATAGTGAAATTTTGGTCCTTATGTCTCGTAACAGCAGATGAAGTTATATCGTTTGCAAACGTTGGTGGTTTCGAACCCACTGGTTCTGTACAAGCAAGATACAATTAAATGTCAACTTACCTAAATATTGGTGTAGGAAAAGCCTGAGCTTGACAAAGTAAAGCAAAGCTGTGCCCCTTTTCCTTAACAAATATACTGCCTTTGGAGTCAGACGAAAAGGACGGAGCTTTAGCACCGACAGGTTCTATAAGAATATGGACGTACATTGTAATGTAAATAAACCTACCTGAACATCGGTTGTGGGTACCCTTGCGCTTGACAAAGCATGGAACCACCAGAAGACGCTTCAATTATATAATTATAGGACGATGCAGAAGTAGGGAAAGCTGGCGCTCTGGCAGATACGGGTTCTGAATAACACAAATGTAATTGAGAACTCACTTGAAAATGGGAGAAGGGTGGGCTTGAGCCTGACATAAAAGAACAATTGCTTGCTCGGCTAGTTTAGTAAGGGTTGTACTCTTAAATTCCATTGAAAATGAGGGCGCTTTCGATCCAATTGGCTCTGCGATAGAGAAAATAAACTTGAACCTCACCTGAATATTGGGACGGGGAATGCTTGAGCTTGACATAACAGGGCAAAGTCTTGGCTTGTTCTACGTGTTATTCCAGAAAACTGAACGTCATTAGAGAATGTGGGGGATTTAAATCCAATAGGTTCTACAAATAAAATAACAATTTATTCACCTGAATACTGGGACGGGAAAGCCTTGTGCCGGACAGAGTATGTTCAAGCTTTGACCGACCGTCCTTACATACCGGGACAATTTATTATCGGTAGAAAAGGATGGTGATTTCGATCCAATTGGTTCTAAAATATAACGATGAGATCACGTAATTGTATGAAAATAATATGTACCTGAATACTGGTATAGGATATCCCTGAGCCCGACACAATAATGCAAACGTTTGACCAAACGCTCTATTGAGAAACCATGCGAATTTATCATCGCTTGAAAATACGGGTGGCTTTGTGGTAATCGGTTCTGAAAATTAAACGTCCTTACCTAAATAATGGGACTGGGAACCCTTGGGCTGGACATAATACTGCGAAGTCTTGGTCTTTATTCATATCGAACGAGGCTAACTTTGAACCACTCGAGAACGAAGGGCTTTTGGAGCCAATTGGTTCTAAAATTGTTTAATAGTATTACTTTAAAAGTTCTATATTACCTTTTTAATCTAATGACGATTGTTTGATCTAATGTTTTTAGAGAATGCAGGGGGCACATAATATTAACTTACCTAAAGACTGGGACGGGGTAGGCTTGTGCCAAGCAAAACAAGGTGATACTCGAACCCATCGCAAAATCCAAAAATTCAATTGTTTTTATTGGAAGTTTCGGTGGAGCAGAATTAATAGGTTCTAAAAAATAACCAATTAAGTGTTATTACCTGGCTATTGGAACTGGAAATGCCTGTGCAGGGCACAATAATGTCACACTAGCGTTAACAAATGCACCGAAACCCCTTACGTTATCCAATGTAGGAAACTTGGGAGGTACTCTCCCTACAGGTTCTGAATTGGGACAAATATTAAGCTTAGATAGACCTAATTTATGTCTTTAGAGTATAATTTTACCTGAATATTGGGACGGGGTAAGCTTGTGCTGGACATAATAATGTACTAGTATCATTCGATGTCGTGTCTGTGATATCTATAACTTTAGTCGCAACTTTTGGAGCTGCACTTCCCATAGGTTCTACGAAAGAAAATATAAACGTCAGTTTCTCTGTACCTGAATGCCGGTGCCGGAAACGCTTGGGCGGGACATAAGAGCGTGATGTTTTCGTTTTCTTTAGCATCGAAGGCACGACTTTTGTCAGTAGTTGTAAATTTAGGTGAAACACGACCGACGGGTTCTATGAATAAACGATAAAATATGTAAGAGGAACATTATTTTACCTGAATAATGGGACTGGAAACGCCTGCGCAGGGCATAACATAGTTAAACTGGCATTGAGTGTAGTGCTAAAACTTCTGGAACTATCCATCGAAGGAAATTTAGGCGAGACACGCCCCACAGGCTCTAGAGACAAGATAAAATTCTATTTGAAATGTACCTGAATAGCGGTGTAGGAAATGCTTGGGCCGGGCAGAGTAAAGTCACGCACGTGTTTGATGAGAATGTAAAACTGCGACCGGTTTCCGTCGATGGAAACTTAGGAGACACTTTTCCCATTGGCTCTGTTTATAAAATTATATGGTCTAAGGATTACTTCAAATTGAAGCATTTATTCAGTGTATTATAAAGTAATAAATCTTACCCAAACATTGGGGCAGGATATGCTTGCGCAGGGCACAAAAGTGACATGCTTTGATTACTATCGAAATTGAATAGTCGACTTTTTTCTAAACTCGGAAACTTAGGGGATACTTTTCCCATTGGTTCTGAAGCAAAGAGATAATGGAAAATAGTTTTAAATTGTTTCATATTAATAAATATGTTTGCTATTGGCTGCTTATAAAATTTGGGATATGCCTAATATTGTGTTATATATTTTAAGAGGAATTAACTACCTGAATACTGGTACAGGAAATGCTTGTGCAGGACATTGCAAAGCGAAAGAATCGGTTTTCTTGACACCGATCATGGTTCCCATGACAACAGAAGCGAATTTTGGCGGAACACGTCCAACTGGTTCTATGAGGGCAATGAGAAATTACTATTAACAATTACCTGAATAGTGGGATGGGAAACGCCTGAGCGGGACATTGCAAAGCGTACGAATCATTTTTCTTTACTTCAAACATGGTCCCCGTTAGAACTGTCGCGAATTTGGGAGGTACACGACCGACCGGCTCTAAAATATTACAGAAAATGATAGGGAATTCCGTTTATTACCTGAATACGGGGACAGGGAACGCTTGGGCCGGGCACTGCAATGAGAATGGTGTATCCATTGTGGCTATAAACATCGCACCCACTTGGCTTGAGGAGAATTTGGGTGGCACGCGCCCTATTGGCTCTGAAGAATGATTCAAAAGAGAATTTTAATGAAACCTTACCGGTACATAGGTGCGGGGAATGCTTGTGCGGGGCACAGAACAGCTAGGCTGGTAGATTCATTGAACTGGAAGCCACTGGTCGTCTGCGCGCTAGGAAACTTAGGAGGCACACGTCCCATCGGTTCTGCGCATGTTGGGAGAAGGCGTTTTTACCAGCACTACACCCCAGTGGTCAGTAAAAGGCTTTTAATACATCCCCTACACTCTCTAAATCGGCTTTTATAAAGTAAAGGCTCAGCAGGGTACCCTATCCCAACATTCAGGCAAGGCAAGATAAAAACTTAAAACTATAAATATCGACTTAATTGTTTTAGCGATTCTAACAAGAAATTATTATAACCTCACTAAAACTATTAGCTTATTTTTTTATATAATATAATTAATTTTTGTAAAGATTATAATAATTTCATGGACAACAGAATACTTTAAACTTAAATATCACTTAGAAAACACAATTGTTTTTTAAAGTACTATGTAAAAAATTCACTCAAGTTAGTTTAAAGAATTCTGTTATTTAGTAAGTAATTAAATTTAGAGTTCTATTCTAAAAATGATATTAAAATATGATGATAATCTCTAATTCGAAATTTGAAATAAAATATCATTATTAGAAAATGTAAGAAGAAACACCATTAATTCACTAGAAATTTAAACGTGTAACAAAATATGAATTAATGATGTCACAATAAATTCTGAAAGTACTTACCGGTGATAACTAAACGTCCCTTTGTGGCTGATAAACGAGTCTCTCCAGTAAGTCTATGCTTTGTTCTACATTGGTATGATTTATAGCCATCTTCGGGTCCTACATCACGAATATGCAATTCTCCAGATGGTAGGACCAAGTATTTACCCTCTGAAAATATTAGCTTATGAAATATATGTTGTTAAGGCAAAGGTGTATCAAAGAATTCATTTCATGTAGCAACGCAACGTAGGGTTGCGATTTACTTACAAATTTCAGTGCATGCAGGAAGGAGGAATAAGGGATGGGTAGGCCGTGAGGCCCATGGAATTAAAGGAACCCAAGTCAGGATCAGTTTCCCTATTACAATTATAGATCCAGAAGGAAAAGAAAACAAAACTAAGTACCATATGAATTTTGAGCACTATCGAGATTGATCTCATCGATTTCATCTCCTTCACTAATAATCCATGAGATGACACTCACATACTCCGAAACAAAGCTAGGGATGTGGCATTTCAAAATAGCTGAATTTCCTCGCAATACATACTCTTCCATTAAATTAACGGCATATGCTTGTGAGACAACTGTAAACAGAAACAATACCTATTATTAGGATCGTTTATAAGGATGTAGGGATATGACCTATCAGGGAAGGACCTCGGTTTGGTTAGCAATCTTATAGGAGTACCTAAGTCTGAAGTCTCATTAATTTTCACTTCTTGATCATTATCATCTTCCGATACTATCCAAGACACAACTGATACGTATTCAGAAACATAGCTAGGAATTTGACATTTTAACACAGCAGCGTTACCACGTAAGACGTATTCTTCCCAAAACTTAACATCATAGGCCTGGGAAACGACTGGAAATTGATATAATTTTATAACACTATTAAGAAGATTCTATGTGGGGGGGAAAGTGCAGGTATTAAGTGGGGTAAGGTTTGTGGGAAGCTCGTAGTACGATACTATAGTTCATTTACCTAAACTTGAATCGGAATCTATATTAATATCTAGTTCGTCGTTATCTCTTTCGGATATAATCCAAGAAGTAACAGTTACATATTCAGTCACAAAACTGGGGATATGACATTTCAGTATAGCAGAGTTGCCTCTTAAGACGTTTTCCTCCCAAAGATTGACGGTGTAAGATTGAGAAACAACTGAAAGTGTACAAATATGGTTGAGGATAGCTTCTGAATAAAAAGCTTTTTTAGATTATGGATATTCAGGAAATTGGATATGGCCAACTAAAGTAGATATTACACCCAAATCTCCATATCCAGTGCCGTTTATTTCTTTCTCTTCTATTTCTCCTTCAAATATTAGCCAACTTGAGACTGTCACATATTCAGATACAAAACTTGGGATATGACATTTAACAATAGCAGAATTGCCACGCAAAACGTTCTCCTCCATTAAGTTGACTGTGTACGCCTGAGACACGACTGTGAAATGAAACATGAGCTGGATTAGGAATGGATACTTGGAATAAACGTTTAATCAGGTACCCAAATCCTGAGAATCTGCCTGTTGTATTTCTACTTCTTCAATGTCACCCTCAGAAATTATCCAAGAGGAAACGCTAACATACTCTGTTACGAAGGTAGAAATGTGACATTTAAGGATAGCCGCGTTGCCGCGAAGTACACTCTCTTCCAATATATTGACCGTATAAGCTTGAGATACAACTGAAAGTTTTGAGATTGTTATTAAATATATTATTCGAAGCCGATTGACCAGTGAAGTTTGAACGAGTTCACTTAGTGTGGACGAGGAGGATAGGTCTTAATTGCTAAATTTAAAACTATCTTAAGAAATACCCTCTCGGTTAATACTGGCATCGTTCAATTGTATTTCAGTCTCATCGTCCCCCTCTGATATTATCCAAGAAGATACTTGAACGTATTCAGTGACAAAACTTGGAATAAGACACTTGAATATGGCGGCATTTCCTCGCAAGACATTTTCCTCTACAAGATTTACTGTGTACACCTGGGATACAACTGCAAGATTATAAGAATTTAACTAATTTCCTTATAATATTGTTTGAGATGTGGGACGGGATTTAAAGGCTACTAAGTCGTCGAATATAAATAATACGCAATATACCGTAATCCTCATTCTTTAGAAACTCTCCACCCTCGGAATCGTGCCAAGAAATTACATGCACATGATCGGAAACAAATGATGGGAGGTGGCATTTAAACACAGCAGCATTACCGCGAATCACATAGATATCGTAAACCTGAGATTCGTAGAACTGATTGACAGCTGAAAACGGTAACATAAATAAATCTAGCTTATTTTGTACATATATGTTTGTGTGAGAGAACACATTAGACGGGATTTACTATAGAGCGGATAGGAACAATTGGGAACGCGCGGTCGATCTTGATTACCGTAATTGCCTGCAGAGTCATTTAGTGAAAATGCAGAGAGCGACTCGTCGTCTGTCACCCATTCTATAACTTGCACATAATCCGATACAAATGATGGTATCAGACACTTTACTATCGCAGCATTCCCTCTTAAAACATCTTCATCGGTAACTCGAGGTTCGTAATTCTGATGGACGACTATAAATACCATATAAGATAAGGAAATTAGAAAAATCTAGGGAAAGGGAGGAGGAGTGCCTTTAGAATTGCATATGCGTAAGAATACCAGAAATATCATCGAGATTTTCATCAGCAGTTACAGTTTCATTATCCATACTCCAAGATACTACGTGAACGAAGTCAGCCACAAAGGATGGAACAATGCATTTTAAAATCGCCGTGTTGCCTCTCAAAACAAATTCATCGTTTACTCTCGCCTCATACTCTTGCAAAACAGCTGCAGTAAAAAGAATCAGGATAAAAGGACTTGGAATAATGTAACACGATATTTTACCCTCATTATTTCCGGGAAAATAAGTACCACCCTCACTGTCCATCCACATTTCAACAAAAACGAAATCGGAGACAAAACTTGGGACTTCGCATTTCATTATAGCCGCATTGCCGCGGATAACATATTCGTTGTCTGCTTCAGCTTCATATGGCTGTGATACAACTATTCAAACAATACAGATGTAGTAAGAGCGTTTAAAAGGAGCATTCATAGGAATGGGTGATATATTTGCGAAATATTTTAGAATAAGTACCATCTTGAAAATTAGTGTTATTTTTAGTTAATATTTGGCCTTCGTCTAATATCCAGGACTCCACATACACAAAGTCGCTAACAAACGATGGGATCTTGCAGTGAACAATGGCAGCGTTCCCTCTAATCACGTACTCATTTTCGGCTTCAGTCACGTAATACTGTGACACCACTAGAGAATATTGATTAGACATTGAGTTAATATGGATAGGTGTTGAGTAGGAGGTGGAAAATGCGCTTAGTACGGAAGTTGCTTTTATTGTTTATCGAAGCTATTGTTACCGAGGTTGTCGGAATGGCTAATTACTGTTCCCTCTTCGTCAATCCAATCCTCAACTTTAACAAAATCGGCGACAAACGATGGTATTGAACATTTTAAAACCGCCGCATTTCCACGAATTACATATTCCTTTAAAATTTCGGCTTCATAAAATTGATTAACGACTGCAATATACGAAAATATCCTAAATTAATTATATACGGATGATGGAAGGAATAGGAGCAGAGAGATTTATAGATTAAGATCGGGCGATCCTACCGATATCATCGGTCATTAAATATTCATTCTTGTCAGAGTCGACCCAAGCTTCTACTTTCACAAAATCAGAGACGAAGGACGGGATGTTACATTTAAGAACAGCTGTATTTCCGCGTATGACATACTCGGAGACAACTTCGGCCTCAAAATATTGAGTCACGACTGTAAGTAATAAAGATTTAGTGGCAGGGATGTCTGGGATGGCTTTATTTCTAATTTTTTACCGTCTCCTTCTTTTGTTCCATTTATCGTGAACGAATTTTCCTGTTCATCGTGCCACGAAATAACACTGACAAAATCAGCGACAAAGGAAGGTATTGAACATTTGAGTATAGCCGAGTTTCCACGGATAACATACTCATTGTTTACTTCAGATTCATACTGCTGCTGAACGACTGAAAGATTCCATTATGGAGAAGGAATTAGGGAAAAGTATAGCGAATATAGAACAACCGTAATTTTCGCCAGGGTAAAAATCTTCCTTTTCATCAGTGTGCCAAGATAGAACCTCAACGAAATCGGCGACGAATGAAGGAACTTGACATTTCAAAATGATACTATTTCCCATTATCACGTACTCCTTATTCACATCGGTATCATAATTCTGAGCGACCACTGAACCATAGAAAATCTCTTATATTATAAAAAGAAGTACTTTATCAAAACAACTAAATTACATTATTTAGTAATATATTCTTGAAAATTGTCTCTGAAATTTAAAACACAAATATACTATGTACTTGTTAATGCTTATCCTGGCCCTATTATATTATTAGGAAGTCATTCAGTACGCTATTAAAAATATGAACACGTGCAAATCTGCGTTCGTTGACTGTTTATTCTAATGGTAACGTATTGATTTGGTATCTAAAACGTGTTGATATTTCTAATAACAAATTGATCTTCAAGTTTTGTGTTCGCCAGTACATTTAGTATTCCTGTTAGTGTGTGTTAAGCTTTAAGCCAGGATAATCGAGCATTGACCATTGATTGGTAGAGGTGCCACTCGATATTAATGGCAAGTCTATCTAACAATAATGTTTATAAGGGTTAAATTATTTAAAAATACTACAATCTAGATTTTAACCCGTTTTTTAGATTCTGAAAAAACCACGTAAGTGTTAGATACTAAATGTTTATTCCAATCTAGCTACAATATATTCTTCAAGCAAAAAGTTTGTCGAATATCCTGTCCTTAAGCTTCATAAATTAAAAAGATTCGGCCGGCATTACTAAACATTGTAGACCATTTAGTCAACAATAAAAAAAGCGATTACACAAATTAGCATATGTTATTTTACAATTTGTCTATTTCTAAAAAAGTCAATAATATTGATAGAGTTGTAAGGTGAAAGAAGATTCAAGATACTTGACATAGTGAATTTATTGAATTGACCTTATTGAGCCCTCGGTTGTAAGGGCGACGATCATTGCTTTATTTAGAACTTTTATCTCAACCGATAAATTGGTCATTTGATAAATGTTTTACACTACAATTACTGAATATATTACTGAATGTATAGTAGTAGCGGAAAGTAATACTTTATTAAATTCCCGTAAACCCGCAATGGAGTATGTTTCATTGATAATTTATAGGCAAGTAGCGCCTTCTGTGTCTACTAACCCGGAATAATTATTGTGATATCGGAATTGTATCTTCGGTGTACATATTAATCACGAACGAGGCAAGGGCGGCTTTAGCATTTTTATGAATCTTCAAACATCTACTAATAAGAGCATATAACAATATCAATTAATAAATTGAAATACAACGAGAGCTGGGACGAGGTCAATATAACAATATATTAATTTAAAAAATATGTTCAAACACTTTCTACGTGTGACGTAGTTAACGATCAAATTACTGGTTCAAAAGGCATAGGGGTTAAGTTAGAGCAATTGGTTCTACTTATAATCTTAATTGTGTTAAACGCCTTACTTTGTGCCTGTAATTTAATTAATGATGACGTTTCTCGCTCAGCATTTAATTTATGTGTAAGTTGTGTTAGTGTTAGGTAGGTTGGTTATAGACGTATAAGATAATCGTCTTTTTTATGTAAAAGGCGCCAAACGGGCACGAGGCTCATCTGATGTTAAGTGATACCGCCGCCCATGGACACTCGTACTGTCAGAAGGCTCACAAGCGCGCTGCCGGCCTTTTAAGAATTGGTATTTGGTACGCTCCTTTCTTGAAGGACCTTATCGAATTGGTTCAAAAATACTTTAAAAAAAAATGTTTATTATGGAACATAAGATACATGTATCACTTATTCCACGTCATTAAATTTGATTTGTAGGCATCCCTACTCATCGGCAAAGAAGACAGAGGGTGTAGGCCGAGAGAAAAAGCCGGCGTAAAAATCTCTCGGTACTCTTTTAAAATCTCTTCAGTGGGCTGCTGGTTACTTTTAAACGAAAACTGTATATGCATAATTTATATTATATAAATAGTTTTAAAGTTTCAACGCATAAGTATTTCCTATGAAATGTTATTGTGTAATCGCTTTTTATTTTTAAACGTTAATTATTAGTATTATAATAACAAACTATAGTGTTATTGTAAAACGAAATGGAAACAATGAACGTTTCGCTCATTCGCGATTGGTCAACATCGTCCCTAGTCCAATCTAACGCACGCGATACGATCCATCATTTCGTTTAAACAATCACAAAGCGAAACGTGGCATTGTTTTTATTTCGTTGTACATTCTAACACCCAGATCATAACATCAAATACAGTAAAACGCAAGACGGTACGAACGAAAATCGTATCTTCTCCTCGGCTAATGTAATACCTATACGTGTACCGGTGTCACTTTAGCTTTAACCCAATTAATCAAATACTTAGGAAGCTTCTCGAAGGGAAACTTTAAAAAAATTGTTCGAACCTTTGTAGGTCACAAGGGACTGTGACTTTCGTATTTACCGGGTTTTACTGTATATGTCGGATAGGTTGGCATTGGCGTTTCTGTCAGCTGCCTTTGTCAATATATGTCTCAGGGCTCTTAAATTAACAACGTCAAAGTCAAAACAGTTAATATTAGAGTCTGGCTAATGAAAGAAGATAGGGAAAATATATATCTGTAAATTTATTAAACATAACTTTAATCCGGTTAAAAAGTTTTTTCTTTAATTGTATGGTATCCCTAAAAGTTTGATATATTTTGTGGATTAAACTTACTTGATTTTATTTTATTATTTTTTACATTGATAGTAACTGTATTTCTATGAAATTAAATACTATACGTATTTATTCTTTTACTATTGGTATTAACTATATTTATAGAAAACTATATTTATTATAAAACACAACTTTATTCGGAATAATCAAAATCAGAATCCAAAAAATCAATAAAACAAAGTTTAGGCTATTATACCTGTGAACTATTCGGAAAAAATATATAATAGAAATAAAAATGAGTCATTGCATGAAGTATCAAGACAATAAATCAAACTTACCTAAGAAATTCAATGACATTCTGTGTTGCCATCCGAAAGTTTTCAAAATTCAATTATCTTCTTTCATTAGCCAGACTCTATTTGATTTACCAATATTGCTAGATCTATAAATGAACTACTACTCAGTAGTCGATTGTTATAGTGATTCCACTGTGAGGCAGCTGACAGCAATTTAAAACATAAGTATTCTATATAAAACTTACCGGCGCGAACGTTAACGTCCCTAGAGTGAATTGTACCAACTGGGTTTCTAGCAAGGCAAGCGTAGACCTGGGCATGAACTTCCTGACGGTAATCTTCAGCACGGAAAGGTGGGAAAACAAGGTTGCCATTCGGTAAGACCTGTAATATAGAGGAATTTTCAGAAATGTGTATTTGTGTCTTAAGATTATGAACTAAAAATCATCTTGTAATAAAAAATAGGACAATATTAATAAGACTGCACTACACTCAGTAGTCAGTACTACAATCGTAAAGAAATGTCATTAGCATTGCCAAACATCATATACAAGATATTAGTATAAGATCCCGATATACAACGACCTTCACCGAGATGCTTATTTAATGAAACGTATTTTATATTTAATTTAATATGTCAATAAATATAATCCATATGGGTTGCCTAGCAAATTTCAGTCCAGAGTATGTTTAATTAATATTTAAAAAAAATTTTTTTTTTAATTTGCATGTAGTAAATTTTTTTAATTTTTTTCAATCAATATTTTTAATCGGGGTAGTATTATATATGTATCACTATAACTTTCTTTTTTACTAAAGATGTATATATATATACTTTAGTGTTCCATAAAAATATACTCATAAATAATTAATTGATTAAAAACAACTTAACGTTTGCATATTCTATGGGCTTCATACTTTCTATTGCTATAGAATTTATCTAATAATCATACCGGTGAAATGTTTAAAAAATTTTTTTTTTTTAATATTAATTCAAATACTCTGGACTGAAATTTGCTAGGCAACCCATATGGATTATATTTATTGACATATTAAATTAAATATAAAATACGTTTCATTAAATAAGCATCTCGGTGAAGGTCGTTGTATATACGGGATCTTAGACCATATGTTATGTTATCTCCTGGAAGTTGATGTAAGTTGGATTACCGTTCTAGAATTAGCCTTAAGCCAGATTTTTTTAAAGTCAGACGACCAGAAGCATGTCTCTATTAGCTTCATAATGTGTAAAGGATGTGTATATATTTGAAAAAAAAAATACTTTCTATTTAAAATTAACCTCTTAGTTTAGTAAGCTTATTAAATTAATTTATATAAAATGGGTATGATTGCTGAGAATAGCTACTTTTAAATTATGTATAATTTAAAAGAAGCAAAGTAAAGAACAAGAGAACATTCCATTCTAAGCTTTTTGCCGAGACAAAATGAGAAAATAATGTAGGGTAACTGACCTGTCGCAATCCAGGAACGTCACCAACAGCGGTGCCATCAGCTCGTACCCAAATGACATCGGGAGGGGGGGATCCTCTTGCGGCACATTCCACTACGGCACCAGTCGTGTTACTGAAATCCACTCGGTTTGGGGGTTCCTTCATAAATATCGGTCCGATCGTTTCGTCCTCGCATCGGACTGCTCCTGAAAGCCATAATACAAATTAATGTTTACAGCTGTTTTTAAGAATTTATTCTAGTTTAAAAGTTTACAGTTGCGTCGATCGTGTCGTGCAATTCGTCACTCGCTTTTTCAAAACGAATCGTGCAAAACGATTGTCACTGTCCGCACGATAGTATAAAAAGGCAACTCAATGATTTGGATATAATCCATTAAAATGTTGCATTTGCTGAACATTTGTTAGAGGAGCGCAATCTTGGAAAAAGGGGTGAAAACACGTCCAATATCCAACTGTGTAACTTTCTATAATGCCAAAATTTAAAAGTTATAAGTAAAAAAGTGAAAAAAATCCGTTTTTGCTTATTAACTTTTTTCTTTTGATTTTATCAAAAAAATATGTCAGAACAATTTTGTAGAGGATCTCTTTCTGAAGATTTTCCTCAATAATTTTTCGTTACCCGCGCTATGGACTTGTGAACTGTAAAAGACAAAATTAACGCGTTGCCTAACTACAAAAATAAATTATGTTGATTAGAAAATCTAACATACATAATGAAGTACTTATTTAATACTTGAATAGTAAATACTATAGAACATTATTAAATTATTTCTTATAACTCATATATATTAGCATCGAAAAACTTTTTAACGAGAACTTTATATTATGTACAATTTATATAATATAAATAGTTTTATTTCAAATTGTATGTACAATTTATATAATATAAATAGTTTTATTTCAAATTGTAAGTTTCAACGCATATATTGTTTAAATATATGTTAAGCTTATTAATTATGCAGACCCGTCCTGTTATACATACATATAGGGTCTTTAAATTGTGTTTTTCGACAGTCTTTTAACGTGAATCTTTTAGTTTCCTTTAGATAAATTGAGCGCAATAAATAGTAATGTATTTTATTATAATATTATTTATTTATTTTAATAGTAATAAATAATACTTTCTCGCAAATTGAGTTGTCAAACTTGACTTAGAACGTTGATCACCACCTATTTGGTTATAATTTATAAAGAATTTCGCCCGCGTGGTTTTCGTGTATTTTGTCAAGATTTTTGTGACCTCAACACTAATCGTTATATAGGTCTATTGATTCCAAATTCAAAAATTAACTTTTGTAGTATTGCCATAATTCGTGCACGTATACGTTCATTTCAATCATTTTAAAACCGTGTAAAAGATACGCTGAATTAAAAGGAAAGGGTGCTCACACTGTTCGCTGTGATGAAAGAATTGTACTTGAAAAAGATTTTTAACCTAACAAGAGCATGAGTAGTTAACTGTTATTAACATGCTCACATCAATTTATTCATTAACAACGTGATAGAATAACTAGGTTAATTGTTTATCAAGGTTCATACGAGAATTTTCTAGTACTTTATAGTTAAAACTTTATTTTTACATCGTTCTGGTACCACTGTATACACTATACAGTATACCTATAATATGAGGGCGATATAGTAAGGGCTATTAGCCTGTGTAACATCTCATGATAAAACAAAAACCGGTTGTCTGTAAAGTCGGTTTACTGACGATAGTTGAACGTGACAACGTCATAAAAAAATATTGATGGGATGGTTGCATTTTTCAAAAAAAAAAAAAAATTTTATTTGTTTGATAGGTATTTTGTATGGATATAGAGAAGGAGGTAAATGGAAATCACAATTGAATTGATCAAGTTACATTTATTTGTACGCATAAATACAATTATGTCAATTTTAAATGTAACGCCTCAGAGCGAGGTAACGCCTCAGAGAGAGAAAACCCCTCAGAGCGAGGTAACGCCTCAGAGCGAGGTAACGCCGCAGAGCGAGTAACCCCCCCCTAGGCCTTTTTTTTTTTATGAGTCATGTTTTTCGTGGCGTCAGCCGGCTCCATGAATTATAAAGTTGTACGTCAAAAACCGCGTGACCCGAATACTGGCTCGTAGAAAACTCTTGACGTCCCTACATACGCATATTTTTTCATACGAATTTCAGGTAACCAGTACAACGCAAGTTATGCTCACTGTATAGAAAAATAAGCATGGAATGTTAATGTAATTTGTGCTTCGAAAGTTAAAAACGTGCCATCATTGAACAATCATATTTAATTTTGCCTGAGTAAATGAAATAGTGAGAAAAGCGTCGGTAGTGATTCTATAAAAAAATATTCTGTGGTTTTGTTGCTACTTCGCATACAGAAAGCTTCAAGCTTTGAATAGAAGCTTTTAATTATGCGTAACAAAGCTCGTTTAATTTCACATGATTCGATTGCGTTGCTCATCCATTCTCGTAAATTAGAAATGCAACATCAATTATTAATGATATCACTTAAAATTAAAGAATTTGAAGTATTGAATTATTAAATTAAAGTTCATTATCATAAAACTTGAAAGATAATAAAATGTATATATATATACATTATACAGTGTAAACTCTTTATAACGCCATTCGTTATAACGTAAAAATTAGTTAAATTTGTGTGGTTTAACACAAAACCCATACATTAATTCTTCCCTCCCTATAAAGTAACTAAACGATATTTCTATAACGAATAAAAATGTTTGTTCCCTTGAAATTCGTTATAAAAAGTTTACACTGAATATGTGTTAATAAGTTTTACATTTAATTATATTACAAAATCAAGGCCTGTCATACAATCTCTATATATATGGAAACACAGTAACTGAATAAATCTATAACAGATATAATATTTCTCTCCTTGACACGATGCGTGAACCGGAACAAAAAAAGATCAATTCTATATGGCACGTTCACAAAACAAAATGTCTGCATACGACAGCAATGGCAGCCCTTATGAGGACTCGACCTAGTTCATAATGACGTCTTGCATAAAGCATCTTTGTAGCCCAGAGCCCTACTGCGACGAGCAAAAGAATAAGTGGCGCGCTAATTGCGGCTAATGGTCGTCTTTTATTTATAATTACTAGTTCTAAATATGAATAGACGTTTAGTGAGGACGTTAAATATGTGAGATTTGACAGTTGACTTAGTTATCATTGGTAATGCAATTTTCTTTAATTTATGGCAATAGGGATCTTGTGCTTATTTCTAGTATTTCTATTGGCATTATAATTTTTATTAGAGCATTGTAATAAGCCTAGAAATAACAAAAAAGTGATTATTAATGAGTTGTAATAAAAAATAAATCAGTGGCGCTACAAGCTCTTTAGGTCTTGGCCTCAGATTTCTGAATCTGTTTGATGATCATTTTTAAATCTAATAGGCAAGTAGGTTATCAGCCTCCAGTGCCTGACACAGGCCTCACGATGTTTTCACCTTTCGAGCAAATGTTAAATGCGCACATAGAAAGAAAGTTTATTGGTGCACAGCCGGGGATCGAACCTACGACCTCAGGCATGAGAGTCGCACGCTGAAGCCACTAGGCCAACACTGCTCTAATGAGTTGTAATAGCGCCACTTATTTAATTATTTAACACTTTGCAAAAATCAGTACAAAATAAATAATAGGGCAACAGGCAGCCTTATCGCTTTCAAGCAATGTCTTCTAGGCAACTTTTAATTACTTATTACGAAATTAATAACAATTATTAAGATTTTCCATATAAAATCGGAGCTCTCACGTAAGTTTTAATTATCTTAATTGTGTGAAGCGTTTTTGTTAGTGGACGGGGACAAAAAATGGCAACAATCTGTCCGAGCACAAAAACTTACGTGCAGCAGATGTGCGCGTACGCAGACTCGTGATTGGTTGGAACCGCGAGCCCACGACAGATGTGATGACTAACATCCGTGTGGTTAAGCATCATTCTCAAAGTACATAGATTATAAAGTTTCATAACAAATTGTATAAAAAGCAAATATTTAGAAATCACGCACTTGTTTTGGTGGAGAGCGTAGTTTCGATAAATCTTAAATATCTTGATTAGAGAAGCTAATTGATGCTAAAATAGTCATAGCTGTCTCCCCATTTTGTCTATAAATAAGATATTAAAGATCGAGTGATACTAGAACTTCAAAGAAACTTGTTAAATTACGTTCCTTCTCATGGATATCGAAATTATATCTCAGGTATTTTCATCAAATGCTTCCTAATTTTTCTTCACACTCATTTGTTCTTAATGTGACATGAGTGCGATAAGGACACGCTATTCAGCATTATAATACGTACTATAATAATAATATTAAAAGCTTTTATTGCTGTAATTACTTATACTAGTACATAACAATGTGAAAAACTAATAAATAAAATAAACTAAGACCATCCACTCTTCTCTGTTTCTAGCTTTTGTAGCCACATAGGGCCAACTGCTCTTCGCACATCATCTTTCCATCTTTTTATTTGTCTTCCTCGTTTTCTTTTGTCATATCAAAGAAATCATTCCGTTAGTCAACTTTTTTCGTCCATTTATCTATATCTTCTCTCATAATGTGTCCTGTCAATTTCGATTTCAATCTTTTACTTACTTATCTAATATATAAAATTCTCGTGTCGCGGTGTTTGTGGTTAAACTCCTCCGAAACGGCTCGACCGATTCTCATGAAATTTTGTGTGCAAATTGGGTATGTCTGAGAATCGGACAACATCTATTTTTCATCCCCCTAAATGTTAAGGGTAGTCCACTCCTAAATATATATTTTTTATTTTTAGATATTTTTTTTCTGTTTTTATTTATACAGCATTAAAAAATACATACAACCCCTAACTTTCACACCTCCACGATCAACCCCTATTTTTTATTATAAATGATATACATGGCAAAACGACGTTTGCCCGGTCAGCTAGTAATACTATAAGTTTTGCTTAATACGAGACGAGTCATAGGAATCTGAATGTGGATGTATTCCGAACGAGATATGTTTGGAAAATATAATCAAGTCTTGAGCGCTGTCAAAACGTCCAATTATATACCTAAAAGATAACAGATCTCATAATCACTACTGTGATTCGTGCTTTAATTTTTAACTGTATTCGAAAGCCCAAATTCTTTGTGCATTTTTTTCAACGCGTTGATTGTGGATGTTAGAAGGTAAACAAGAAGCATTAAATTTCACTATCTCGATGTTGTAATCAAGTATGTAGGCGCTCTCGTAAACGAACACCTGCGGCACCATCTGGTCGATCAAATGAACCTTAGGAATTTTTCTGATAACACGCGCTAGTACTAACATTCTTATATATAATCTAGCTATTTAACAAGCTGTGTCCTGCATTTATAGTCGAGTTTATTTTCTAACCTTTACCTTTTCTCGACTACAAAAGAATTTTTCAATTCGAACCTCCCTCCGGAGGTTCAATGAAACTTTACAGATTTCTAATATTAAGTATTGATAGTATAAGCTAGAAGATATTACATATTGCGATCATTATTTAAGGTAGATACTATAAGCCTCATTTAGATAAATAATGCTTTGTAATGTATTTGCAAAGTTACACAAGAAAATAAAGACATTTAGATATTCGCGGTTTATAATACATAAGTTAATTAACATAGGGATAATGAGCTCAAATATAATTAATGTCATTTAAACGATTAAATTTGACAATCAATTATACTTTAGTGATTAAGTTGAAATTTAAATAAGTGGCAAAAAACCGTCACAGGTACAATAAAAATTGTAAAACGCTTTGATCATTTTATACGGTTCACTAATAACTTAATGTAATCAATAGATACTATCAGAATATTTCATCCAAGGCTAAACTCGTATAAATAGATATACGCAACTACTTTTAAAACTAGAAATTAACGGGCTTTCTTGATACTAGATAGAAATTAGGATATTGATGTAAAAATAAGGTATATTCTAATTCGTAAAGTTACAATTTCATTTTGAACGCTGTGAAATATTAAAAGCTTCATATAGAAATGGTTTGACAACACTTGAAAACTAGATTCAATGTTGTCTTACGCTCGTGCCTGAAGGCCGAGATGTGAGGAACTACTCGCAGATTTTGACATACTTAGCGCTAATTCGACTCTGAATCTAAGCTTTGGCTTTAGTGTTGCCCAAAATCGGTCTTGGTCTTGTTCTTGCATTTTCGCAAGACCAAGACGGAAACCTGCAAGACTTGAGCAAGACAAGACTTAAGCCTGCAAGACTCTTGCGTCTTGCAGTTAAGACAAACAGAGATTTGGGCGTTATTAACGCCGGAACCCAATAACCTATCTCAATCCATAATGCACCATCTGAGATAGTAATCTTAAACCAAACGTAAAAGTGTGCCAATAACCAATCGACGGATTGTAATAGCCATACTCTGTCGATACAAGCTATCCATGGGAGGTCGGATCGGTAGACCTTTGTATGAAAATGACAGTTGACGAAAGCTCGATTTCAACAGTTAATTATTTTAACAGATTTTAACTTACACCAGTTTTTTAAATAAATAAAAAAACTGTTTGTTATGTTTTAAACATACACATGAATATTTTATAATAATAGGCTAATAGGTATTTGCAAGTCTTGCAAGACCAAGACTGGCCTAAGTCTCGTCTTGGTCTTGCATTTGGGCAGCACTATTTGGCTTGTTATATGAAAAAGTTATTGCCATAATGTTGTAAGGCAAACTTGTATACTTCTCGAATGCCTCCTTACCCTGTTATGTCTCTTTGCGAATACAGAAAAAGATATAACGTTTATATGAGGTCTCAAATTTAGTTCGGAGTGTCTTACAACTCTTACAACTGTGGTCTTATATTTTATTTTTAAAAATAAAATAAAAAGTAAAAGACGTTGTAACATATACAAAAATGTTAAAATGGAAATGGGCCGGTCACATTGGCCTCATTTGTGATGGCAGATCAAAAAGACCCTTACTTGGAATGGCACAGTGGGAAGAAAAAAGAGAGGATGCCCACCAAGAACTTGGGAAAATTGTCGTTGAACTTGGAGGAGACCTTCACTCCGTCGCAGGTCGATTACTTGTGTAAAACATAATTGACATGGACTTAGTGTGGTTATAGTGTACTCGAATAAAGGCTATTAATATTTATATATATACAGCTGTGGTAAGCAAGTAGCTATATTGAATTTAGTTAATGAAGCTTATTGAAATGTTGCCTTATTATTAATATTCACAAGATTGACTTATCATCCGAATATTTAAATAAGCCTTCCTTAGTCTACTTTTAGTTATTTTAATTATATTGGCCAGTATTATGGAGTTGATTTCATTCCAAACTTTCATCCCCATTTCTTCTCCTCTTACTTGTATATTTGTCTGAATTTTTGGTGTTATATAAAAAAAATATTTCCCGTTGAAATTCTTTTTGAAATGTATTCGCGTAAATATAGCATAGTATAGAAACAAAAATACCCGTTAATGCAGCATTTATTACTCAACATGTTTTAAATCTTTCAGTACATTGTTTTGTTAACAATTCGTTGCAAGCGCGACCTGAATTATATAACCATCGGATTCGGTCACCAAACTTATGTTTTAAAAATGTAAATGTGAATATTCGTTAAGAAATATTTATATAACGTGTTGCGTTTCATACTAAATCGTCAAATGGAGAAACTTGGTATATATAATGTCATTTAAAGTATTTAAATTGTTATATGTCATATATTAACTAGTTTAAACTGCATCAGCCAAAATGTCCCAGGATCCTTCAAAGGTCCACGGATTTTCAGCGTTTAACCGAAACAAATATTTCATAGAAAATTTGCGAGGGAATATATATTTCTGCGTTTAACCGTAACATGAAACATTTTCATAGAAAATCCCTCCCTATATCTATTTTTTACCATATTAGTCATAAAAGAGGTGACTGCAAAGAGGCAGTTCAATATGTATTTTGAATGTATACTTTGAAGCAACCGCAATGGCAAGTGCTCAGAATTAATGAGCCCGTTACGCAACTGTTAATCTCATTACCTCTCGGAATACTTTAACATTTTTGTAACGAAAAAGAGGTTAGGATAGCTGATACATAATTCATTTAGAACTTTTAGAAAGGAATTCATCCCTATGCCCTCGCAGAATGTACGAGCATTTAAAAATGTGGCATACAATTTTCTTGTCAAAACACCTTTTGTCTCAATATGGCCCCTATCCTAAACAGACTAGCTTAGCATCTATGGCGCATGACTCCATGGATAGAGTAAGTTCATTCACCCTACAAATTCCTCCACACATCGTCCTCGTTATCCCTGTCAGTGAATTGTCTAAATTCAGAGTAACACGCACAATCTCTTACAGTTTTAATACTGCAAACTGTCAGTAAAAATACCATGATATCACAAATACAAATTTATGCATATTGGTCGTCGTTTTTCTTAATCATTCTTTTTAAATATTTTGAATGCTGTGTTTATAAGGTTATAGTACGTAGTACCATAGTACCTAAGACGTTATAACTTTCATAATTATTTAGACTCTTAAATTCTCTATTAAATATATAAAATTATATTCCATTTTTGGACAGAGCGATTAGATCGAGTGTTTTGTTTTAAATTCGCAGATACAATTATGTGTTTGGCTGATTGATATTTTTTAATTATGAGTTTCTAAATACCTATTCGAAGGAATTTTAAAGCTCTTTGGACTATCATAGCGTGTACGGTCTCGTAAGATTTATTTAAATTCTGAGAAATGAGCTTATTCACCGTCTTAATACAGTCTTATAACCCATAATTATTCTAACAATGATTAATCGGAAGCGTTAAGTCATACATCCTAATCGAATATCTCGGAATGTAACGTATTTGCTTGGTGTGGATTCAATTTCCGTTGTTCCAGCATAGCATATCAAGTGACGCGACATTGGGTGTAATTTAGAG